TTTAAGAGTTTTTATGTTTAAGCAATCCTATCTTAAAGTACAGAATGTTAATTGCTTTTATGAATTGATAAAATAAATTCAAGTAATTTGATTGTCAATTCAGAATATTTCTTTTCTTATGCAATTTATTTCATATTCTCATGAGATATGAAAATCTTATTAAATTCTCTAGAAAGAAAGAAATTCTATTCTAAAACATTGAAGAACTCTTAAATTAATTATTACAATTTATCCATTTCTTAATTATTATTTTAATAATTAAATAGCTATAAATTATATACAATTATGTATACATATTTATCAAAAGTCGTTTGCTTAAAGAATAAATATTTTCAAGAATTATAAATATTATGTTTTACAGAGTTTATATTAGACATGAATTTATATACTAAGTATCTTAATATGTGAATGAAATATAAATTATTGTCATTTATTTTTTTAATGGACAATTTTTATTTGCAAATGTATAAAAAACCAATAAAATGGAACAGTTAATCAAAAAGCACTTGTTCATCAAAAGAATAAAATAGTAAAGAATTCGATTGGAATGATATTGAAGGTCTATATTAAGAATGCTAATAATAGGATCAAGCTTCAAACGTTACCAACATGATCAAAAGTAGTTAGGATTCAGAGTTAAATATCAAATTAGATCGCCTCATAAGAACAAATAATTAAAGTAGTCTAAGTGAAGTTAATGAAAATGAAGCAACTCTAGAAATAAATGATGATCAAAAAGAAGCAGGTATTGAATTACCATAAAAACCTATATTAAAGCGTAGTAATACATCTTATAGAGGACATACTAAATCACTTTCATAAATAATTTATGAATAAGAAAAGTTTAAGAGATATAGAAATAATAAAAGAAGTGCTAGAACGCTTTCATTAGTTTATCTAAAGAAGTCATTAATGACGCCTCTACTTAAATCGAGTTTACAAGAAAACCTCAAACCAATAACTATTAACTACTTAAATTCATCATACTCTTAGACTATTTATGTTGATAAGAATACATTAGCGTGTGAATTAATTGTTAGAGCTATTTAAGAATATAAAAAAAACTTAAATTTTGATTAGAGCTTGTTAAAATATTCAAATTTTACACTAGCTTATAAATTAACTAGTATTGATGACTTTTGTGATTTTTCTGCCTATCCCTCTTTCAAAGATAGTATTATTGATAAAAAATCTGTTTAAGAGGATGAACATTAATAATTTTAATACATATTTGATAATTTGGATAGAAATTTTAATAGAAAGTTCTTTTATTTGGAATTGAACTCACATGTGGATTTCAAAAATCTTACTTTAGAAATTGCAGATACATCAAGCTTTGGCATAGATTTACTCACTATTGAAATAACTCATAAAACTTATCCTACTTAAATAATTTTATTGTTAGAAGACATAAAAAATAAAATATTTTATAATTTAAAATTTGAAGAAAACGCAACCATTCAAGATATTTATAATTAACTATAAAAAAAAGGTAATTTTAAATGTAATCAAAATGAATGTTTTTTTTTATTAAAATATCCTTGTGTAAATGTTAATAATTTAGAACCTTTAGATATTAAGTTTCCAATCTCTTTATTACCGATTCATTGGTTAATAATATAATATAAATACGATTAAAAAAATACAATCAGTTCTTCTTCAAACAATCTTAATGATTGTTTTATGAATTCTGAATTAAGATTGTCCTCAATTTAAATCATATCACCATCAATTATTTAGAAAGATGATTATATTGATAGAAAAAATGTTTAGATGTTTAACTATGAAGAATATAAATTATTAAAATTAGAAAGTAATGGATCTTTGAATGAAGTAGTAGTTGGAATAGATTATTTTGATTTGTATTACTACTACACTAGTAAAAAACAATAAAAATATACTTTTTATAAGATTACTAAATGGATGGTTTAATTTTTATTAGAAAGTAATTAATCAGGATAAACAAAAGATTATAAAAGAATGCAAATATCATCAATTCTTTAAGTTGGATTGAAAAATGTATAATAACTTATAATTAAATATATCAAGAACGAGGATTAGATAAAAAAAATAAAATTCATACTTCCAAATGACGATATTGAAGATAAAATTAAATAAAAAGAATAATAAGCAGTAATAAAGAACATTGTTGAAAAGTTATAATTTATAATTTAAGAGAGAAGGAAAAATAATTGTTAACGATGATTAAAATGAATGAATAAACTTGCATATTCTCAATCATAATTACTTAGAAATAATATATTATTATTATTATTTATAATTTCTATTGAATGGAAGAATAAGATAGTAGATAATATCTAGCTTCTAAAGTACATCCTCTTTTTGAGAAATTATTAATTGAATTGCTAATCACAAAACCAGAAGATCCTGTAATATGGCTAGAATGATAATAAGGTCGAATTTATGAGTTAATGGCTACATACAACAGGATAACAATACAGACCTTAAGAAAAGCTAAATGGACCATTATCAAGTACCATTCCTGCTTAATTTTAAAATTCAATGTAATCTGGCACTCCAAGAAGAAGTTAAGTTTAATCTTTACAAAATCCTTTGTTGAACCGATAATAATCAAATCAGCCAGGATCAAATCATCATATTCCTCATCATTAATCTAATTAATAATTATCTCATTAACATTCAAATTAACCAATTAATAGCCAACATGAAATTAATAGTTAATAATTATAACATTAAAACTAATCAAAATAAGCTTTAGAACAAAGTGATTTTTAAGAATAAAGTTTTGAAGCCAGTTAAAATGAAGCAGAACATCAATTTGATGTTGATCCTAAATTTGGTTTTGCTGATCAACCAAGTCCTTCTCCAATTGTTAAAGATACAAAAAACCAAGCATATCCATTTTAAAAATAATAATCTATATTAACATAAAAGTTTTAACCTTAAAGCAATAATAATAAATCTTTTAAAAAAACCTCTACTTAATCAAATCCTGTTTTATTATAACCTGTCACAATCAAAACAGCTTAACCATAAATTATAGTTAATAATACACCGAAAGAATAAATCTAATCATCTTATAACTCTAATTAATAAAATTAATAAAAATTAATTCAATCAAAAGATGAATAAGAAATCTAAGAAAATTAAGCACTTAAAAGAAATTCTTAAACTGATAGTAATAATAAATTTAAAGAATAAAAGTCTAGAATCTTAAAAAAGATCAATAATTGCCATATATTTAAACATTTAAATGATTAATAAAAAGAGGTTGTTGCAAATACTATGGAAGAAAGAAGATTTAAGTAATTAAATTGAAATTAACTTTAGATGTAATGATATTGTAATAAAATAAGGAGAGGAAGGGGATTAATTATTTTTAGTTGAAGATGGTCTTTTAGATTGCATAAAGAAAGATAAATAAAATCATGAAGAAAAATTAATAACTTATTAAATTGGTGATTTTTTTGGTGAAATGGCTTTATTGTATAATGAAAAAAGAGCTACAACCATAATTGCTAAAGAAGATTCAGTATTATGGATATTAGATAAATAAACATTTAATTCTTTTATTAAATAACCTGTTTTTGAAAAGCGTTAAAAGTAGTCAATATTTTTAAATTATTTTTAGATATGATCAAATTTTACAATAGTTTTAAGTTTTGTAATAAATTGATCCATACATTAGACTATTAATTGCTGATGCTCTGCATGTTGTCACTTTTAAAGCTAAAGAAATAGTTTTTAGATAAAATGATTAAGGAGATTATTTTTATTTAATATAAGAAGGTTAATTAAAAGCATTTAAATAAGGAGAAAAAGATGAAATAGAATAATAAGTATATGTATTTGATAAATTTGACTATTTTGGAGAATTGGCTATGTTAAAAGAAATAAAGAGATAAGCAACTCTAGTTTGTGAAACTGATTGCATCTTATTAGGGTTAGATAAACAGTCATTTAAAAAACTGTTAGCTCCTATACATGTATATCTTATAATTATTATTAGGACTTATTAAAATAAAAAATAGATAGGTATAGGAATTTAAGTTTTAATTGATAAATATAAAATATTGATCAATCATGATAATTCATTTTTAATATCTAATAACTCTTATTTTTCCTTAATTTAAATTTATAAATATTCCAATTCTACCTTTAATTATTCTATTGTTTCCATTTATTCATTTCTTTATAATATTTCTTCATCTAATTAGTTTTTTAACAATTAATTTTCTTAAAATAATTAATCTCTTTCTGTTTCAACTAAATAATGCTTTTCTAATTCGTATTTAAATTCAAGTTCTTTTTCTTTATTAATTTCTATTTATTCATCTAGCTTCCTCTATTATTCAATTATTATTTGTTATAATTATGTTTGACTTAAATTCTCATACCCTAGTTAAGTAAATTATTATTAGATTAAGTTTTATTATTCATAAATTTAAGATTCTAACTACTGTGATTATTGTTAAATTTATTGAAGATTTATTTTCAATTCTTCAATATAATTTTGGGTGTCTTGATATTATTTTTCCAATAGTATATATGATTCTTCCTATTTTCTAAGTTATCCATTTAATTCATTTATTTAATATTATTTTTCATAAATTTATTAATTATAATATTCTTAAGTTTCAAGTTCTTTTTAATTAAAATTAGAAATTATAATATCTTTTTCATTAATTTGATCATAAAACTCTTAAAGTTAAGTTTTCATTTATGCTATTAATTCAGCTTCATTTGAATCTTTTTCTCTGATCTAAGATGATGATTAATTATCAAATTATTCGAAAGAGTTATTTTTTTCTTCAATTATTTAGTTTTCGATGAATGATGTTTATTATGATTAATCTCTTTTGTTTATTAATACTACTTTAGAAGTAAGTTAATTTTTTTAAATATCCTAAATTTCTTATTAAAATTAGATAGGATTTTACACTTCTTCAATAACATTTTCTTTGAATAATTCTTGTTTGATTAGCTATTCTGTTTACTTTAGTTTTATAAATGATTTAAAAATTTCACTTTCAAATATTTCTTTTCTAGAAGCTAAATTTTACAAATAGCATTATAATCCATATTTACGTTCATTGATTTATTCAATTGACTTTCCAACTAAAAAAGTTATAAAATTTTTCTTAGGCAATAAAGGCAACTGTTTATACGTCAATTCAAGTGCACGATTCAATTCTTCAAATTGTGAATATCTCTTCTATACAATCCATTATTTAATTCCAAATTTGACTGAAATTTAATAAAATATGGTTGTACCCTCATATGAATAGGAAATAATTTCAATCTAAGATGTATACTATCAATCTTACATTGATTGAATGCTAATCCTGCATTTTGTAAAATAAATTATATAATTTGTTAAAAATTTGATGAAGTCATCATACTATATCATTTATGCCAGTTTCCTAATCTTGTTTCATCTTCTTCATCAGAATCAATTTTATGGTTTTAATTTTATAATTTTAAGATATTCTCCATTTTAGCCTCAATCAATTGTTTTGATTTGTCCTATTCATCTTGATCACCAGCTTTCCATTTTTTAGGAAAATGCCACCATTTAATTAATTCATCCTTACCACCTGTTATAAGAATTTGAGTAGATTCTTACCAAATCAATTTAGTAATGGCTTTTTCATGAGCTTTAAGTACATCTTAAAATAATGAAAGATCATACATTAAGGTTATAAATCAAGCGCATTATAAATAGTAACTGTTCCATCATCATTTCCTACAAATAATTCTCCTCTTTTACTTGACCATTAGACTTCTCTAGTCTTATTATTAATAGTTATTAATTTAAAATACTTTTATTTTAGCTTATATTTTTGTTTTTATTTTTCCTATATTATCTTGTAGACATTTTCCAACATCTAAAACACATATTACACCATCATCATAAGAAACTGAAATCAAATAGTTTTTCTAGTAATCTAAAACTAGGCCTCTTATAAATGATGTATTTGTATCTACAGACAACATAATTATTGGTTGTGCAGCTTTTATATTTAGTATATAGATTTAACCATTTCTATTACCAACTACTGAAATTTATCTCTATTCATTATATGTTAAGAATGTTAATTCATGTTTCCCAATTGAAAAATCTAAAATATTTTAAAATTTAACCTGATTTCAATTCTCCTTAATCCATATCAATTACTTTATAATGGGTATCCTTTGAAATTGAATGAATTTATCCATTTCTATAAAATAAACCCATGATTCTGCTCAAATGAATTTCAATTTCTATGCTTTATTCATATTTTTAGAATGAATCTCTCTCTGAAACTTTTATAAAATTAATATTTCCTGAATCCAATCTAAATTATTCTGTTAATTTAATTACCCGATTAACAAAGTGCATGTAATTGGTTCATAAAACATACAAATTGCTTAAGTATTATACTCTTTAATCCATAATCTTTTATATGAAAATTCTCCCTCTTCTTATTTAATATAACATTCAACTTATCCTACTGGTATAGTCTTAACTTCTGTTTATTCAGAATCCCATGGCATTTTCATATTATTAACATATGCATCCACTCTATTTAAAACACTCATATCTGCTTGAAGAAGGAACATCACTCCTTAATCAGACAATGAAACATCACGTATACCCATTAATGTTTTAGTAGAATGGATTAGATTAGGAGGAATAATTTCTTCACATTATTCAAGCTTATTATAAATTACTATACTTCCAAAAAATCTCGAAGTTATTGAGAATGATATATTTCTCTACGAACTATAAGTTACTATATATATTTTTCTAAACCAAATCTACGATCTTCCAATTATTCTTTTGATTTTCCAACTAAAAATGTTATAAAGGCTTTTTTAGGTAATTCAGGGAGGTCTTAAAAAAGTAATATTAATTTTTTATGCAAATCTTCAAATTATGAATAGCGCTTTGTAATTAGCCATTACTATTTATTTCTTGTTTTAATTTCAATTACATATTGAACATTGGATGACTCTTACTTATATGATGGTATCGTAACCTAAATATATTATTGGATAATAACATTTATGGATTCATTCACAAGTAACATAATTTTAATTAAAAATTAAAGAGTTTTGATAATGATCTAGTGTTTATTTCTAGTTAGTAGATAAGGCAAGACCAGATTGACTAAGTGGTATAATTAATCACTTACTACAAGAGAAAAGCAACGTTTCTTAAAAGAAGTATTACTATCAATCTTAATGTAAAGATAAATTCATTAGTGTTGACACGCGGCCAAAAGATGTGTAATTTCTTAGAATATGTTGAATACAAAATTGTTTATAAACGATATGCATCACTTTATTTCATAGCTATTTGCGACAAAGAGGATAACGAATTATTAATTTTAGAAATAATTCATCATTTTGTAGAAGTATTAGATAAATATTTTGGTAATGTATGTGAATTGGATCTAATATTTAATTTCCACAAAGCTTATTATATCTTGGATGAATTGCTTTTAGCTGGTTTTATTTAAGAGCCAAGTAAAAAAATTATACTCAAAGCAATCACTAGTCAAGAAGCACTTATAGAAGAAGGAAATGATGATCAATCTAAATGATTTATAAAACAAATATATCAATAACTTGTTATTTTTAATATACAACACGAAAATCATTTCATTCAATAATTTTTATTTGAAAATTCAACATATTACACTAGAATTATGATGCTAATTTTCAGAATTTTATGAAATACTACTTTAACATGTCTTTTATCTATTTTTATTCCTATTCTAATCCTCTTAATTATTCATTTTGGTAGAATGACAAAATAAACTTTTATTTTTTCGATGCATCAATTTACTTTTTAGATTTCCCATTTGAGATTTAAAGTCTTATTAAACTAACAATGTTTACTCTATTAGTTATTTTTCGTAATCCTATTATTATTGATAAACTGTATACTTATTATAATAATTTTATTGTTCCTTCATTTTCCTCTGAGTTGCTTTGTAACAGGGATTACATTTCCAACTTTTAAACATTTTAGGAAAAATGAGAGTGACGAGATTTTTTCATTTCTTTATTTATTGTATTTTCATCATCTTTCTTTTTTAAATTACATAAAGTAAATGGTCTGGATAGAATGTATTACATTTTCTCTAAAAAATAATCCTTTATTGGATCTTTTCTTAAATCATAGTATTCAACTAGTTGAGCTATGTTTAAAATTAATTTCGTCAATTCCTAGCCATCCATTTCTTCTTTAAAGAAACTTTATTCTTATCCATTGAGCATAGTGTAATATTCAGAGTTAAATGATTTCTATTAACGGAATGATGACATTAAGATTGATAGTTTTAAAAAATATTAATATTTTGCAAATTTAGATGATTTCAAAATTAAAAAGAGCAAGTATATAGATATTGCTTGCCAATTATGAAATAAATAATAATCTAATTAATATAGATCAAAAATGTTAGAAGATTTTTAAAATATTGGTTAGAATTACTTAAATAATTCTTCTAACAAAAGACTTTAATTATTTTAAACAATGATTCAAATAAAAATAACAACTAAATATCATAAATCAAGCATATCTAGAGTGGGGGGTTTATAAATTTTAGTGAAGGTTCTTGTTGGTGACTTTTTTCCTGGACCTCTCTTTTGTTTTCTTAGCTATAATTTTTCCGTTACTGACTATAACTATTTAGCATAATCATTATTAATAATCTTCTCGATATTTTCCTTCTAATATAAAAAGTCCTAAATAAATAAATGAAATTTAGAAATACATTTTATAATTATTTAATTCCTCTAGGAGTGATTGTTTGATTCTTCATAGTTTCATATTAATAATTCTGATAATAATGTTTTAGATTTTCTTGTCCTGTCGGTGAATTACGTCTTGTACTTGGTGCAGATACAATTAAGGATTGCATAGTGCTTGGTGATTGCATTAAACGCTTCATCTTTTCTATAAAATATTATTTCATTGGATTGTTATTCAAATCATAATATTCTATAAACTATCTATATATAAGAGCTAATTCAGCTATTTCTTCTTATTAAGTATCACCATCTTCAAATTGTTTTTCAAGATCAAGAGCTTTTTGAATTTATGAACGTGAAGGTGAAGTCATATAAAATTAACAACTAATTAATTAATGATAATGTAATTTTAAATCATAGGCAAAAATGGTGTAGGAAAAAGAACTCTTATTGAACTATTGTAATAGCATTTTCAGTTAGAATTGGTTACATCTAGAGCTGATGTTGCAATCTATTTATTTGACATTAGTGATCAAAACAGCTTAGAGTACTTAAAAAATCGTTACAATCCAGAAATATAAAATAAGAGTACATATTTGGTTGGCAATAAACTTGATCTCACAGATCAAAGAAAAGTTTCGAGTAAAAATGCTTCATTTACATCTACAAAGGTGAAAATGCCCATAAATTCTCTGCAAAGTATGGCATGAGCTACCATGAAATATCCTGTATTACCAAATAAAATGTTAGTCATCTTATTTATGTAAATATTATTAATTTATACATTTAGACTCTTTAATTATAAATGTAATAAAGTGGAAATATCTCTTATAGATAATAAAAGTCATCTACAATTTCTGTTCTTAAATTTAATCGAATTTCATTAAAAAATGCCAATGTTTCTCATACTGAAAGTGAAGTCTCACCAAATTCAATTAGAATAGATAATTCATAAATAAATAATAACCAAAAAATTAATTCTACACATTCATTCAGATAAAATGAATTCAATGTCAATTAATCTTAAATTCATTTAAGAAGAGTCTAAACTTATATTTAAGATGATTAAGATTCACCTTTAAAAAAAAAAATAGATGATCTAAATAATTCTAATCTTAATAATTCATTAACTAGTCCATAAATTATAAAAGATTAAATTATAAGTTTCTCAAATGAAAATACACATAACAAGACTTTATAATAAACATAATCTAAATAATAGACTGAAGTTAATTTAAATAAATTAAATTAAATTAGCATTGATAACACTCCTAAAAATTCAAGAATTAGTAAATGGATTGATAATGATACAAATAAAAATTAAACTTAAAATTAAAATTCTTAAGTAATTTTTTAAAGATCTCCTTCTAAACTATAATCTTAAATTTATACAAGTAGATCGGCATTTAATGAGATGAATAACTCATAAGATAAATTTACAACTATTTAAGATTAAATGAAAAATGGATTAGATTAATTTAAATAATTTTTAGCAGAAATTTAAGATAAGAATTCAAATGAATATTAAAATTACATCTAAATTAAATTTGAAAAGGTTTTTGATAGTTTCAATTAAGATTTATTTTAATAAAATGAAAAATAGCTAAAAACAGAAAAAATGCCATAAAAAAAAGATTCTATAAATATTTATGAAATATCTGAATTAATAAAATAAGAAAATCAAATTAATAATAAGATAAAATCATTTCAAAATAATTATTATCATCATTAAATTAAATCTCCTCCAATAACAAATCAATAAAATAATTAATCTAGTTAAGATTATATTTCTAAAATGACTACTAATAAGTCATTCAATCAACCTTCTAAAAGTACAAATAAAAATACCCTTAGAAATAAATCTCAAACAGGTATCGTAGTTTAATTAAGAGAATAAGTCAATACATAATTTAATAGAACTCCAGAAAGATCTTTAAATTATAAATCTATCACTCCAAATAAGTAACTCATTAAATGTGTTGATCTTGATGATAATAATAATTAAAAATTATTCTCTCTCTAATTTAAACTTAAAACAGGTAAAGCTATTAATATAGTTATGAAAAAAAATGATAATCTAATCAAAATTGCTCAAGAAAATGCTTAAAAATATAAACTGGAACATAGTGCATATCTTTAATTACTTAAAATTTTAAAAGATAAATATAGAACAATTTTAGAAAATGATCATAAGTGATACTTGATATATCTATATATAATTATTTGATTAAATTTTAATTATGTCCAATAGAAGCAAGTAGAATGCATCAAAAGGCCCAGGTAATTTAAATTATTTACATAAGATAAGGGATCTTTTCCATTAGATCATTTTCATGAGTGTGATAATGAAGCTAAATAATATAATGTATGCATCCAAAAACATGAAAATATGCCAAAGAGATGTAGAAAATATTAAGTTGATTATTTATAATGCAGAATGAATAATGGTCTTATGGATAAAGAAGATTTGAGTAAATTAGGTTTAGGACCAGAAGTAAAGATTTATTCTAATTCAAGACATCTTGGGAATCAGAAGAATAGGAAAAATAATTTTTATTTGATAAAATCAACAGAATGAAAACCAAAGCTATGGAAGAAGTATCAAGAAAATAGGAATCATCAAATAAACAATAAGAGTGAGTTATAAAAATTGCTATCAATTTCAGCTCTCAATTTAAAGAGTTATTTTCAATTTATTTCTTTTCTTGTTACTTATGGTACTCTCAATTTTTCTTATATAAATAATCTTAAAAAAATGATAATTTTACGTATTGGAGTCTGAAATACATAAACTAAAAACTCTTTATCTATTTGTATGTTTTTAATAAAATTATTTAAGCTTTTAAATTATTATATGACAATTGTTGTTAATTATTTTAAACACTAAAGTTTTGCCATATAAAAATTTGCTTGATCATTTTAGATTAACATTTCCGGTATAGTCTAGTGGTTAGGATATCAGGTTTTCACCCTGGGGACCCGGGTTCAATCCCCGGTATCGGAAAAATTTTTTATAATTTTTATTTGATAATAAGCTATGTCTTTAATTTTTCAATTAAATTATAGGAAATTCGAATAAAGTCTTGAAAATTTTATTTCCATCTATGAATCATATTAATACTTAAGGTTATTTATTTTTTTTGATATGAGAATTTATTGATCTGATTAATTCTAATTTTATGAGATTATTTATATCATATCTAAAAATCTTATAATTTTACATGATTAAAAGAAATTATAATAGAAATATTATCCTAAATCAAAAATTCTGCAAATAATTATATTATAAAAAAAAGATACATTTTAAAATAGAGAAATATCAATTATTTATTTAGATTTATTACATATAATTGTAAACATTGAGAAAATTCTGATATAAAAAATTCATATTGATAATAAGTAAGAGTTTTTTGAGAAATATACATACATTCCAAAGTAAGAATATTTATTTCTTAAAAACATTTCTTTTTCTTATGTTGAAGAAATTAGAGTGTAATAATGAAAACATTGATGAATTATTGAGATTGAATTTATAAATGCTTTCTATAAGCTCAAAAAAAAAATTAATAAGTCGAGTAATAATTTATGATAATCTTCTGTCTTACTTACTACTCATAGTAAATTTTGTATGAGTTTATGAGAGGATTATAGCTTGTAAAATTCTATAAAAATCTTATATTGAATGGTTTAATTAAAAATAGTTATGAAAACAGTAGATTTCATAATATTTTTAGAGGATATCATGAAGTTCTTTGATAAATTTAATAATTATTATAATAATTAATTAGATCAAATAATAGATTTCTAATAAAAACTTAAATTTTATATTTTGGTATAATGAAATAGAAGAAATTTAGTTTAGAGAATAGTTTTAAGTTTATTAGGTTATATATAAGTATAAAAGTAGTAAAATACTAAGTGATAATTATTAATTATTTTAATTTATATAAAAATTACAACAAAATGGNCGTATTGGAGTCTGAAATACATAAACTAAAAACTCTTTATCTATTTGTATGTTTTTAATAAAATTATTTAAGCTTTTAAATTATTATATGACAATTGTTGTTAATTATTTTAAACACTAAAGTTTTGCCATATAAAAATTTGCTTGATCATTTTAGATTAACATTTCCGGTATAGTCTAGTGGTTAGGATATCAGGTTTTCACCCTGGGGACCCGGGTTCAATCCCCGGTATCGGAAAAATTTTTTATAATTTTTATTTGATAATAAGCTATGTCTTTAATTTTTCAATTAAATTATAGGAAATTCGAATAAAGTCTTGAAAATTTTATTTCCATCTATGAATCATATTAATACTTAAGGTTATTTATTTTTTTTGATATGAGAATTTATTGATCTGATTAATTCTAATTTTATGAGATTATTTATATCATATCTAAAAATCTTATAATTTTACATGATTAAAAGAAATTATAATAGAAATATTATCCTAAATCAAAAATTCTGCAAATAATTATATTATAAAAAAAAGATACATTTTAAAATAGAGAAATATCAATTATTTATTTAGATTTATTACATATAATTGTAAACATTGAGAAAATTCTGATATAAAAAATTCATATTGATAATAAGTAAGAGTTTTTTGAGAAATATACATACATTCCAAAGTAAGAATATTTATTTCTTAAAAACATTTCTTTTTCTTATGTTGAAGAAATTAGAGTGTAATAATGAAAACATTGATGAATTATTGAGATTGAATTTATAAATGCTTTCTATAAGCTCAAAAAAAAAATTAATAAGTCGAGTAATAATTTATGATAATCTTCTGTCTTACTTACTACTCATAGTAAATTTTGTATGAGTTTATGAGAGGATTATAGCTTGTAAAATTCTATAAAAATCTTATATTGAATGGTTTAATTAAAAATAGTTATGAAAACAGTAGATTTCATAATATTTTTAGAGGATATCATGAAGTTCTTTGATAAATTTAATAATTATTATAATAATTAATTAGATCAAATAATAGATTTCTAATAAAAACTTAAATTTTATATTTTGGTATAATGAAATAGAAGAAATTTAGTTTAGAGAATAGTTTTAAGTTTATTAGGTTATATATAAGTATAAAAGTAGTAAAATACTAAGTGATAATTATTAATTATTTTAATTTATATAAAAATTACAACAAAATGGCAAAACATTGGTTTACGACTCTACCAAGCAATTATTTCATGAGATAATCAAGAAAGGGAGGAAGACGTGAAATCTTATTTACAACTTTAGGTATAAAATTAAGTTGAGAATATTAGCATTGGGATTAGCTCATTTTGGTCTATTTGAACCATTAAGAAATTCATATTATTAAAGAGGTGTAGTTCCAACATGGGAAAGATCTGTTGTAAATGGATAGCCATGGACTATTTGAGATAGCAATATACGATAAAATTATAAATAATAATACAAAATATAAAAAATATTTATTGATATTTCTGTCTGTCAGTCATGGCCCCCACCAGTTATATTGCAAATAAAATAAAATAAATTATTTTATGGCTTCCTTATCAAGTGAAGGTAGCGCCAAAGATAGTGAAACTTTAAAAGAATTATTGAAATAGAGACCTAGAATCTAAAAAAAATAACAAGCACCTAGAATTAATAAATGTAATTCAAATCCTTGTTGGAATCAAGAAGATTTAAAGAAATTAGAAAAATGTGTTTCTATTTTAGGAACTGATTTCGATTTAATATAGTTATTATTTAAGAATAGAACTAGAAAATAAATTATGGTTTGTATTTTTTAAATTGATTTAAACACAATAGAACAAATACAAAAAGTCCAAAATATAATATGATCGTAAACATAAAGAGAAATTTTTAAGAATTCAAGAAGCATTGAAAAAAGAATAGGAAGTGTAGAGACAACGTTTAGGAAGCATAGATTCAATAGATTTAGTAATAAAGTTTAAGATAAATTAGAATATTGCTTTAGATATACATTAACTTAGCACAAAAAAGGAGTGATTATTTTATATTAATAATATATTAAATAATATAATAATGAAAGGAGCACATAAATAATTTGCAAAGACAATGGAGACAAGTCTTGGTGAAAATAGAGTAAAATAATAGTAAAGGTCATTGTAAGAAGGACATTAAGAAATAATAAAGAATTTAATGTCAACAATAATAGGGAAACCAACAATTGTAGAAGCTTAAAGAGTTTTAAGAGTTTTGGATTAGCTGATTTAAAATTTGGAATATTGTCTATATTTAGATACAGAATTTATAGGACGTTTTCAAACTGGAAAGTTTTTAAAAGATGCAAAGTAACCGCTAACTGAAGAAACTATGAAACTTTTATAATCTTAAGCTGAAATAGAATAGAAATATAGACCTTATGCAAATTTAGATACAGCCTTGAATTAAGGAGAAGAGATAGATGAGACAAAGAAAATGGAATCAGAAAGATTGGAAAATTTGTTATAAGAAAATTTTAAGAATTTATTAAGAAGACTTTAACATTGTCCAAAAGATTATGAAATTATAAAAGGAATGAAAACAAACATAAATGCAGAAATGAGTGATTTATTACATTGTGTAAAATGTATAAAAATAGTTATGTTGAAAAAGTTAAGTACGGCATAAGAAGAATAAAATAGTCATGTTAAATAATTAGAAGATTTAAAATCAAAAGTAATCATAATTTTAAAAATTATAGATTGCAGGATAAGAAAAGACAAAGAGTCAATTAGAATAAGAATTATAAAAAATTAGATAGGAGAGAACAGCAAATATGAATAAAATGAAGGAAGAAATAGAAAAATTAAAATAAGCAATTGCAGAAGTTAAAGCTAATAAATAGAAGAGATAAGATTAATTAGCAAAAGAAATATAAACTAAATATGAGGCATTAGAAAAAGATCATAAAACTAAAGAAGATAAATTAGCTGCTGAACTTTAGGCTTAAAGAGCACGCTTTATTAAAATGAAAGATGAAAATACTTAAGAAGAAGCAACTTTAAAGAGACGAAAATAAGTTTAAGATTAATCTTTGTCTGAAGCAATTTAAAATTATGATTAAATGATGGAAGAATTTATGAAAAATTTAACTGATTTATAAAGTGAATGTGCATCTACTGAAAAATAATTGAGAGATAGATAGGAATATTTCAAAGCAGTTGATTCAGAGAAAGGTAGAGAGAGAAAATTAGAAGAAGAATTTAGAAGATTAAAAGAATTACATTAAATAGAATTAGAAAAAAAATCAGAGGCAGCCAAACATATTTAAGCTTTTTTATAATAAGTTAAAAGTATATATTAAATATTTATATATATAGAACCATCAAAAAAACCAAAAAAACCAGCAAAAAAATGAGCATTAAATTTTATATATTAAATTATTTTCATAACTTATTTTAATTTATAACCAATCATTTTTACTCACATGTAGGGCAACAATAAAATGATTTCTTATAATTTTCTGGAGTTATATAAGTTTCAAAATCGTATAAATTGTGACAAAAATGACATTAAAGAGCATTTAAAAATCTTTTACCTTCTTTACAAACTGTTATTCCAATGTCCTTTATTTTAACTGTCATAGTTCTTTAAATACATTAACATTAACAATAGCAACATTCCCAATCCCCTTTCTTACAATTTTATTTACATTAATTACATATTTCTTATATTATTCCTATTTTTATTTATTAGTTATAAAAACATTAGAAATTTTTTCTGCAACAACTACAAGTTAATGAAATCGGATCTTTGTCTTCTAAACAATTCTCACAAATACAAGAATTTTCTTTAAAATAATCTTCATAACTCACATCTTTTAATTCTCCACATATTTAACAAATAACATTAATTATATCGTCAGGTTATTTTTACCAAATTTAATTTTTTTTTTGTTCTTCATTAGTGAATGATTCTGAAATTTATTGANCATAATTTTAAAAATTATAGATTGCAGGATAAGAAAAGACAAAGAGTCAATTAGAATAAGAATTATAAAAAATTAGATAGGAGAGAACAGCAAATATGAATAAAATGAAGGAAGAAATAGAAAAATTAAAATAAGCAATTGCAGAAGTTAAAGCTAATAAATAGAAGAGATAAGATTAATTAGCAAAAGAAATATAAACTAAATATGAGGCATTAGAAAAAGATCATAAAACTAAAGAAGATAAATTAGCTGCTGAACTTTAGGCTTAAAGAGCACGCTTTATTAAAATGAAAGATGAAAATACTTAAGAAGAAGCAACTTTAAAGAGACGAAAATAAGTTTAAGATTAATCTTTGTCTGAAGCAATTTAAAATTATGATTAAATGATGGAAGAATTTATGAAAAATTTAACTGATTTATAAAGTGAATGTGCATCTACTGAAAAATAATTGAGAGATAGATAGGAATATTTCAAAGCAGTTGATTCAGAGAAAGGTAGAGAGAGAAAATTAGAAGAAGAATTTAGAAGATTAAAAGAATTACATTAAATAGAATTAGAAAAAAAATCAGAGGCAGCCAAACATATTTAAGCTTTTTTATAATAAGTTAAAAGTATATATTAAATATTTATATATATAGAACCATCAAAAAAACCAAAAAAACCAGCAAAAAAATGAGCATTAAATTTTATATATTAAATTATTTTCATAACTTATTTTAATTTATAACCAATCATTTTTACTCACATGTAGGGCAACAATAAAATGATTTCTTATAATTTTCTGGAGTTATATAAGTTTCAAAATCGTATAAATTGTGACAAAAATGACATTAAAGAGCATTTAAAAATCTTTTACCTTCTTTACAAACTGTTATTCCAATGTCCTTTATTTTAACTGTCATAGTTCTTTAAATACATTAACATTAACAATAGCAACATTCCCAATCCCCTTTCTTACAATTTTATTTACATTAATTACATATTTCTTATATTATTCCTATTTTTATTTATTAGTTATAAAAACATTAGAAATTTTTTCTGCAACAACTACAAGTTAATGAAATCGGATCTTTGTCTTCTAAACAATTCTCACAAATACAAGAATTTTCTTTAAAATAATCTTCATAACTCACATCTTTTAATTCTCCACATATTTAACAAATAACATTAATTATATCGTCAGGTTATTTTTACCAAATTTAATTTTTTTTTTGTTCTTCATTAGTGAATGATTCTGAAATTTATTGAGATTCTGATTATATGTCCAGATTTAGTCTTTTACAAATTTCATGACATTTAGTATGCTATTAGCAAAAAAAGTTTTTTAATCCTGTCTCTTCAAAATTAGAAGTATCTTTAATAAATTAAACTATTTGTTAATCTTTTGAATGAATACATGGATCACTCAAAATATTATTCTTACCTTATAAATCTGTGATGATAAGTTTTTTATTTGTGGCTAAGTAAGAATAATGAGAAAATGCTGTATAATAATATTCGTTTTCATCAGCATATATGGTATTATTTGTATACTTTTTCCACTCAGAAAAATTTGCTAAATCAATGTACGTTTCAGCGAAAAGTTAATTAACACCCATAAATGATGTTTCTAATTCATATTTAATTGGAGAAACATAAAAAATTGGTGGAGCCCCTTAAATTGATTAAGTTTACATTCTAAAACTTTCTGCTAGCTGCTAAGCTATTAACAAAGCAGTATATCTAGTATTTATGAAAGATTCATAATCTTTTAACTCTTTTGGTGATAATTACTATTTTTAATTAAATTTTGAAATAACAAAATTTGGCAATTTTAGAACTAATTTTCTATTAAGAACAATATCAAATAATTTAAAAATTTAGCATTACGATCCTTTCTCATTATCTGATAAATCTTCTTATTTATTATTAATAATCAATTAAGTTTCTCCTTCTATCTTATTTAATTCTTACTATTCTAAAAAGTTCTTCCAATAATCAACATTATCATCCTTTAATAAATAGTTATTAAGTTCTAAAGGTTTAGTTTTACTGAATCTGGCTCTTATTTTAATATTTTAACTTTATTTGGAAGTCTTTGCTTATGAATTTTACAAAGAGGTCTTAAGAGAAAAAAGAACAGATTCAGAAAAATTATTTAGAGTAGTTTCTGTAATAATTAAGCTTGGAAACCCAGTTTTCATCTTTGTAAACATTATATCTGTCTTATCACAAATTCTAAAACAAGTAAAGAAATTTTTAGCTTTTAAAGCATGGTATCTTTACATGATTTTCTCTAAATCACCAGCTTATACTTTATCATAATAATCATCTTTTAAATCTTTATGGTATGGACCATGACTAGGACTATCACAAATTAAGAATGAACATAAAACACTCTCTTAATCCTTACTAATATTTAATCTAATTCCTTTTTCTAATGCTCCAATAACATTCTCTGCATCATCTCCTCCTCCTTTAGCTTATAATTTTGCTAGAAATTCTTCAATTACTTTAGATTCCGTTGTAAATTCTCTATATAATAAATTGTCTTCATCATCAAAATCTCTGTATGCAACTATTGCTGTTCTCACTATAATTTTCTTTTTATCAATATTCTGTTGGAATTCTTTTATTATTTTATGGATATTCTCTTTTGCAGATTTTAACCATCTTTACATGCTCCCTGTACAATCTATAATAAATAAAACATCTATGACTTATGCCTTCTTTACCTATTTTTTTATTTAAATATTATGTATCTTTTCAATATATTAATTAAAAACTTCATCATTTATCTATTTAGATTATTGAACATCAGATAACATTGATAAATCAAAATAACATTATCTCCTTCTCGTTTCTTTAAAATTCTTATTATTTAGTAAACATTCCCAATCAATATGATTTTTAGTACAACTTTTTTAAAATTGGCATTCCCCACATAAATATTCCAAGCATATATCTGATATTGGCAATTTATGCTATTTACCATTCTCAATATCTTCTGGATTTATTTCATTTTAATTATAAAATTAATATGTTCTTTATTTAAGTTATTTCCAATCTAAATCATGATTTAATTTGCACTCTTTTTTATTCTAACATTCATCACTAAGTTGATCTATACACATATCTACAGCCCATTTTCTATGTAAATACCTACAATTTTTCTAATCCTCACAATCATTCTATTTTTTACAAAGGTTAAAAAAATACACACCATTAATTTTTTCTTATCGTAAATAACCTCTTAGATCTTTATTTGTTAAATGTAATAAATATCCATTACAATTATCTTCCTTTTTTTATAAATGTAAAATGCAAACTCCCGCAAAGCATCTAGGATGTAATTAATTACAATCATCATCTTTACATTTTATATTTTATGGACATAAATCTGCCAATCTTTCTAAGTAATTTATTTTTTACATGAATTTTATATGATTAGAATTAATATTAATATCTTTCATTTCTATAAAAAATATAAAAATTAGATCAAGCAATTAATAAATTAATAATAACAGACAAATTATATCAAATTCTAAGTTTCTATTCATATAATTATCTATTTTATTAAAGCTTATTAAGTCTATCTCTCACTTCACTCAAACTATCATTTTTTATGAATGAATTCTCTTTTGAAAATTCTAGTTTCTTCTTTGGACTTGGTGTTTCTGATTCAAAATTCTCAGAAGATTTTAAAATCTTTTTCATATATTTAGCATGTTTATGAGCTGATTCTAATAATTCTTAAATGGTTTTACCATTAGGACTTTCTTATTTTTATTTCTTAGGAATATTTAAATTTTATTATGATAATTGATTTTAACATTAAGAAGTTTTCATTTGAGAAGAAAGACTTTATCGACTCTCTTTAAGATTACCTAAATTTCCTAATTGAGATTTTAATTTTAAAATATCTGAATCCTTTTCTCGAAGTTTATTTTATAATTAATTATTTAATTCAGTCAATTCTTTGTTTAATCCAATAATAGTCTATACTTCTAAGACTTGAGGTTTTTATAAATCTGAATACATACTGGTACGTAATAGACTCAATTCTTGCATTAATTTAGCATTCTAAGTTTATAAAGATTCAATTCTATGATTAGCAATAGTTAAACCTTCAGATAATTTTTAATGCTGTTATAAAGAATTACTAGTTTATGATGCTAATGTTTTATTTTAAGATTATAAATTTCCAATTTCAAATTCATATTACTAAATTAAGACTGATCTTTATTAAAAGGATTCTCTTTCTTTACTATATTATTCTACTAATTATTCATTAACTTATTATTCATAATTTAATTGTTCAGTTAATTCACTTAATTAATTTTTAAATTAATTAAGTTAAGAAGTCTCATCATCTTAATATTATTTAAGTGAATCCTTAAAATTTTATAATTAATTAGTAAGACCATCAATTTCTTCAGTTTTGACTTTAAGTTAATTTTCTAAATTATCAATTAAATCTTCATATTTTTCTAATTTTGATATAGCATCCTTTTAAAATGTTTAATATCTTAAACATTATTACTTAAGATCTTTAATTTAGCTTTCTTGATTCGCCATTGTATTAGTATAAGTTTCAACTTAAGTTTGTAAAGTACAAATGTCTTCACTTTTAACATCTAATAGTTTTCTTAAATCAATATTGCATAATTCTAATTCTACAAATTTGGACTTTAATTCTCTATTAATTTTTTCTAAAGCATTTCTTTCTTCACTTTCAATTTGTAAAGTCTTGGCTAAATATTCTTTTTCTGTAGTAACAGGTTAAGGTGGTTTAGATATAGCAATAGCATAATTAATTCCAACACCAAAATGTTATATGTTTTTAAGAACTTTAACTGCTTCTGTTCTAGTTTATGTATCCCCTACACCTAATTCGCCATTAACATTGCTTCCCCATGAATATAATTAACCTTAGGTATCAATTCCTAATCCCAGAGTTCCGTTAATTTTTACATCAATAATATCTTACAAAAATAATGTGGGTTTAGAAAATGTTCCAAAACAACCTGATCCCCATATATATAGATTTCCACCACTTATTGCAGCCGAATGATTTCCAGCTGCAATTTAATCTACTTTTGGAATATCAATTAATTGAGGTTTAAAAGAATTCTTAATTCCTTAAATTCCTAATTATCCTAAATTATTAGATCCGCAAGCTAATAATTATTAATTTATTTTTATTAAAGAATGCGATACTCCACATGCTACTGTCAATACATTATCCAGTACATGAGTAATCTCATTTATTCTCTTTATATTTTAAATACCACATTATCCTGAATCATTTGCTCCTATTGCATACAATTAATTTTTATTATTTATCATCATTGTATGTCTAGCACCGCATTTTATAAATCTTATTGATTATCCTATTTATTTTGGTAATGTTAAATCATTCACTACCTTTCCCCAAACAAAAGCATTATTATTTATATTCAAAGATATGTTATGATTCCATCCACAATCCATATCAATTATATTTGATTATATCAATTAAGGTGTCAATGATCTCTCTGAATAATCATCACTTCCTATTCCTAATACACCATAATTATTTGTTCCTAATGCATATAATTAATTAGTATTAGAAAGAAATAACATATGCTCCTCTCCACATGATACTTTAGTTATTTAGAAATTTATCGTTATTTACTTAGGAGTAGTTGATTCTTCTTAAGATGGTGTTGTTCCCCAAATATAAACCGACATTTTAATCGTTAAATTCAAAATTATTTAATATTAATTCTTAACTTATCAATCAACACACTATTATATTTAATTTTTTTTTCAATTAAAATTATAGATAGTGAAAAATTTAAAATAAACTATCAATAAATCTTTTGATTTCAATTATTAATCTAAAATAATTTATAAAGTAAATAAAACAATCAAAAATAATTATTCTAACTTTCAATTCATATTAAATTTATTACAAATTTAGCGAATACTTTCTTTTACATCTGAACTATCAAGATCATCAGTAGTTTCTGGTAAATTACTTATTTTTTTATTTAACTCTTTCAAATCTTAAATTGCTTCATTCATTAAAATTTCCTATTTCTCATTTTTCACCAAAATTGTTCTGCTACTTTATAAATTACTTTTCCCAATTTACAAAGATTAAAGTAAGGTGTAAATAACTTTCATTTACATAGTTATTATTTCATGAAGTTCACTCATTCTTGTAGAATTATTTAGTTTCTTTACTATCATTTCTGTTAAAATATCACAATTATATACTATAGTTTAAACAGACTGGCTTCTTTTGGTATTTTATAATAACCATTTCATAGCATCTTGTAATTTTTAATCATTTTTTACCAATAACTCTGTTCTTCTAGTATCAGTTTTTATTTAATTCAATATTACTTTGTAAATTAAATCTAAATATTTATTTTTTAATAATTCATTCTAACTAAGTGTCTAAATTATATAGTATTTTATTTGATCTTTTAAAGATGTGTTTTCCCTATAACTAAATTCTTCTTAAAATAACTCTAAAAGCTCAAATAAATCTTAATTTGAAATATTGTTTTGCTCTTATTCTTAAAATTCAATCAGTAATTATTGAAATTACTCTACCTCTAAAAAAATTTTTTAGAAATTTATTTTCATTTCTTTAAACTCTTAAATATCAATTTGTGGTTATGGAGGTTATTTATTTTAAATTGAAATAGATTATTAACTCGAGTAATTAGAGGATTTTATCTACTTTTTTTAATGCTTTTGATTGCTAAAACAAGATTAATTTTCTTTATTTTCATCCTAAATATTCTCTTGAATCTTTTAATTTTTTATTTCCTTATTGCTATTTTAAAAAGTTTCTAAAATAATAGATGAATTTTAAAGAAACTCTTGTTCCATTTTAATAATCGTTTCTTACAACGATTAAATTTCTTATTATTAAGTTTCTATAAAATCATTCGCACTTTAGTTGATTTTAATTAATTCTCCTAGATTTATAGCATTAAATTATTCTAAATTTGACTTTAATTGTTTAATAAATTCTTATTGAATCTTATTCTTTTCTCTTAAAACCCAAACTTCCTCAGACAATCCAAGGATTTATTATTCCATATTTGAATAAGAAGTAATAAAATTTTCAATTTATTAAGTTTTTATTCTATTATTTAATTCATTAGTCGCTCTAGAAATTACTTCTTCAATATACTTTATAAATTCTTATTGCAGGTTTAAATTATTTTGTATATCGAAATCAGAAAAATTAATTTCAATTGTTTAGATTTCTTAAAATCTTTTTGGAGTTGGAATAGTTTATAATTTTGAAACTCTAGAAGATTATATTTTGGTTTCTTATAGAAATTTATCAGCCTCCTCTAAAGCTTTAAAATTGAGATTAGATGCCAATGATAAATCTAATTTAATAGAGTTAGCAGGAGCTTGATTAAAATTTTATTAAGGTTATTAATTACTAGAATGTGTTTTTAGAGTTTAATTTAGTAAATGATTTCTATTTTCTTTATTATTTATTTTTTCTTTTAATAAATCTTAGATATCCTATTTTAGATTTTAATTTTCTTGCATGATCTATTCATATTGTTTAAACTTAGATTTTAATTTTTTATGAGCTTTTGTTTTAGTTTCTAATTTGAGTTTAAGATCTGAATTTTCATGTTTTAGTTATTCAATCAATAAATCATTCTTATTAAATTAAAATGTTGAATATTATTATTAATTAGGATGAAATGGTTGAACTGATGCTAGTTACTATTCTAAAAATTAATTTTATTCTTTGACTTTTGTTAATTCTTCAGCAGACTTTTGTAATAAATATTCATAATCCTGTAATAAATTGACATCTTAACTAAAAGAATAGGCTGAGTCACTCTTACAACTAGCACTTTTTTTATATTTTTAAACCGACATGTAATCTGTTAATTAAAATAAAATAGTGTGTGGTTTTTAAATAATCATTATTTTGAAACTAATTATCCTTTATCCCAGATTCCTATAATTTCTTTAGCATCTAATTCAGTTAATACACCAAGTCCATGTTATTTTCCTAAAATCCAAGTTCCCTTAAGTGTTCTTCCATCTGAAAAGTAGAAAATGCCTTATCCTTCTTTTTTATCTTCCTTATAATTCCCAACAAATTTATTCCCATTAGTCCATTTATAAGTTCCTTTACCATGCATTTAATTCTAAAACCATTCACCATTATATTCTTATCCATCTGACCATATGTAAGTTCCAAAACCTTATATCTAATCTTATACATAGGTTCCTTCATATCTATTACCATTTGACCATGTGTATATTCCTATTCCATTTTTTAGACCACCAAGATATTAACCTTAATAGGTATCTCCTGATATCCAATATTCAAAACCTTAACCATGTTTTTCATCATCTTTCCATTCTCCTTCATAATAATTACCTTCACAATCTACATATTTTCCAAATCCTTATTATAAATCATCGATCCAATTTCCTTCCTGCAAATTAACTAAACCTTAATTTTACATAATATGATCCATCTGGGTGAATAAGTCTTCCAAATCCATTTGCTGCATGGTTTTACCAATATCCTTCATAATATGCACCATCAGACCAATATTAACGTCCTCTTCCTTATTTTTATTTATTTTTCCATTATCCTATATATATTATGCCAGTATTTATAAATGACTAGAATAGTAGATATGATTCTTACTTGTGGAGGTAATTTTATGCAATCATTAAATTTTTTATCTTCTTCTAAATCATATCTAAAAGGTTTTAAAGTATTTAACGTTTTAAAAACTTTAATGTTAGATATTTTTGGTTCTTCAACCTAAACAGTTAAATCTTAATCTGGAGCATGTTCGCTTTTAAAATAATTTTTATCAGCTTCCTAGTTTAGAGAAGATAATTTTGAAGGTTCAACTTTTGTAAGTTCACTTTTACTTTAGATTGATCGATCATTTATATCTGTACGAGGAGATGTAAACTTAATTAGAATCTTTTATACTTCGCTTAAAAGTTGCTGTCTTAAAGAATTTTCTTTCACTTAAATCACATTGGTTTATTATTATGGTTGCTAAGTCTTTTAATGTTTATTTTCTATATTTAAAGAAGCCGATGGTACAGTATTTTAGGTTTTTATAGATTAAATTTGAATTTGTGGTTGTAATCTTTTAGAAGGGGATTGCTTTTTTACACATACAGTACCCATTTTAATTTATAATTTATATAATTTTAATAGTATATTAACTAAATATCATCTGATATACTGATTTTCATCTTTAGCATAACTTTATTACATTTTTGATTGATTCATTCTAGATTATTGCATAATAGCTAAAAATAAATGAGAATAGGATACATTAAGTTTTACATGATTTATCTAATCTAGTAATTTCTTAAACTTATTAACTTTCGAGTTCTTTTCTTACATTTTAATATTTTTATAATAATCTTAGATAAAAGAGATATATTACTTTTCTAATTCTTAAGATCTTATTTTTCTTTATTCTTCTTATCCACTTAAAATCCTTTAAGTAAGAGCATTCAATTCATTAATTTATTTTTATCTAAGTTAAGTAATTAAATTCCTTATTTTTAATTATCTTCCTTAAGTCCATTTATCTAATTCATCTCTTTCTTAAGCTAAGATTTTTTATTAAATTAAATGAGCTTCCATATAACTATAAATAAATATGGAAATCTATACTTTTCCTATTTAGCCAATTATTCTTCAGTCTTTCTTAAAGCTAGTAATTCTGGTGAATCTTTTGATTTAACAGGAATAGAGTTTTCAAGTTCTTCTGAAAATTATCTTAATTCATCTTCATGTCTTTAAAGAGTTTATTCTTTAACTTTTTATGCCTCTTAATCAAATTCAATCATCTTTTAATCCCAAAATGTATTAAATTGATTGAATTCATCTAGATGAGCTTTTTCAATTTCTTATTTTTCAGAACAATGTCTATCTTTAACATCACCTTTATTTTTAGAATCAAGTTCTTTTTTAAGTTCTGCTAATCTCTTTTTAGCTAAATCAGCTTCTAAATATTTTCCAGCTTTTTCACAACTCTTTTAATGATCATATAATATTTAACTAAGAGTAAAATATTATTATAAATTACATATATTCTTCTAAATCTCCTTATTATGCTGGTAATGTATTATAATTTTTTCTTGATGAAGTTGGTCTTTAAAATGAACTCATTATAACAGAAAACAAATATTGTGAAAATTTTAATTATTAACAGTTAAAAATATAAATATTTTGCATTAAAATTCCTATTTATTATAAATCAAATATTTGTTTTATCATCTTCTACTTAAATTAAAGTACTAAACTAAAGTTCATTATCTTTTTTAACTCTTCTAATAATAGTACGTGATTATTTATCCCAATCAGTAGTGAATAAGACAATTAAGTCTAATATAGCTAATATAAGATTTGAAATTCCAAATCCTTACCATATTCCTATTGCTCCTTAATCTAATCCCCAAGAATATGTAAAAAAACTCACCAATGGTATACATATTATATAATATGCAACAATTGTTGAATACTAAAATATTAGATCTATATTTATACAAACACTAAATTTATTTTATTAATTCCTTTCAAAGCTCCACTTAATGTTCCTTATAAACCATCGACTACTAACATTCCTGCTATTAACCATGGTATTGTATCTCTAAATATTTCTTATGCTCTTTCAGCTACTATATTTTTATCTTAATCAGAAGCATAAAATGATGCCAATTAATCTCTCAAAAACCATATCAATAATGAACATATAGCACATGCAACAGCAAATATACCTAATCCTATTGCTACATAACGTTTAGCAATTTTTATATTTCCTTTGCCCATCTCAGTTCCTACAAAAGACATCATTGCTATTGACAAACTTATTGGAATTCCTATTTCATTTATATTCTATTCATACTAAAATATATTCCACACATATTTTGTAATCCTACTACTGCAATCATCTCAGATATACCCAAACTCAATGCAATAAATGACAACAAAAAAAATACAAAAAATTCTAAATAAATGTGAAACACCATCGGAATTGATGTTTTTATATACTAAATTCCTAATTTTTTAAATCTTGGAACATCCAATAATATTTTTGTTCCTTAAAATATTTCTCTCTTTAAACTAGTAAATTATACAAACACTAATTTATATTGATAAAAACATACAAACTAAGCCTACTATATTTAAAACTTCCGTTATTATTATAACTACTCCTGCTCCTGCTACTCCCCATTAAAATTTTACTATAAATAACCAACAAAATAGCCAATGAAATCCTAATGTAGTAAAATGAATTATTGTAAATGGATATGTGACTTTATGTGCTACCATAAAACACTTTGCACTTTCAAACTCTAAAGCAAGAATTACTGCTGGTATTAAAAAATATAAAAATTGCTAAGCATAATCTGAAGTCTATTCTCTTTCATCTTCTCTTATTGTTAGACTCAACGGATATTTTAAACCTAATAAAATACCTCCTAAAGGCACAAGCACTAAAAGCATCACATATAAATTTATATTAAAAAATCTCTTTGCTAGCTATATCTTTTAATCTCCTAAAGCTTAAGATGTATGCATATTTAATGATTGATTCAATCCAAAACCAAGAGGATTCAATAAAATAAACACACATGTTAATGCAAATCCATATCCAGCATTTGCATAAGCATTTATTCTTATCATAATACTATTATTTACTCTTGTCCTATATAATGTAAACTTATTGAAACGCATATGTCCAAGCAGATATAACCAAAAACTGTCTGAAATGTACAATCCAATAAATTGATTAATAATTTGAAAAGTGAATCCTCTTTTTATTATTCTTCCTAGATCTATTTAAAACCAACTTCAGACATTTAAATAATTAATTTAATAATGATTTAATTTATCTATTTCATATTTCAATCCATAATCATCTAATCTTTATATAATCCTATTTTTAATAATTAACAAACACCAAATTATTCTTTATTTTATTTTTATTTCTACTTAAAACTTTATGTGAAGAATTGTTAAATAAGAACTTATTTTTATTTTAAAATATATCGCAATTTATCATTTGATTTGTTTTATTATAAATCTATAATTTAACAATTATTTTTAGATTAGAATTCAATCATTACAATTTTAAAAATAAAAATATATATAATTAAATATGTATACGACTTCTAAATAGAAATTTATTAAATTCTCTACCATGTTAGAATAGTGGATAAAAACTACCTATTTGTTAAATTAGCAATAAAAATGCCCTAATGTTGTGTAATATTTAGTTTTCTGTCTAGCTTTATTTTAGCCTTATTATTTCAGAAAATAAATTGAAATTAATGAAAACATTATTTACAAACTACTTCAAATATTTATCAGGCCAGACATTATAATCATTCAAAATAAATATTTTAATGGAGAATTTTACATCATTTTACTGATAATTTAAGTTGTTCATAAATCATTATTCATACTGCTTTGTTTGATCAATTATTTTTATGAAGCATACTTTAAGAAGTTATTATAAAAAGATTTAATCTAGTATATACTATAAATAATAGCTTATTACTAATTTTTCTTAGGAATTTATTTTATTTTACCAATAACTAGGATTTTTGTATTTAGTTTTTACTAATCAATAAGTGAAATAAATTCAGGCATTAATTCATCAATAGCTAAATCTTTTCTTTGTGTCTTTGGATTATTGTTATACACGATTGAAACAATATATTTAATGAAAATAGATCATCACCCAACTTCTTATAAAATACTTAAATGCAAATAATTTTAAATTTCGAATTTTGATTATTATATACTCAAAATAAGGCTTCTTTAAGTACTTATTGCAGATTAAAATGAATCTATTTACTTGCAATTAATCTAATAAATTATTATTATACTCTTATCTATACTTTAAGTTATCAATTAAATAAGAAATTGTGGTTATATTTATGAAACACAAAAAAAAATATTTTTAAGTTGTTAAGCATTTTTAATTATGACAAGAATTTATAACATAATAGTTTACAGTGGTGTAAATAAATAGGATGTAGAATTAATGTTTTTTATAACAATTCCAACTATTATATATATCTTATTAAAATTATAAGAGTAACAAGATGATAAGCATTTTATTGCTCTCTTTTTACATAAAAGCAAAGATTCTAATTAGATGTTAAATTTGAATATAAATTAAATTCTTTATTAATTAGTGAGAATATTAAATAATTGTGATTGTGTTTCATCTAATTAGAATTTTAAGTAATCATTAATATATTTTCATCATAAAAGTAAATGCAAGAAAGCAACTTGTGTTTGTGAATTCGATTATAATATAACAGAGAGCACATAAATAAATGCTACAACTAGCTTAATGGTAAATAATTTTATGAAATCTTAATATAAACAATTAATAAAGAAGTTATTTTTAAGTAAAATGAAAAACTAAGTAAAATAGGATTTATTAATCTCTACAGCAATACTTCTACATGATTTTAATTAAATGATGATTTCTTTGCAAATTCTTAGTTAATTGAAAAAGTCAAGAGAAAATAAGATATTTAATGTATCATTTCTATATCATTTTATGAAGTATTGTATTAAGTTAATTTAGTTAGAAAGATTATAAAGAAAATGAATAAACAAAGATCAGAATAATGTTATCAACAATGGAGCAAGTGTAAATAAATTTAGTTTTATAATAATCAAGAATTAAATTTGAAGCAAATTTAGGAACATCACTTAGAGCTGCAAGTCAAACTTTGATAAGATAATATTTAAATGAATTTTTAATAAGTTAAACAAATTAATAAGAGTTAATTCTTGGAATGAAAGAATGTGTAAAATTAAAAATTTAATTTTATGAAATTTTAGATTCAGATTCTGGATTTACTTTTACACAACTATTTAAAAAGCTAAAAGAAACTTCAAGATCTTTACTTAAAATTGAAAAATAATTTTATCAATTATTTAATTTAGCTCCAGATTTGTCTCTTCAAAAAGCATTTTGCTTTTTTGAGGCATAAATAATGAATAATTTACTTGCAGCTTTTAAAGTAAAATAATCAGAAATTAACTTAAAGGAAAATTAAATTAAATATAGAGGTATTAAAGACTTAAATCTTTCTGCTGATGTCAATTCATTTATTTTATTATCAGTAGATGAGAATTTTAGAACATTTAGCATAATTTAAACATCCCAGAATTTTTTTAAACTATTTGGAATTTAATTTGATCTATCTACATATAATTTTAGTGATATAATTCCTTAGTTTTATAGCAAATATCATGAAAATTCAGTCTAGAATTTTTTTCATACAGGTTAAAATAAGTTTTACAGAAATTTTAATCATACTTTTATCAAAGGTCATAATGGATTGTTAAAATAAGTGAGTTTATGTATAGATAATACACAAGTATTTAAAATTGATAAATTTATATTTGTTGGTTTCTTGTAAAGTGTAAATACAGAACTTCCAATTTTAGTTGTAGATGCTTAAACATAAATGGCCTTTTTTACTAGTAAAACACTATTAGCATTTGGAATAAATGAATTTTATTAAAAATAATTAATTGAGGATGGTGTGTTACATTAAATAGGAATATTAACAATAATTCCATATTTTAAAATGTTATTAAGAACTGATATGAATACTGATATTGCAACTACATTTTGTTTCTTTCTTAAACCTTAATACAATTCAGAAGCAATTTTAACTTAATCAACAGTAAAAAAAGATTCAAATTTTTTTGTTTGGAAAAATAAAGACAATATAAATTGTTTTAGCATAGAAATAAAAATAGAAAAAATAACTCTTTAATTAGCAAGTTATTTTTAACTTGAATTTATATCAATGAAATAAATTTTGAGTAATGATGAGAGAAAGAAAGTTCTTGAACTTTATAAACCTTGTTTAGGAGACACTGTAACGAGTAAGGGATCAAAATGGAAAGGAAAGCATCTTAAAATAATGAGTATATTATCATTTAGACATGAAAGAAAAAGAAATACTTTCAAATAATAAGATAATAATTTAAAGTAAAGTGTTTTAATAAATAATAACAAAGGATAAACAAAAAATTTGAATCAATCTTCTTTTATTCAATAAAATTAAAGTTAATCAAATTTATTAAGTAGTAAAGCAAGAAATGAATAAGAATTTTATAAATCTTTTAATAAATCATTTGTTGAAAGTGAAATTTAAAATAGCTAATTGGAAAAAGAAGAGCATTCACCAGATAAAAAAAAAAATAATGAACCAAATAATTCAAGATTACATCAATAAGTAGAAAGAATAGGACAATAATCATCAAGTGTTGCTGGATTTTAAAGACCATTTTATTATAATAGATATTATTTATTAGAAAAAATGAGTGAAAAAAGGAATCCTAAAAAAATAGATTCTTTTCTATTTTTTTTTATAGGACAAAGTTTAATTTTTTTTATTTTTTCTTCTCTTGTGATGATTAATATGACTAATGATATGACATATATTATAGATAACATTTAAATGGCATCATTACATGCTAGTATAATGGGACCGCATGATTTATTTTTTTCAATGAGAATTACGGTATCTTCTTATTAATAAATGCAAAGAGAAGGTTTCTTGAATGAAAATTAAGTAATTTAATTAACAGATCCTTTTTATATTAATATAAGATCAGGATATTTAGAATTAAAAGAAAGTTTCTATAAATAATTGAGAAATGTATATTTGTAAGAGTTTTTTTCAGGTATTGAATTAAATTTAAGATTTATGGAAGAAAACGATAAAGAATTGTATAATATGTCAACAAGTTTTAGAGAATCTTTATTAACTATTTTATAATATTAATATGATCATATGAGAACAATTGAATAAAGATAAAGCACATCAGGAAAACCATGTTAAATATTTTTAATGGCTAATTATTTTCTCTTACATGACAAGATTGAGACAATTACATAAGAAATATAAAAATGGTTAATAGAAACTAAAGATACAATTGATAATAAAGGTAAAATCTTTTGGATTATACTTTAATTATTATTGATAACTTTTGGATTAATTGGATTGTATAATTTTAATTTGTACATTAAGTATTATGATTAGTTTTTACTAATTTTTAATGAATTTAATAAAAAATTAATCTATGATTAATTAAATAGATACGATTCCATATACTAATAATTATAATCAAATTAAGATGAGATTTTAAGATATAATTTTGATGTAGAATTAAATGAGTAAGAAAAATCCTAATCTTAATATGGAAGAGGTAAAGCACATCATTTTAAGCTTTTAAATAGAAATAGATAATAATTATCAAGATTTCATGTTTATTCAATCATAATTTTTATCACTGTGGTTTATTTAATATACACAAGTGCAATTTACTATAAATAACAAACTTATTTATCTAAATATGATGATACAATCTTATTTTATAAAATGATTTAAGATCTTAAATTAAAAAGTGGAAGTATTTATTTATTTAAAGAAATCAGTCTTAGATGGGATAATTTCACTTTTTTAACTTCAAATGAAAGAGATATCTTATATGAGTACATTGATTAATCGCATAAAATAATGAGTCAATATATTCTACTCTCTTCAACTTTCGATTAATCATAATATTTAGTAGGAAACAGATTTACAGATAAATTTGTAGATATATAAAAAAATATTATTTGCTTAGAAATTCTAGATGTAAGAATATATATTATATTTTTAGTAATTGGAAGCTTTTATGCAATTTTATTGTGATAAATCCTTTGAAGGTACTCTCTCAAAAGGTTTAATATAAAGTTTAAATTACATTTCAAATTCAATAAAAATTTAACAATAGATTAACAACTTTACAAAAAGAGTAGAAGTTTAATTGTATGAATAAGAAGGATCATAAATAATTACAAGATCATTTTTTGGTCTATCTAACTTATTTTTAGAAAGTGTGAAAGACAGCTGCGATGAATTAAATAATTTCTTAATTGTAAGTATATCAATTATAATTAGTATTTTTCTCTAATTTATTTGCTAATATCTGCTTTTCTAATTATTTTCATCAAGTAAATATATAGATAATATTTAATACATGAATACCATTAAATCAGATAATCTTTATTTTTGATACCGAAAGAGTCAATTCTATATGATGAATCTTTGGAAAGATATCTCAGAGAAATTGCACTTCATTAAGGTTTAATTTGATTTATAGACATAAATATATTAAATAATTAATCAATATTCAAACATAAAAATATATATGTTGTAAAAATAATTGAGTTAAAATTCGTCTTTATATGATCTATGGGTGATGACTGCAATTTTTGTGAGAGGATAATTTGTTTGTTCATAAGCTATTGAAATTTGTTTACTGATAATTAACTCACTTTAAACCTTAATTATGGCAATTCATCCAACATTTACACTAATTAAAGATTTTCATGTAAATTCATCTTTAGATCTAATCTACACCTTTATGATTAGAACAGAGATATACATACTAATAAATTAAAATTTGTAGGAAGAACTAATATATTTATTTATTTTGGCAATTGTGATCATTAGTAAAATAGGGTTTGTTTTTTTAATGTTTATGCTAAAAAATAATTATCATTCAGATAAATTTGTGCAATAGATTTAACATCATATGCCTTTATAAATTTTTGTTAGAATTTAAAGTTATTATTAACAATTACTTTGTCCAATTTTTATAATTCCATTTAATACTATAATTTTATTGTCAATTAAAAAAAGTGTTTCTTTAATCGAAATGAATTAACCTTTTTAATATGTGAATTTAACTTTTGGAATTGCCACCTTCATAATTTTATAAATTGATTAAATTTTGATTTGTTCAATTAATAGACAACCCATAACATTTAAGATGAGACCAATGGATAGATCAAAAGTAACAGAATCACATTTAATCATTTATATTTTTTCAACCATCTCTGTAATCTTATTTACTCTAATGGAAGATAATTAATCGATTAGAATAATTCAATATATTTTAATATTTGTTATTCAAGTAGTTTCAATAAGAAATTAATTAGCAAACTCAATATACATTTATAGATATCAAGAAATTATACTATATTCTGGTTGTCTCTTTTAATTACTTTATTGTATTCTTTAATTTATTGATAGCTTTAATAAAATAAATAATTAATCATTCTTATTATTAGTAATAACTCCACTTATGTTAGTTTATATTCTTTCTAACATTAATCATAGAAAGACTTAAGAATTTTTACTATTTTTTAAGTCTTCAAACACACCTGATATTTAAATTATAATGAATGTTCTAGTCAATATGTTAAACAAATGTGATATTAATGAAAATTATGTTGTAATAAGATCATCTTTGATAAATTATTATCATTCTAAATAATGTTTATAAAAATAATGTTCTTGTACAACTACTTTCTATATAGCAGAGCCAAGATAAGCTAATGCTATAACTGGGCAAATATTTAGAAATTTTGTATATGAAAAAATATCACAAATTAAAAAGACTATTAATAGAAAAAATTCTGAATTTTACTGCAATTAAGAATTGTTAATTTAATATGCTATTTTTCTTAATGATTTTGGTTGGACTATGTTAGCTTCCAAAGCTTTTAATAAAATACTAGTAAATGATTCTGTAAATCCATCTATAAATAAAAATTAAAATCTTGAATTCGATAAATCCTCTATTTAAAAATATACTAAAGAATTAACCATAAAATCTACAACTTAGCAATATAAGAAGTTTAAATCCTTAGATTCAGAGAAAGAGAAATAAAATGCTAATGAAATGAAATTATATTTCAAAATTAGTTTGGGAATTATTGATAGAGCAAGAACTATTCAATTATTTAATTAAACAAAATGGAATTTAAAAGCTTCATTTGGTTCATCTTTATAAGCAGCTTAATAAACATTTATTTCAGACTCAATAAATCAATATTTACATTATGAATTTATTCTTTAAAAAATCAAAGTAATGATTATTGAACTTATAAATTAAAAAGTTTCCTTTTTTTCAGAATTAATTAAAGAACAATAATAATTTGATTTTAAAAAAACTCTAAAAAAAACAAATGAACTTTGTAAACATCTCTATTTAACAGAGAATTTCATTAAATCATAATTTGATAAATATCCAAGTAATAGATTATAGAAAGCATTAACATTCTTTTTGGCAGAATTACATAGTAATTATATTGAAGCTAATAAAATCTACAATCAATCTATTAATGTAGATCTAAAATTTATTTAAAATAATCATTCTGCATTAAACTTAACCTAATAGTAAAGTGCTTATGTAATATTATCTTTAAATGAAGATTTAAAGCATTTAGAAGTTTAAACTATTTCAAATTAAATGCTTAATTTAATAGGAAAACCTGATTAAATAAACACATGTTTTCCAGAAATCTTACCACTATTTTTTTATTAATATCATCCATTAATGGTTAATAATTTTTTATCAACAGGAAAATCTCGATATTATAGAAATTTTAGTGCTAATTTTGTAAATGTTCATGATTGTTTAGTAAAAGGAATATAATTATGTTATGATACAACATCAGTTTTTCATCATTCTTAGTTAGTTTTTGTTGCATTTATATAAGAACTTGTATATGAAAAATGTTATATCATAGTGGATGGTTTTGATAAAAGTTTTGTGAGTTTGTCTTTAAACTTTTTGTAGAAAATTGGTTACGATGACAATTTGATTATCAAAATGGCAAAACATAAATATTTGAATGAAATATCAATTTATAATATTTTTCCATCATTTGACATTGCTTTACAAAAATAGTAAGAAGATAACAGACTTTTGATCGAAAAGCTATATTTTTTTGACTATTTAAAGGTCAGAAAATCTACAGTTGTTGAAAATAAAGAAAAAAGAATGTCGAATCTTAATCCCAATATATGGAAATAAAGAGAAAAAGTATTATCATTTATTGCTAAATTAAACATACTTGAAAGAAATCATTAAGATTTTTCTTATTTTATAATCGAAATTTAAGATATATAATTATTAAGTGGCTAAAATAATGCTTTTTTAGATGAAGTTTATGATTAGGAATCATTCATATCTGAAACATCAAATATTAGTAATGATAGTTAAAGTTGTGTTTTGAGTAAAATTGAGGAGGATCACCCAAATTAAATTTATATTCAAGACTTAAATAATTAAGTAACATTATTTTCACCATTAACAACTTTATTTAATAACAATGGTGATTAAAGTTCTCATTAGATACAAGCGTTAATCAAGGAAACCACTCAAAATTAAGCAGGCGAAAATTTAGTAAATTAAAATGAAATTAATAAATCTTCTTTATAAATAAAACAGCAATAATAAGCTTTTTACAATTGCAAAATTTCTCATTTAATTCCGTAAGATAAATCATCAATCGTATCTAATAAAAAAGATGATGATCATTAATAATAAAACTAACTTTAATAACAATAATAATAATAATAATAGTATGCTTAATCTTAATCATCTGTAGCCAGCATAAACTTATCAGTTAATTATAAAAAGTACGAGTTAGTAGAAAAGATCACTTCATAAAAGGCTCCATTAAAAATTAATTAATTTATAGGGTTTTTACTATTTTAAAATTTGATTCAAATGATTTATTTCATTATTATTTTAGCATTAATGCCATCAGATTTGGATAATAGCATAGTTGAAATAAATATGATTGGTCTTCATTCAGATGTTATGGCTCCCCATGATCTCTATTTTTCAATGAGAATTACTTTATCATCCTATTAATAAGCTTTAAATGAAGGATTTATAAATTAGACTTTATTTACATAACTTACAGATCCATATTATAACAATATCTATCTTGGATATTAAGAGTTAAAAGATAGTCTTTATAAATAATTAACTAATCCATATTTATAGCTATTTTACAATGATTACAATATGAATATTAAATTCATGAAAGATAATGATACATCAATTGTTACTGAAGAAATGACTTTTAGGGAAGTTTTATTAGTTATATTATAATATTAATTTGCTTATGCTAAAAAGTATGGAAGAAGAGAAAGTCCAAGTGGATCTAGTTATTAAGTATTTCTTTATGCTAATTATTTTGATTTACATGATTTACTTGCTTAAATCACTGATGATATATTTATATATTCAAAATCAAGATCAATAAGTGTGAATTAAAAGTGGACAATTTTTTGGTTGATTTCTATTATAATCATTATCTTCACAAGTGTAATTTCATTTATTTATTATAATTTATACTTAGTTCAATACGATAAATATTTATATCTAATGGATTATTTACCTTTTGATCTTTTGGAAAATGAAATTATAAAATAAAAATCTATTTTGTCTTAGATTCTTAATGATGAAAAAATCATATTTGACTACTAATTCAGCTTTGAATATTCTTCAAATAAACAAAAAACAACAATGTCAAAAAATTAAAAAAATAAAAAGTTAAAAAAAATATTTAAAGTAAGTAGATTAAAACCAGCTTTTATATTATTTATTTTTTGCGCTATTTTTGTTTCTTATTCAACTTTAGTTGATTAGTCAAGTTAAAATTTCTTTGAAAAGTATCAATTTACAATAGACTTTTTTAAATTAATTTCTGATTTAAAACTTAGATCAGGAAGTGTTTTAATGTAAAAAGAAATTTTTTATCGATGGATTAATTTTTCATATCTTTCAGATTATGATAAATATAGATTATATCTTCTTGTCAGCTAAGCAATTGAAGTTATGAATTAATATGTGTTATATGCAAATTCATATGATTTTGATAAATTAATTGTTTCTGATAAATTTATTGAGTATTATCAAAATATTGGAACTGAAAATTTATGCGAGATTTTAACAGATGTATTTTTAATTAATTTATTTACTAGAACTTCAAAAGTTTTATGTACAATTAATGCAATTATGCCTTTGAAGGAACTTTAAAGCATGGAACTATTTAAAGTTTAAATTACATTTCAAATTTTATTAAAGCAGAATAAGCCATCAATAATTTTACAAGTAGGTTAACTTATAATTTATATGAACAAGAAGGTTCCTAAGTGATCACTAGAATTTTCATATAATTAAATGATTAATTGTCGTAAGGGATTGAAGAAATAACAAATGCTTAACTGTAATTTAGTAATGTAATTATATAATATTTATTTAGACTCTTTCAATAATATATTTTGTAATAGCTTTAATTGGTTGTTTTTTGATTGCTAAATTATTAAGATAATATTTGATTTTTCAATATTATTTAATAAAAAAAATAGTTAACATAGCTCCATTACAAGTTTTAATTGAAGATGAATCATATGAAAGATAACTTAGATTACTTGTACAACAATAAGAAAAAGGATGATTTTCAATAATTTGATAATACTAATTTATATTTATGAGATTTATATTTTTTGTCATTTCCTCCTTTTTAAATTTTTTTTCTTTTTTTTTAATTTGATTGTAGGAATTAATTATTTAAAAAATAGAAAATATGACATATTTAAATTTAATAATTTTCTGGTTATGAAAATCTTGAAAATTTTCATTTAAGAATATTAAATAAAAAAATTCTTTTTTGTTTATATAGAAATAACAAAATAATGATTTTATATTTAAAAAAAAAGTTAAATGATTTGATACCTAATTTATATTATTTAATTATGCTAAAATCTGGAGGGTAAAATTTATTATAAAACATCACTTTAATATTATCACAAATTTAATAAAATTTAATTGAAGTAAAATAGATACACATTTTTTCAAAACTAAAGCTGTATGAAAATCTTTAAAAATTTCTAAAAGCTTTATAATAATTATGATATAAATAGCACTCTAAAAGAATAGTGATATATATTATGAACTTTTAAATAATGATAAGTATTTAACATATAAATTAATTTCACAACAATTTTATTAATTGTTTCTCTTTTATTTTAATCATGGGGTAAACTTGTAGCATAAGCACTTGTTGTTCAAAAGAAGAATTACATACGATGAAAAATTCAAGTAGATCTATTGAAATATAATCTAAAAAATTGAATGTTTCTCATTAAATAAACGAAGAATAAGAAAAAGTTAAAGAAAAAATATCGAAGAAAAAAAGTGATACTATGTCAGAAGTGATATCTTCTTAACATAGTAAAGTGTCTATAAAATAAATTGAGAAGAATCTTACAATGCAGAATTAGAGTTACACACTAAATCCTCTTATTTAGAAAACTATAGGAATAAATGAAAGGATTAAACTTTCAGTATAATAAATGATAATTAGGCAATATAATTACAAAATGGTGCTGTGTATTAAGGGGAATGGTTAAATGGAAAGAGGGATGGATATGGAAAGTAAGAATGGCCTGATGGATCAATATATGAGGGTGAATGGAAAGAGGATAGATCCTGTGGAAAAGTATAAAATTTATAATAGTTTAGGGAAAATTAATCCATGCAGATGGAGATATATATGATGGTGATTGGTTAGATGATGCAGCAAATGGTTTAGGAACTTATTTTCATCTAAATGGAGCAAAATATTCAGGAGAAGTAATTTGGTTAATTAATTGAAAAAGTGGTTGAATGATTATTAACATGGAAATGGTACTGAAATATGGCCTGATGGTGCTAGATATGAAGGATATTATTATTATGGAAAAAAACATGGAAAAGGATAATTAAATTTTGCGGATGGTTCATGTTATTAAGGTATAAGTTTAATAAATTTAAAGGGGATTTTATTGATAATTAAATTCAAGGATTTGGAAATTATATATGGCCAGATGGAAGATTTTATGTAGGTTAATGGTATTAAAATAAAATGTAAGGTTATGGAGAAATTAAATGGGATGATGGGAGGAAGTACAAAGGAGTAAAATTTATATTTTAATAATAGTTTTATTAAGATGATAAAAAACATGGAAAAGGAATTTTTTATTGGGAAGATGGAAGAAAATTTATTGGGACTTGGGCTTAAGGTAAATAAAATGGTGTTGGTATATATTTTTAATCAGATAATTCATCCAGGATTGGTGAATGGTAAAATGGAAGAAGAATCAAATGGTACAATCAAAATGAAATTAATGAATTATAAAATTAAGGTATTCTTGATGATCTTAAAAATTAATGAACTTTTTATATATATTATTAATTACTTATAATATTTAATACTATTAATTTAATTATTTCTTGTACTTAATACTTATTAAATCAAAAAAGATTTATATTAACTAATATTCTTTTGAATATTTTTTGAGAGTTTTTAAAAAAGTTGATTAGATATATGGATTAAAAAAATCTAAATTTTAGTTTATATGTGTCTAATTTAACTTATTTAATTTTAAGCAACATTGAGTATTTTTTGTTTATAATTTCAAGTTTCTCTTTTAATTTTATATTTTAATTTTTTTTTTGAATTTTGTAATTAAATCATAAAATTTTTTTTTAAATGAGAAATTCTTGAACAAAATTTCCGAAAGGGTCATTTAGTTTTTTTCTTTTTATAACTTAACAGAGTTAAACCTTTTATATAATATTTTACATTTATTCATTTATAATAATAAAAGAATATTCATAATGTTCAAATATTCTAAATTTAAGGATTTTATGTAATGTATTTGACATCCATCAATTAATTAATTTATTTCACAACCTAATTTTTTAATTACAGTCTGAAAATATAATAAGCTTGCATCTTCAATTAATTTTATTAAATAAACTTCTTAATTAGACCAGATAAGGTAATTTGTAAAATAAAAAAATAGTTTTAGAGTTTTTAAATAAATAATCTGTTACAAAATCTTATTACGATAATTAAAATAAGATCTTACTTTTAGAATCATAGAAGGAATTAAATCAAAAATATGATCCTTTTTAAAGAAAATTTATTTATATTTTTAACTAATACATTAAGAATCTCATAAATTTAATTAAGTGAATCAATTTTTTGAATTATTTGAATGAATTTAAAATCAAGAAAAAAATTTTGATATATCATATAAAATTAATAAATGTAATTTTATTTTACATAATATAAATTAGTTATTATTTGCTTATTGGTTTATAGTTCAAAATTGCATTATGAAAGAATTTCTTTATTTGCCTGAGATTAAAAATTATTAAGGTTTAAATTTGAAATTGCTCATAAAAATATAATATCTGATAGAGATTATAAAACAACATTTTTTTTAAAAGAAAATAGGATGGTATTTTTAGAACAATATTAACTTTTCAATATGAATTAAGAAAATTTTACCCTTCAAAATTTTGATTTTGCTTAAATTTACGAAAATTAATTAATTTACTTTATAATTTAATACATCAATTAAAACAAATGATGAAAATTTATATAATAGAATGATAATAAAAGCAGTTAATAATATATGACATTTATTGAATCAGGCTAGATTTAAATTTATCACAATAATGGATAGCAAGATTGAAAAAAATTATTAATAAACATAATAATTATTTAATGTTTTATGGCAAAAGAGGAAGTGATTTAACAAAATCCAATATTGAACTTTTCTTTTCTGAAAAAATACAAAAACAAATCTTACCTACTGAATCCGTTGAATCATTAGATAGCTTTCTACCCTAATTTCATTGCTCTAATTAAGAGTAACTTGAATGTGAACATAGAATAGTACTGTACTTAAGAGAACTTGGTATATAATTTAAAACTGATCCAAGAAATAAAGAATTAGATTATTAGTATGAATACTTATATATTCAAGTGAGGAGTCTAATAAAAAAGGGATAGTTTTTTAGGAGTCTATAGGTGAATCACCTTAATTGGGTCCACAAAAAAATAATGATATTTTTTAAAATAAGAAAATAAATTTTGGAGAAACCATACCCTGGTTAAAACCATTGATAGTGCGCAAAAATTAAAGTATAGAATCATGATTTTAATATTTTTAATTGCTTTTTAATTAATAAACTTAAAAAATATTTTTATATTGTGGTTCAATGATGATAAATTAATTTTAATTTTAAGTTGAAATCATTAGAGGAACTGAATATTATTATCTATTTTCTCCAAGAACTTCTTTTAATTTTTATTGACAATTTAATGTTTTTTCTATAAATTAATCCCTTCATTTTAAAAAGATTGTAATTTTTCTAAAATTTATAATAATTCCACTTCATTTTATGAAAGTGAAGTATAATAATATTTATTAAAAGTTTTTGATGATGGAAGTTAGATTTCATCAAAAATTTTTTTTGGATTAGAGATTTTCTATTTTAATTGATTTATTTAATTCAGCAAATTCTATTATTAGTTTAAATCGTTTAGTAACTTGCTATCTTAGGAATTATTATAGATCTTTAATTCTGTTTTTAACTATTGAATTTATAATTAATCGACTCTCTTTGTTAATTTATACTTTTTAATTTGATTAGTTTCCATTTAAAGGTATTGTTAGGATTACTTTTTTGAAAATTAATTATTAAAATTTGTTTTTAGAATTATTTTGATAACAACGTTAAATTTTCAATAGAATTTTTGTTAAAGTTAATACTTTACAAAATAAAATAAAGGATGATTATTGAAAAAAAGAATCACAGTAATCACAATAGAAAACAGAAAATATTATCTATAATAAAAAATTTAAATGAATTGTAAAATTAATAAATCATTATTTTTTAGAAGAATAATTAATATAGTATGGCTGAATTAGTATTAAGTTGAATGAAAATAAAGAATTCATGAATAACTTTGAAGTTTTTAAATATGATCCAAATTAATATTATTAGATACAGATTAATGAATGAGCCATAGCAAAATGAATAAAAAGCTTATATAATCTGCCTAAAAAAGTCTTAAATTTAATGAAATAATAGAGTGTTAAGCAAATTTTCTAAAAATGTATAATAAATATTGGCTGACATAATAAAAATTTGCCTTGAAAATAAGTGGAAAGTAAAGAAGAGAGAGATATTTAAATAAAATTGATTTTGGCATTTAATGTTCAGCTTGAAAAGAATAGAAAGATAAATAAATGGTGTATTAATTCAAAATATATAACCTAAATCACACATTGAATTAAATAATAATAAAATACAGTTAAGAATAAATTCTATTCTTTTAATGGAATAGGTTGTTTAGTTTAATAAAACACTTATCTAGTTTTTATTTAAAAATCGTAAATTTAAATGGATATAAAATAATATTATCAGGATAGATATTATATAAAATGACAATTTTTGTTCATATAGAAATGATTCCAAATATAAAGTTCAAATACTTTTATTATATGAAATCAATTATGAATGATGAAAAAAATAAAGAAAATCTGAGGGGTCATTATAAAATTTGATATTTAATATATTATTAATGGGAAATTATTGCCAATAAGTTGAGATAAATGATAAAGATTTTGCATCTGTCTCAATTGAAAACAGACAATAGGCTTTTTTAATAAATAAGTTTGACACTAAATGTTTTAATCTTAATATTTCAGATGTAAGAAAGTTGGCATAAATTGAATCATTAAATAGTACATCTCAATCTACAGATAAAGTAAAGTGTGTTCCTTTTAATCTAAAACAACATCGAAAAAGAACTTTACATCTTGAAACTATTTAGGATTCAGGTGTTCAATCTCCTAATAGTTAGAATGGAGAGTTTTTTGAATTTGCTAATGGAGTTTATATGGGATAGATTATAAATGGAAAAAGAGAAGGGGAAGGATAATTCTTTTATCATGACGGTTCTTGCTTTAAAGGAGTATGGAAGAATGATATGGCAAATGGTTTTGGAAAGATTATTTTTTAAGAAGGTGAAATATATGAAGGAAATTTTATAAATGATTAATAAGAGGGATTTGGTAAGTATACTTCAAATTAGGTGAAATATGAAGGGGAGTGGAAAGAAAATTAACCTTATGGATTAGGAAAAGAAATACTTAAATAATAGTACATATATGAAGGGGAATTCTAAAAAGGATTAAAACATGGTAAAGGTAAAATTTAATGGTTGATTGATGGAGCTAGTTATGAAGGAGATTTTTTAGATAATTAAATGAATGGAAAAGGAACTTATTACTTTCCAGAAGGTTAAATATATGTTGGGGATTTTAAAGATGGATAAATGCATGGAGTAGGAACATTTACTTGGCCTGATGGTAAAGTTTATGAAGGGAACTATAATAAAGGAAAAAAATAAGGAATTGGAAAACTCACTACTAATAATCTAGTTTATAATGGAGAATGGTATGATGGAGTATATGATGGTTATGGTATTCTAGAAGTTTAAGGTAAAGTAATTGAAGGTTATTGGGATAATGGTATTTTTTTAAAATGATTTTTTTATTTATTTATTTAGTATATGCTTATATATTACTTTATCATAATTATCTTTAGTTATCATAAATTCATTTTTATTTTACACCTTAATTTATTAATAGATTTAATAGATTTCAATTTAACATTTAATAATTTCTCAACACTTTAGAATATTATTTATTAATACAAAAATATTGTTTAAATAATAAAATAAGCAATCCATTACTATATTTTAATTATGGATTGATGACCTAGAAGATTTTATCTAAGAATTATAAAATTAATAATAAATTGAACCAATATTTTTTAATGAATAATAAACCATCAGAATTATTCAAATTATTGAATAATGCCAATTTTATCATTTGTGCATCAATGGCTCTAATAGCCCCTTTTTTTCCTCCATATGCTTTTGAATAAGGATTATCTAAAACATTAGTGGGAATTATAATTGCTTTACATCCATTAGGAGGGATTTTCGGATCAATTAAAATTGGATAAGTGTTAAATGATTAAAATAGATAAATTCTTTTAACAGGATCAATGATGGTTTAGGCTAAATGCTTATTTCTTTTCATTTTAACTTATTTAATATAATCATATTGGTTTATTACTATAGTATCATTAATTTCAAGAATTGTGAATGGAATAGTATTTAATTATTTATATATATAGGCATATTCAGTTTTTATAACATCCTTTTATTCTTACATTCCATATTTATATCCAGAAGAACATGAATAAAAGGTAGCTTTGGCTGAAGCTGCTTCTGCATTAGGATATATGCTTGGACCAATGATTGGATCTATTTTATATGCAATTGGAGGTTTTACTTTCCCATTTATAACATTCATCATTTTATCCATTTTATATGGATATTACATACATTATTGTGAATTTTAGAACAATAAAAAAGAATGTGAAATAGAAATGATAGAGATTAATTTTCATTCATAATATTCTTAACCTTAATTAGAATAACCATTGAATTATTTCGAAGTTCTTACATAATATGATGTATATATTAATGCTTTAATGTGTGTTATGGTAACTACATCAATAACTATCAATTTTCCACTAATGGCATAATATATGTAAGATCATTATCAAATTGAAGAATCTACAGTTGGATTTTATATGGGATTGCAACCTATGTGTTATACAATAGCTACAATTTTAATTACAAGAATTCAAAATCCAAATAAACCATTTTTTATGATAGGATTTTAACTTTTAAATGGAATAGCATTATTTTTTTATGGTCCTGATCCTGCATTTACTGGAATTAATAGAAATTTACTTATTTGTTGTATCAGTTTAGCCATAACTGGAATAGCATAATCATTTCCGTATCAATTAAAATATATAAAATAGTTTGATATATAGTTTACCTTAATTAAATGAATCTTTAATTGAATTATATCCAAATTAAGTGAAATAGTGTAATAATTTTGCATCAGCAATATTCTCTGCTTCTATTTCATTGGGTGAATTCTCAGGTCCATTTATTGGTGGATTTTTATCAAATTTATGTGATCTTGATAGAATTGCCTCTATTACAGGTTTGCTAGCACTTATTTTATGTGTCTCTTATATTCCATTTCTATAAAAGCATATGAAAAAATGATATATAGATTTATATTACAGTGTTAATAAGAATTTATTTTCTCATCCGTTTTGAATAATAAAATTTCTAATATAATTATGAATGATGAAGAAGTAAGATTGCTAGGAAATTAAGAGAGAAGGGAGAGACAAGATTATAAAACTTATGATAAGTAATATAAAATAAAAAATAAAAGAGTTGAAGATTAATCAGGTCCATCAAAATTTGATGCAGTTGTCTTACTGATTTTATTAATAATGTTTGGATTGTCAGGATTTGGATTAATGAATCATTATAATGGTAAATTTGCTTAATTTAAGGGTTAGTTAAAAATCCATCCCAATCTGTAGATAATAATGATATACGTGGAGGGTTATAAAATATTCATTAAAAAGATATAAGTGGATAGGATGTTTTCAATAAAATAAGTGATGGATTATAAAATGTTGGTGATAGTAAAGCACCTAAAGAAGATGAACTTGCAATAGATAGTGTTTTAGATAGTTATATCTCAAAAATAGAATAATACACAGATGTTCGTACTGATTGGGTAGATGATGAAGATGAAATCAATAAAAAAATAGAAGAGAAATTAGAAGAGTAATAAAATGTTGTTTAGGATCTAGAAGAATTGATAATATTATAAGAACCTGAGATCTCCATTCTAAAACCTGTGTATTCAAAAAATATATATACTTATAAAGAATTATAAAATGGAATAAGAATATTATTTATTTAATCAACTACTCAAGGGATTCATCTTACAATTACATTAAATATTGGAAAGAAGAATGATCCTTAAGATAAACCTGGATTGACAGAATTATTATTTAGATGTCTCCAAACCAATTTTTATATTGAAATCTACAATCATTATACTACATTAACGACTGAACTAAATTTATTTGAAGAATTGAATGCAAAATTATAAGAATTGTATAACATTTTGACAAAACCATAATTTATAGATATTGAAAAAAATGCTAAAGAATTATTAGATGATTTAATGGTTGAATCAAAATCTGGTGATTTAGAATATGTTAGTGAATTTTTAAGCTAATAATCTTCATTAAAAGAATTAAAGGTTTTAGAAGTAGATTCTGATTAATTATACTAATAATATATTCAACATATTTCAGCAGATACAATTAGTTTAATTTTTAAGAGTTAAGATGAGTAGGAAACTATTCTAAATAAACTATTTTAATCAGAATTAGTTAAATTAAAAAATTTACATAAATATTAAAAACCTCTCTTTTAAAATAGATATCCATTAGGTAGACATATTCTAAAATTTAAAAGTGATACCGAAGAATTGGCTATATTATCTATGAGTGATTAATACAGTTGTTAAAGATTCTTAGCTTATCTATTACCAAAACCATTATATGGTGCAATGTGGTAGGATCATTTATTAGTTACTTTAGATTAAGATTTAGGCACTGTTTTAAATTATATTAATAAATTTATACAATTTTTAGATTATTTAAAATAAGCAGATGAAACATAACTTTAATATTTATATTCTTAAATGTTATCAACAGAAGAATTATTATTTAATACTAAATATGAAGAGAATCTTGTTTAAATAGGATAAAATCTATTTGCAGATCCAATTTATGTTTTAAAAGGATAAGAAAGTTTACCTATATTTGACAAAGAGGAATTCGATTAATTTTTATCAAATTTAGCTAATAATTTTATTGTTTTAGTTGGAAGTGAGAATTTCTAATACAATTAATCATATGAATCTTAAAAAGATGATTCAATATTTATATTGGATGCTGTTTTAAATAAAATTCATCAAGAATTTATTTATGACTTAAAACCTTTAGTAAAATTATTTGAACTTAACAATTTATTTTAATTTTAATTACCTGCTATAAGTCCATTCTTACCAGAAAACTTAGCTATAATCTCAGTTTGTTAAGAACCTGTATATAAAATATAAGGATTTGGATTATAAAAAGTAGATGATTTAAGTTTAACAGTAAAAGAAGGAAAATTTGATGGGTCAAGAGAGCCAAAGTTTGAAACAGTAGAATTTGTTTGTGAATTTCCATTACCAGATTTTCAAGTAGATTGCTAAGAAAAGGAAAAAGCTGCTTAATTCTCATTAACACCATTTTAGATTGCTAGAAATATTTGGTGGAAACCAAGTAGATTAAGTGCTATGGTATTTACAGGATTATTTATTGAAAAACCTGAATCTACTTTAGCTTAAGGTAAAACTATGCTAAAATTATTGTAAAAATATTATACAGAATTATCAAAAAGATTATTTTAATAAGAATTTTTATTTGGATATGAATTAACCTTTAAAGAAACTATAAATGGTTTAAATATATAGATGCTTAGTTATTCAGAAAAGAAATCAGAATTTTAAGATAAAGTATTTGATTTAATGGCTAATAATGATGAGTAACTATTTTTATATGTGAAAGATTTATTAAAAAAGGATATTAGGAGATTTCATGATTAAAAATTGTCACTTTTGACTTAATAATATTATTTACCAAAAATAATGTTGAGACCAATTAATACTCCATAAGAAATATTAAATGTATTAGATGAAGTTGAATATGAATAATTTTAAAAATTCTAAAGCAATCTTTTATCGAGTAAAATTGAGATTTTAAATATTGGTAATATGCTACCAGATGAAGATGCATTTGATCATTCTTAAGAAACCTATTTGACAAGAACATTAAATTTAAAAGGATAAAATTTAAAGTATATAGTTTAAAGAGAATCAAATAATGATATGACTTCATCAGTACTAAATTATTATTAAACAGGATTAAAAAACATAGAAACAACTTCAAAATTATATTTTTATGCAGACTATTTGTAATCTTATTCGAACAATTACTTTTAAATGGGTTAATAAGTTTTAATAAAAAGAAAACCATTGGGATGTGCAGATGGATTATAAGTATATATGTAAGGGATTATGCCTTAAGATGGGAATGAAGAAATTGAGAAATTCTTAAAATAAGCTAATTTGTAATTAAGCAATTTATAAGATGAAGATATATTAGAATAGAAATTATATACAATAAATAAATTATATAATGAGATTAAATTTAAGACTCTTTAAGAAGAAGGGCAATTTATATGGGATAAGATTGTTAATAAGAATTATGCATTCAGCGAGATTTAAGATGTAATTAGATATTTAGATGATGCATTTCCATAGAAATTAAGAGAATGTGCAAATTTAGTTATGTAAGGATAAATAAGTGTACAAGTATATGCAATTGATTAGGCGATTGAGAATAGTGAAGGAATTTAGAGTTTAGAATAATTAGTTGATTAGGATGTTTATGAATGTTTTTTTACATTGTGATTTTGTATTCTAATATATTATTAAATGTTAATAAAAACTAAAGGTGATGTTGATGATAATAATTTAGATCGTATGGGCAAGTAAATAATGTATAATTTATGAGAGTGATGAAACTACAAATCTCGTGGTTCCACTATTTCCTGAGTTCAAGCATCCTAGTTAAGGCAAACAAGTTCTAATAAGACCTCCGAGTAAATAATTCTTGAACTCACCATCTAAAATAGAAGATAATCTATCAGGGAGTACAAAGATCACTTAAATCAATGTAAGTCTTATTTACTATTAAGAGTGCCGGACAGCCTTATGATTACATCGTTAATCGCTTTCTCTAGACCATTAAAAAACATCTTTCTTCACCTCAAAGGTAACACCACTCCTTAATATAAGATCTGAAGTGGAGGGATAAATCATACGAACCTTGATTTCATAACAAACCAAATTATAATATATGCTTCATATTGATTGGGCTAAATATTATACTAGCTATTTATAACATATTAATACTAAAGTTCCTGGACCCATTAATAATTAACCTTTTTTTGCTGATTTATGTTCAAATGACACTATTTATAAACCAAATCTAAAGTAAGATGTAGATTTTGTATTACTCAATCGAAATACTTGGATGTTTGTACATAGTTTATATGGTGGAGGACCTGAAGTCTCTATTTAAGATTATACAAAAGGAGAGGGATTTGAGAATTCAACATAAAAACCTACTTTATCAAGAGTTAGTTCATTGTAGTCAGGATTGGTAGATACTCTTTCATATATGAGTATTACACTACCTTTTTAAAAATCTTAATTTGAATTACCTCCAATCGGATTTTATAATGAATCTAATTATTGTTTTATGCATGCAGCACTACAAACTTTATTATCAGTTGAATAAATAAACTGTTGGATGATGAATGAAGGAAAGAGAATTGTTACATAATTTTCAGATAAATATCGATGGTTAAATGCTTATTTAGAAATAATCACATTAGCAGTTAATAAAAAAGCAGGAGCATTTATAAAAATTTAATAATTAAAGCAACTAATAAAAAATAAATTTGATCCTCGTTAATAACATGATTCTTAGGAATTTTTAAGATATTTTATAGAATAATTAACTGTAGAAATATAAGGACAATAAAAATATGATTAACCAATCACAGAAATAGTTTTTTAGGGATAAATGATGTCATTGATTAAATGTGATGAATGTAATTAATAATCTACAAAATTTGAATCATTTTTAGATTTATCTTTATCAATGAATAAATTATAAACCTTAGAAAAATGTTTAAGTTTATTTTTTGCTTAAGAGATTTTAAGTGATCATTATTAATGTGAAAATTGTAATAATGAAACAAGGGCAATTAAAAAATATGTAATTGGAACACCTCCTTTATATTTGATGATCCATTTGAAAAGATTTTAAGTATATCCAAATAAAATAAAATTAAATGGACATGTGAGATTCCCAATAAGTCTGGATGTTTAAGAGTATATTTTTAATTAACATAATTATAGATTTTGTTCCATAAAAGCTAAATATAAATTAAGATCAATAATAGTTCATTAAGGAACACCAGAAAGAGGCCATTATGTTACATTTTCATCTAGATAAGAGCAAGTAATAATAAATAATAATTTAAATAGTGGTATTATTTTGATGATTAAAAAATATATTTAGTTACAGAATAAGATGTTCTGTAATAGTAAGCCTATGTTTTAATATACGAAAAGGTTGAAGAATATCTAATTGACATGTAATGACTTTATTATATATTTATGTATGTTAATTTTCCAAAGGAACAAATTTACATATAATAACAAATATATATAGATAAGTGATTTAGTAAATATTAAAATTAAACATCCAAATGTTTTAAGGAATCAATAATTTTGTGAATTCTTTTGTTACGCCAAAGCCATAAGATTTCTATTAAAAAGGATGGTTAACACCAGAATAATTTGTGGAAGCAGGAGATTAATTAACAATGACAGGATGGTAATGGAAAAAAGCTTAAGTGAAAAAAGGAGTTGATCCTCCTCATCCTGAAAAGATGTATTTAGTTGCTAATGCTACATCTTAAACACGTATAAAAGATTTCTTGTCATTTGATTTTTAAAATAATCAAGGACAAGAAGGATTTTTATGCGTGGATATGAGCAAGAAATAATAGTAAGCTTTGAATGAACAAGAGACTCGTGTTTATACTATTACTATAACATATGATAGAAAATATCATTGTCCAAGATTATGGTTATAAGGAGTAGCATTAAACTCTGGTTTACCTTTGAAACATTAGGAGATTTTCGAAGATATTATGAGTGTCTATTAAAATGAAACAGTTACTGTAGAAGAACATCCATATCTTCATTATTAATAAGTTACCATTCACCCATGCAATCATTCAACTACAATGAAGGCTTTCCTTGATAAAGCAAAACAAAATGGAGCAGATATTAAACCAATGTAGGCATTGTTTATTTTCTTAAAATTTATGCAATCAGTTATGCCCACAGTAGTGTATGACACAACCATCGATATATGCTTGGGTGTTGATTGATAATATATATATAATATTTCACATCAAACAACCTCCTTCTTAACTTTCAGACACTCTACAATTTTGGAGACATACAATATTTCTTAAAAATAATTCATTGTCCACAATCACACATGGTCCTAAGAATTGAACATCTCCTTCAATTCTACACCAATATCCTATAATTGAATTGTAGCATATTATTGAGTTTTAAATAAAAGAGAAATTCTAAAATTAATATCTAAAATTACTTTAACTTCTACACCATCTAGTAGGATAGAGTTCTTTATTCGTACTCCTTCTCCAATCTCACAACCAGCACCTATAACTACATTACTACCAAAAATTGATGATGGATGAATTTTAGCACTTTTATGAATCAATACTCCATCAGTCTTTATTTCATAATCAGAACTGTTAAATAAGAATGGGTTTTGACAATAATATTAAAGAAGAAGTCTATTTGCATTCAAGAGATCTATTGTTGATTTTATTGATTGCCAGAATCCTTTATGTTCATATAAAAAAATTTTGTCTCTTTCTGCTTATTTTAGTACATCATTTTCTAAAGATAAATAGGATTTATCCAAATCTGAGCTTCTTTTTATATACTTAACATATGGTTAATGTTAAAGTTCTTCACTCACACTGGATTCTTTTTTTGCTTTTACATTCAATATTGTTGTTTTGAATGATTAATTAAAAAAGTACACTCCACAATTTACTAAATTTGAAATGTATTATTCTGGTTTTTCAGCATGATGAATCAATTAATCAGTTTAAAAATCTTTGATTAAACAACCAAAACGAGTTGAATCTTCTTTTGATACTCGAACTGTCATTATAGTGCAATTTCCAGATTTACTAATTTAGATTCTATATTATTTACTTCTTGTGATAATCATATAATTTTTAGGCTTACAAGTCACAACAAATGTCTGAATGCACAACCAATAGATCTTAGTGTTATTTTTTTTTATAATACCCTCTACTTCTTCAAACAACTCTTATAAATTTTATGCCAATCCCCCTGCTGTTCCCATTTCATTCATTTCTTAAATGTAACGTATATTTTTGCCATACAATTTTTAGTACTTTTCTTAAAAATGTTAAAAACACTTCTTATCGTAATAACCCATAAGAACGAAATCCTTTAAATTTGATAATTTTTGTATAGCATTTAGAAGATGACCAACTATTTCAACCCCACTAATTGGAAATAAAGGAGATGCTGATTCATAAGTTCCATAACTAGCTTTTCTACTTGGACCACCTAACAAGATTACTGCTCTTATCATTAATTATATTAAAAAAATGGTTTTTATTTGTAATTTATTCATTATTTTGATTTGTCATATTTATAATGAAATGTCTAAAATTTAGAAAAGAAAAATTATACCAATAAACACTTCTAAATTATAATGATACAAGATTTAATGATAAAGAACTTAATGTCTTGAGAAAAAGGTACCTATCATTTTTCAAATTATTATAGATTTATATCCATGACTAATGGAAGTAAATATATTAATAAGGAATAATTCAAAAATAATTTAGCTGTTTTAGGATTAGATTCAATATCATGTTTAGCAGATGCCCTATTTTAAGCTATGGATATCAATTTAGATGGCCATATTGAGTTTGAAGAATTTGTAGCATATTTTGATAAAATAACATACGGAACCTAAGATGAAAAAGCAGAAATATCTTTTCGCTTAATAGATTAAGCAAGAAATGGCTATATAACATATTAAGACTTTAGTAATACAATGTAATAGTTAATAAAGTCTTATACTATTATGAAAGGAGCAGAGTTGTCTTACGATATTATTGATCATATGGAAAAGAAATATTAAGATATATTCAATTTAATAGACATAAATAAGGATTAGAAAATTTCATTATAAGAATACATTATAGCTTTAACCAAAAATCCTCAAATTTTAGATGTTTTTGAATTTTTGAAAAAAGGAGTAACTCAAACTATTAAAGAGAGTTAACATATAAGAGATTAAATGATGTTATATGAGTTTGATAAATTAAATAAGTAAACTGCTGATATTTTAAATTCTCTCAGTGAATAACAAGAGAAATCTCTTACTTTAAAAAAAAAATAATCTGTTAAATAAAAATATGGAGTGGATGTTTTGATAGATGATGATTAAACAGAAAATCTAGTTGAAAAAGACAATTTAAGTTGGATTTAGAATCTGTCACATGAATAATTAAAACTTAAATGTTAAGATTTATATTAAAAATTACAAAAATTACATTCCGATAGTGGAAATTCTCTAAGTAAATTAGAAAATTTATATCATGAAAAATTAGAATAAGAGGGATTTTAGGAATAAATACTTATAAAATAAGTATCAATTAGCAATAATAAATACAAGAAATCTTCAGTTTAAATTGGGAATGAAATTTGGGATTTAGTTATTAATATGATGTTAGGTATATAAATGGCAGTGAAATCAGCAAATGCAGTTATTGAAAATTTCCTTTCATATTAAGATTTTGAAATAAAATAATGTTTTGAAATAATTTCCTATTAAAACAAAGATAAATGTAAATTCTATGATTTTGCTCCTAAAGTGTTTAATCAAATTAGAAAATTATAGATGGTTGATAATGATAGTTATTTAAATAGCATTGGGCCTGAAAACCTATTATTTAGTTTTATGTAGGGTGATCTCAGTACTTTAAGCGAATTAACATCAACTGGAAAAAGTGGAAGTTTTTTCTATTACTCTTAAGATGGATTATACACACTTAAAACAATCTCGTAAAGAGAATTTTTTTTATTTAGAAAAATATTAAGTAATTATTTTTATTACTTAAAACATTCTCCATTTTCTTTAATAATCAAGTTATATGGTTTACATAAAATAAGTGTAAATGGTAAAAAGATTTTCTTTATTGTGATGGGAAATGTTTTTAAGACTGAATATTAAATTCATAAAAAGTATGATATAAAAGGAAGCACATACAAAAGAACCACATAATAGGATGTTGACCCAGACGTAGCTCGTAAAGATTTAGATTTTATTTCTAATAATGAAATAATCTCAATAGATTAAAAAAAAAAGGATTAACTTATTGAATAAATAGAAAAAGATTCAGATTTTTTAGCAAATAATAATCTATTGGATTATAGTTTATTAATTGGAATTCATCATGTTGAAAGTAAGGATTGTTTCTAAATGGTTGAAGATTGCAAAAATTTAAACATTGTCAAATCTAGTGACTATAATAAAATTTTCTTTTTTGGAATAATAGATATATTGACTGAGTATAAGTAAATTATTTTTTAAACATATTTTAGTACTTCAAAGTAATTAGAATCTTGCTATAAAAGAATTGTATAGGGCCCATCAATTTCTGCTATTCCTCCAATAGAGTACTCAAAGAGATTTTAAAATTTCATAAGATCTATTTTAAGTCAAGAAAATATTTGATATTGTTTTAATAAATAAGATATATCATTAAAATCTACCTTAAATAAGAAAATATAATTTAGTTTAAAATAGAAACATTTATTCTATAATAATGCTTCTTATTTTTGTTCTTCTAGATTAAGTTATTTTAAACTAATATTAATATTGTATTTGAAATATGATAATTATAAGAGTTATAAGACTTATGTCGAATAATCCTTTTTTTGAAAATTAGAGAATTAGATGCTTTTAGAAAATTTATAACATTTTTATGATTATGAGTGAATCATTTTTATTTTTTATCCCAACATCTTAAGGCTGTTAATATATTCTAAAAAAAACTAGGGTCTTTTTTGTCGATTTATGCTTTTAAAACTTTTGGTGACTAATTGGAATTACATTTTTACATCTGAGACTTGTAAATTTACTTATTATTGTTAAGTCTGTTGCAATTAAGTGATCAATTTTTATTTTTCTTAATCATCCTGAACAAGATTGATAATTTCATCAACCATTTTTGGATTTTTTTTCAGTTATTATCCAGCTATTGTTGTTAAAAATTAATGAATCAATGGGATTCCAGATTCTAATATCCTATGTATTAAAGTTTAAAGAGATTACAATATCCTTTTAAACACCATTGTTAAATTGCCATTGCAGCAATTTGAATATCTTTTGTAACAATAAATAATAATAATCTTTGATGAAGCCATTCGTAGAATTCATCCTCATCCATAAATTCTAAATCTGGTTTCGGAGGTTTACTTAATTCAGGAAAAAAACTAATATATAAATCACTTTCTCTAACTTATTCAGAAATTGCTATATTTCTTAATTCATTAAATAATAATTAAATACTATATTTATTTAGAATTGATTTACTCAGATAACAAAACTTATTTATAAATAAAATTATTCTCAAAAATCGTATCCCTCACTCTTTGTTTCCTGAATTTTAATTTTTATAATACATTTCTAATCTTACATTTAGTTTTCTATTACTAAGCATATTATTTTTTAGTATTGGAGATTCTTAGATATTTGCTAATCCTTCTAAATCTTTATCATTATCTTCAAATCCTTTATTATTCTAATTATAATATTTATCTTCATGATAAGATACGAAGTTTTGGTTATTTGGCAAAAGTGTTGGACAATCAATTTTCAATGGCTAGGAGCTTTCAAAGTCTGAAGAAGTATTTATTGATTAAACCTTAATTGAAGTTTCATCAAACAATGGTTCAAATTGATGATACTGCATCTTAACCTTTTTTCTTATTTCATCTTCTTCCATAAAATCATGTTTTTAACCCTTTTATCCTTTTTGTTACAACTATTAGAAAGTTTAACCCTTCTCTTTAAGTTGTTTAGTTCTTTCATTTGTTTTTTAGTAAACTTGTTTCAAATCTTCAGTTGAAGGAATCGATTTCGATGATAATTTTAATTTAGAATATGAACCATTTCCCTTTTAACTTTCATTCTTTGGTAACATAAGAAATGAAGCCACAAAAAAGCCTACTCCTATACCAAGCAAAAATTTAGCATCTATAATTATTTCCAAAATATTCATGTGCAATAAAATTTATTAAAAGTGTATATATATTTTTTTCTAACAATCATACATCAATCCCCCTAAAACTGATGGATTCAAATCTTATTATATATTAAATAAAATACAAATACAACTAATACTTTATTGTTTTTATAAGGATTGTTTTTTTAATTTATCTTATTTGTTTTTGAAATCTTAAGAATTCAGATAGGAATCAGTTTATAAATATAAACATATTTAATAATTCTTTAGAGACTATGAAAAAAATAAAAAATAAGTATATTTGATAATTTCAGATTTCATGATCACATATATTCATAAAAGACTCTCTAATTAATTATTAGCTTTTATATTTATTCTAATCAAGTTAAAGTTTATATAATGTAAAGAAAAAAGTTCATTTAAAATATTGTGGTAAAATTTCAAACAAAAAAATTTTTGCAATTATTATCTAAAAGAAAAATGTTATTCGTCATCAAAAATAATTCTAATATCTTTTTCTATTGTTTTATGTAGTTGAATAAAAGTAGAATAAACAATAATTTTATTAGAAATGTATAAAACATATACATATAATCTTCATGATGCATATTTTCTTGTCCATTCTCTTGCTGTTGCTTCATAACGTTGCTTATCAGTTTTATAAATATTTGCGATTTCTGGTACTAAAGGATCATCAGGATTTGGATCTGTCAATAAAGAAGAGATACTTAATAAAACTAATTATATTATAATTTGATTACCTTTACTGATTGTTAAGGCTGGTGACCATTAATCTTTCAGAATATCTAAACATATTGCTCCATTTTGATTGATATTTGGATGATAGATACGAGTAACAAAGTTTATTTTAGGTGGCTTAAATGGATAATCTGTGGGAAAGTGAATATTGAGTGAAAATAGACCACCTTAATATGGGGATCCATCAGGTCCCATAATAGTTGCCTACCAATGGAATTAATCTTTATCATCAATTGGTCCGGCTGAGCAATTTGAAGGGGGATCTTTTGAAAGATCAGCTAATTCTTTTTAAATTCTTTTAAGTGCCATTTTTAATTTGTTTTTATAAATTAAATCAATTAATAACTTATCATTTATATATATTATTTATACACTATATTTTTTCCTTTCTAGCATACCGATAAAAACTGATTCTAAATTTCTGGAGGTCTATTCAATTAATATACATCTATTTTATCCTATCATAATTAAAAAAGAGTCATTAAACAATGGAAAAATTAATGATATGATTTCTTTTTTTTAATTAAAACCTTAGATAATCTAAATTTATTAAATGCTTATTTTAGATAGATGTAAAAATTATAGCAAACACACTTTGTTTGGCTTTATATTTTGAAAATTCTAATTATCATCATCAAATCTATTTTTGCTTTTAGAAAAGATTTTGCTGTTGAATTACCTAAAATGATTATTATTTTATCATTTTTCATTTTCATTTAAACAATAATACTAATCTAGTTTTTTTTGAAAAAGGTACAAATAGAATTAAATTTAAAGAATTAATAATCAACAAATTTTTAATATACCTCAGAAACTAAACTCTTTGAAACAATTAATTTAACAATAATTTTATCTTAAAAATCTATCCCTTAAAGATCATCTAATTCTTGGCATTGCGATATCCATAAATCTTTTTGAAGTTGCATAATTGAGTTCTTGAAAATTAATAAATATATGGGATAAAAGAAAGCCTAAATTTTATCAGATTCTAAAATCTTAATTTAAAATAAATAAATATAAAATGAAGAACAATTTTATTAATAAATATTAATTTGTTAATTGATTCTGGAGTAAAATAATCTTATAATTAAATTTAATCTACTATTGTATATTATTTCTTGTTGATTATATGCCACTCAGAAGTAATCCAGTACCTTAATTGTTACGATTGTTGGTTCAAATTGTAGCCTATATTATGGATTGAAAAGCAGACTTGATTAATCTTAAAATAAGATTGTATTACAATACTATATCTTCAATTATTTATATATAGGCCTTTAAGAATAACAATTCGCCAAGATTCACATTTACCCTTTATTGAGATATGGAAAATGACAAATCCCTTTGTATTAATATTGCCAACCATATCAAATTTGATTGGCATGATTGCATCTCATCCTATAATCATTTTAAAAGTTAGATTACAAAATGAAATATTGAGATAGTATGAGTAATATTTGTATTAAACTATTAGAACTAAAAATTATATTCAGAAATGACAGAAATGACAGGAACTTGTGGAAATTAGTTATGGATTTAAACTTCATTTGGTTCTCGTTTTTTATATACTTATTTATAATTTATTGCAGAAACTATTTGAGTTCTTTCTTAATAAATAAGGATATGAATTTATGAATGTTCTTAGACCAGACTCAGATTTCAAAGGGAATCTTATAAGTATAGGATTGTCAATGATAGGATCTTCTATCATATCATTTGCATTTTTGCAACTAATATATTTTTATCAATAGAGGTAAGTCTATTAAATTAAATGATTACTAAACACCAAATACAATCAATTAAATTATTTTTTATTCAGGTATAGAGTTAATTTATGTAAAGGTTAATTAAAAAGAAGAAGTAGTAGGATTTTTTTAAGGATATATAAATAATGTTTTTAAATAGGAATAGTATTGCTGTAGTATTTTTTTGGGGATTTTCAATGAAAGCAAATAAAGAAAGATTTAAACCTCAGAAGATTGATTGAGATAATGTTTTTTTAAAAAATGAAATATAGAATAAAAACTAAAATATCTAAAAAATAGAAATATAGAATAGATTTACAAATGGCAAATAAAGAAATAAAGAAATCAAATATACAATTTAAGAAAAATAATCTTCAACAACAACTATTTTTCTATTCATTTTACTAAGTCTAATTGGTTGTAACGATTTGAGGTTTTGGTTAATCTCTTGTTTAAACAAAATCATTTTTCTTTTTGATACCAATAGATCCAATCTTGATTCCATAAACCTAAAATCGATCATTTTCAGAGTACTTCTTAGGTTGGATCGATTTCCCCACTATCAATTTTCTTTAATACTTAATTAGCCATAGTTTCAAAAACATTATCAACATTTTCACCTGTCTTGGCTGAAGTTTCAAAGTATGTAAAACCTTATTTTTAGGCATAATTTTTAGCCTCTTCAGTTTTAACTTCTCTTCTTTGCATATTTAATATTAATTATACCTTTCATCTAAGTCTATCTTATTTCCTACTATAACCATTTCTATTTTATCACAAGCATATCCTTAAATTTCTTAATTCCACTTTTACAAATTTTCAAAAGATTTTCTACTAGTAACATCAAAGACTAAAATTCCACCAATTGATCTATATTAGAAATTCATTCTATACCCTCTATAATATGATCGCGTAATTGATTTAAAGGATTCTTATCCTGCCTAAACATTTATGAAATATCATACAGTATCCCAAACTTATAACTTGATTTATTTATCATTTATTTTTAGATTTCTTGCTCCAAATTCTACACCAATAGTTGGATCATGTTCGTTTCTGAATCTAGAATCTGTAAATTAAAGCAATAAACAGCTTTTACCAACACCTAAAATATTAATGATTATCATACTTGTATCTCCTACTATGATGAACTTAAAGAGATAATTGTAAATATTCATAAATAATTTATTTAATTAATTTTATTTGAAATACAATCATCTAAATAATTCTCTTCATAAATTATTATAAAGCAGATATTCTGCTATAAGTATTAAGTGAGACAAAACAATAAATAATTTACTAAAACTCATTATAATTGAAGTTTAAAATAATCTTAATAAAATTATAGAAATTATTTAGATTATTAGGTTAATTTTAAATATTTTAATTTAAATCATTTATTTAATTTTTATATGAGAACCACTTAAGAGAAATACGAACACGTAAGAGCCGAATAAGCACAAGCTCCCATAAATGAAATTAAAGTCTCTGCCAGAGGTCTCGATGGATCTTACATCAAAAGAGCAATTGAATTGTTGTAAGGCACATAAGATATCCCCAAATAAGAATTTGTAGTAATCAAAGGAATTGACAATGCAATCCCTAAGGTTTTAATTATTAGTGAAATTGTAAGAAGAAGAGTAGTTGGATTATCATAAGTATATAAAAATATTATATAAAAGATTAATCAAATAGGTAATACTTAAATTGTGGACAAATATGTACCAACAGAAGAAGGATTAGTAGAAGTCAGTATTACTAAATAATTGTCTATATTGACTGTTAAATTGACTACCAAACCAACAGAAGAAGAAAAAAGGTCTGTTGGATACTAAGAACCCCTCCCTGAATCTGAAGTTGTTCCTTAAAGATAAAGATAATGTATTTTAATATATTTAATTATTTAGAAGGAGAAAAAAGAGAAAGAAATACAAGATAAAATAGAGGAGGTCCAAGAGGTGAAAATAACAGAGGTCAAGATAGAAGAGATAATAGAGATAATAGAGATAATAGAGATAATAGAGATAATAGAGATAATAGAGACAATAGAGACAATAGAGACAATAGAGACAATAGAGATAATAGAGAGAGAAGAGAAAGAAGAGATAACAGAGATAACAGAGATAACAGAGATAATAGAGATAATAGAGATAATAGAGATAACAGAGATAATAGAGATAATAGAGACAGAAGAGATAACAGAGAAAATAGAGATAACAGAGATAATAGAGATAATAGAGACAGAAGAGATAACAGAGAAAATAGAGACAATAGAGATAATAGAGATAATAGAAGAGATAATAATAGAGACAATAATAGATAAAATAATTCTAGAAATAACAATACAAGAGATTAAGAAAATAAATAATGACATTTATAACATCAATTTAAGGAATAACAATAAAATTTTACAATATTCACAAAATTATATATATTTAGATAATTTAATTAATATTCTATGCAGAATGATATAAATATATCATTGAATTAAGACTAAATTAAGCAAACCATAATGGTAATAGGATTTCAACAATGTGGGAAGACTACTCTCTTTTAAAAATTTACAGCAATAAATCAAAAACTTTTCCAAGAATCTAATATTCCAGATTACGATATAGAATTAATTGATACGCCTTCCTATAATTCTTTTTTTACTTTATAAACTTTTAGGGATCCAAAAGTTACTGGATATATAATAATATTTTGTGAGCAAACTTCAGAAATTATGAAATCGATTAAGGAAATTCGGAAAAAATTATTTTAAATTAATGGTTAACATAAAAGGACCATCATAATTTTTAATGAATTTACTTATGAAAATCAGTCATCTGCAATTTAAGAAGAAATTTCAAATATCTAATATTGGTGCAAATAATAGGATATTATATTTTCGTAGATTAATGTATTAAGAGCTACATCTAAAGAAATTAGTAATTGTTAATACATAAATAGTAAATTTGTTTGAGAAGATGTTTATGAAGAAAATACGAACCACTTTGTTCTAGAAAATCTTTATAATAGTCTAGTTTGCGATTGCAATTTATATTTTTTTATATGCCCTTTGGCTTTCTATTAAGGATCCATCATTAATTGTATTATCTTATAATTTTTGTTTTAGATAAGCAATGTATCTTTAGAGATTTACTGCTTAGCTTTGCTATGCTTAGGGATTTCAAATATTTTCATTCCATATTTTTGTATAATTTAACAATATTCATAGTGAGAGCAGGAATTAAGGATTCAAATAATTAATGCATTAATAGAGTAAACAACATTTAGTTAGTAAGTCCAAATTTTTCAGTTGTTTAGTTACTGTTATCTCAGTAATAACCTTGATTATTGCCTCCATGTACTTCAAATTGCTATCCTGCCTGATTATGTCTATACTTTTCACGTTTAATTCAGTTCTTTGCTTATTTTATACATTTTATCTATGAAAAGTTATATTTATTAAGATCATTTAATGATTATTTATAAAAAAGATATATATAATAAATAAATCTAAGGTCTCTTTCAATATTTATTTTTTGATGCTAAAAATAAAAATTTTTACATTTCATTTTGCAATCATTATTTTTGACCATCATAATGATAATGGTCTATTCAAATAAATAATATTAATAAATATTTTAATTCTCTAAGAATAATAGTTATTCTAGATAGAAAAATTTAGACATGTTAGAGCATGCGATGAAATCAGTAAATATTACTATATAATAACAATTAATATTCTTAGATAGTTTATTTAATTCAAGAATCAAGTAACATTAATAAAATTTATTGGAATAAACCCTTACTTTATAAGTTTAATTATGAGGACATATAATTTATTTCAAAAGAAGCTTAAAATAAAAATAAATTTACAAAAAAAAAGTATTAGTAAAATTATTAAATCATTATCTTTAATCAGGAATGTGATTAAAAGAAGTAAATTATAATCTCATGACCATTTTATTAAGAATTAATGGATAATTTTGAAGTAATTTTAAATTTTTATAAGAGAAAAAGCTAAGAATTCTTTTTCTCTTGATGAAAACAAAAAATATAAAAAATAAATAAAAATAAATGATACACTATATATGTGTTAATAAAATATCATATAATAATTTATGAAAATAATTTCATTAATTAAGAACATTGCCATTCTCAGTTTATGTTTAAGAATGAATGTCTTTAGAATAAAATATTAGAAAATATTTTTTTAAATTAGAACATATTTCTTATTATGTCACAACAAGAAAATTGTAGTATATGCTTTGAAGGTTATGAAGATCCTGTAAAATTACCTTGTAATCATGTTTTTTGTAGAGAATGCATAGAAGTTGCTCTAGAAGTATATTTTTTTTATAAAATTTAAGCAAAGGCAGAGTTGTCCAATGTGTAGAAGATTATGTTGTAATTACATAAACTCAAGATTTCTTTCAATCGCTGAGCCTGAGGAAATAATGCATGAACATTAAGGTGAACCTTGCTTCATCTATAGAATAACAATACATCAAAATGCTTAAACTCAATTTAACTTCTTTGAAAAAAGGTACAAAATATGTAAATATTTTAGATATGTTGAAATGATAACAGAAGTTTTAAAAAAAAACTTGACTTTTATAATTGATCCTCAATACAATGACTGTTGTATGAGAGTAAAATTAATTGAATGTATACCAGTTCATTAGCATTAAATATACGTATGTACAGTATAGAATATTGAACGTCTTAGAATTATTGGAATTTCTGAGAGATAAATAAAGGATACTGATTCTGTATAATTTATAATTAATATTTAGAAACTTAAATATGCAACTACACAATCAATAATTGACAATTTCGATTAAGAATCTTTAGTGCTCTATTAAAAATTGCATACATGTATTGATAAAATGATCTAAATACTTACCTTAAATGATAATGCTAAAAATCAACTATTAACAATGGCTGGAAAAAAAGATGAAATCTAACCAGATAAAATATCAAAACATTCATTAGAATTATTGTAAACTATATAAATGTGTGAAAATGGACTTTTGAAATGGTATTACAGTACGGATCTTAATGGAAGATTGGGAGTAATTTTAAAACATTATGAATCTTATCTAAATTATTGTTAGAACTAATGATTATCATATTTTATATATTTTTTATTTTCAAACGTTCATTTTATTTTAATTTATATGTAGGCTCGTATTCAACAGCTATCTAAACATATTCCAGATAAGCGAATTCATAACTATGCTTTTTCAACGTAAGCAATAATTGGAAGAGGTTCATATGGAGTAGTCTATATAGGAAGAAATATAGATTCAGGGTATTTGATATTTTAATTTCTATTTTAGGTAAACTGTTGCCATAAAAGCAATAGCCTTCTAATAATATTCATCTGAAAATTAAACCTTATTACAAAAAGAAATTGATATAATGAAAGACTTAGACTGTCCAAATATAGTAAGACTCATAGATGTAATTACAACGGCTAATAATTGTTATATAATTTCAGAACTGTGTACAGGAGGAGACTTAAAAGAATACATGAAAAGATAAGTAATAGTTACATATAATAATGTAGGGACCTATTGAAGAAACAGCAGCTACTAAAATATTGATATAAATATTGCGGGGGATTCTTTAATCTTTTAAAAGAGGAATTATACATAGAGATCTTAAACCAGCAAATATTTTAGTTGCCAATAATAATATATTTAAAATTGCTGATTTTGGATTTGCAAAAAGATTTGATAAGTTAGATGAAGATTTGATGACATCTCTTGTTGGAACTCCACTCTATATGTCTCCATAAGTATTATTGAGAAGACAATATACTTCTAAATGTGATGTATGGTCAATAGGATTAATCTTTTATGAAATGATAGAAGGTAAAACGCCTTGGAATGTTAGAGATATATTAGATCTAGTTAATAAACAAAGAAATCAAAAAATTTCTTTTTGTAATTTTATTAATAATATAATTAGCTAAAAAAATTTCAAAACTTGCTCAATAATTCATAACTGGTTGTTTAGCATATGAAGAAAATAATAGATTTGGTTGGGAATAAGTCTTTACTCATCCATTATTTGAAAATGCTTTTGAAAGGTAGCCAAAAAAAGATACATAAACATAACCATAATCTTAAAATCCTTAGTCACAGCCTCCAATTTAAACATAACCTCAATAATTATATTAATAAACATCATAGCCTGTATAAAATCTTACACAAAATTAAAATTAATAAATTACTTAAAATAAAAATACTTCAAAATAATAACAAGCTTCTATGCATTAATAATAAATTTAATAAGTTTTCACATAAACTTAACCTATTTAATAGTTATAACAATAGATAATAAATTAATAATAAAAGCCAATTATTCAACCACCATAATTTTAGAATACATAAAATTTGACTCCTCAAGATGGTAAATAAAGCAAATCTATGCAAATAATACCTAATATTAGTCCAACCGATGATAAAATTAAAAGGAATACAATATCTCCTTTATAATTACATTTGGACAATAGATAAGTTTAGTTAATTAAAGGTAAACATTATTTAAAAACTCATGCTTCTCCTTAAAATGAAGAAGAAAATAAAAATAATATTTCAAACCAAAAAATTAATAATTGTTAAACTTAACCAAATACTTAAAAAAAAGACAGAACTGTAAGTGTTGTTCATCATAAAGTTGAATCCTAATAAACTACTAGTAGATATAGTGATAATAAGTAATGTCGAGAAGAATAATTTAAATCTGAAAGAAATTATTGTCCTCCTAAACATCTTTATCAAAATTCTGAGCCAAAGTTTTTATTTCATAGGTAATCCTCTGAAAATGATGAATTTACTATCAACAGAATGTTAATCTAAAATTAGATAGAATTTTTATTATTTTTAAAAAAACTTAGAGAATAACTTTTAGAATTCTATGGCAATAATCAAATTTAAGCATCAACTGTAGAAAAATTATCATTTATTCTTTTAAAAAATGTAATGATAAAAACAACTGATATTAAATCCAATCTTATTGATAAATAAATTAATATACTGGATTTAAGAGATTTTGAACATTTTAGAATGACAGAATCATTTCGAAATTTAGAAAAATGCATTTTAGAAATTCATTTTGAAACATTCAACCAATTCTAAGAGACTTTCTTGCATTTAAATGAAAATTTAAATTTGGTTATGTAGGATTCAGATTTCTTAGAAATATTTAATAACAATTTTGAGTATTCCATTCATTTTGTTAAATTTGCTTATAATTTAACTGCCTAATTTATAAAATGTAATTATTTAAATTAATTTTAGCATTTCTTTATGATTAAGTTCTAGAATGTTCAAATGTCAAGATTGTCAATTTTACTTTTCTTTTAGGACAATTAGCATAATATTTATAATAAATGTCTTTCTCTCCAAATGATGTTAATAAACTTTTAAGTAATTGCCGTAGTTTCAAGGAAGATTTTAGATTAAAAAGAGTTGAATGTCTAAACTTAATGGAGAAACTCATAGTTAAATACAATTGATTTAATGAATGAATTATTACAATTTATGTTATATATGCTAATATTTGAAATTAATTATTTTACACTAAATTAAAGTGAATATAAATAAAAATAAAAGTAATCTATCAAGAATAATTAGATTTACTATGGAAATTAAGTTTAACAATATTTAAATGTATAAATAATTGAATAAATATTAAATCATCTAAAATCTTTATCAATTTGAAATATCAATTATTAAATCTTTCTATAAATAATTTAGCAATTAAATACTTATCTATATCGTTAGCTTTTGCTAAATCTTGATTCTTATATAATTATTGGACAGTCTTTTAAACATTCTATAATAAAGTAATTGCAGCTAAATATTCTTTTGTTTTTTTTAATTTTTAATCACTTTATTTTGTTTTAGAATTGATTCTTTTATTTTCTTTTTAAGATTGAAGAATTTTATTGGTAGGATCTAATAGGTTAATATACTCACTTAAGCTTTGTTTAATGAAAGTTTCAAAAGGCGAATTAGATTTACTAAGTTTGCTTAAAGGAATCTTATCATTATGATCTGAAGTGGAAAAGTATACCTCTGTCATATCATTTTTTTTTGGAGTTAGTTTAAAATTGTTTGAAGCTTTTTAGAAATTATAAAAATTAATACAATTAATTTAATTAATTTAATTTTCTTGAAGTGTATGAACTGATATATGAGTTTATTATTTTTAAATGTCTGTAGGGTTAATAGGATTTATTGACAAGGATTGCCTATGTTCATGCCACATATTAATTAGGTTAAGCACATTTTCATTAGATTTTTTTATTTGTTTAGCTTTATAAGAATTAATCTTTTACTTCTCTCAGTTGACTTTGAATTAGAGTTTAAATAGTATCTTTTTGATGCAGATTGATTTCCATTATTAACATCGTTTATTTCTGTCTTTATCCTTTCAAATTAATTGGATTTCATTTGTATGTAAGATTATTAATAAAAATAACTAAATCATAGAATAGTTTATGAATTTAAATATATCTAATAAATTAAGTTTTAATGAAAAAATAATTTTTATTTTCAATTTAAATTTATATGATAAATGAATCTGTTAAATGAAATTAAATCTTTATTCTATTTGTTTATGAGATATTTAATTATATAATATTTTGTATTGTATTATTAACAAAATTCACTACTGCTATTTTTTTCTATGTTGAGGACTGGCTACATTTGATTTACTTTATCTAGATGGTGAGATTATTTTTGATCTTAAACTTCTAAATTATAATTTTAACTCATCTTTATTAGGGATTTAACTCAAATGAGGACTATTATTTCCTTTAACAAAGAAATTGTTGTTTTAAGAAAAAGGAGTTTTTCTAGTTGCTTTTGTACTTTAATTAGAAAAAAGTTTAATTGCAAATTCCATAAGTCCGTCATTTAAAACATCATTTTATTATTATAGTTAATGATTTTGATTACTTCTAGATGTTGCTAAGCCTGATTTTGCTAGATCAATATTACCCATAGAAACTTATCTAGATTTTACTCTTGTAGTCATTGATCCTTTATTTGCTGGTTGTTATTATTAAAGTACTTTATGAGAATTTTATTAATTTTAAGAAATTACTATCTTAACAGTAGGAGGTTTGTTAGATGTTGCAAGTTTTGGATAGCGAGAAATGAATGGAGCTTTTAAATTTTAATTTGCTTTGATTTACTTTTCTATATTCAATTTAATTGTATTAGATGGAGTTTAACTTTTAGTTGGAAAGTGATTTATTCTTATCTAATTTTTTGGTTCTAAAAAATCAATTGGGTCTAATATTTCATTACAGTTTCCAATTTAAATAATAAGATCTTTTAGTAATGTCGAATTTGTTATTTTCGAATAATCAGCTTATGTTGTCACTAATTTTAAGTCTTTTAATAGATATTTCATATTTTCAACAGAACAATCATCTGAAGAATCCTTTTACTTCACTGGACTAGGCTGCACATCATTATGTACTCCTAATTCTTTTTTTATTTTACGATATTATATATTTCTAACTTTCTCCATTCTACAATTAATTAAATTCGAATGAAAGTTTCTTGGAATATTTATATGATATTTGTAGTATTCAAGAAGAGATTAAATTCGAGTATCTGATTCTGAAGACTTATAAAATCTTTTATTAATAAAATATCTATTACCTTCTCAAATATTCAATTTCTAAATCATAAACATTTATATCTTAGTGTCTCATTCTTTATTTAGTTCTTTTGTTTTCTAAAATATCATTAATGTCTCTTTAAAAGTAAAAATTTTATGATTGTGCATATTTACAATATAAAGCTTTTGTGAGAACAAGAGAGAATGAACCATCTTGTTTATATTTCTAACAAAATAAACAAGCTGCACTTTTGTCTTGCTTCATAATAATTATTATGTTAAATTATATAATTTTTATAATGAAATATCAAAAAAATCATAGAAATTTACATCAATTCTTGTCTCGCTTCTTAACACTCATGATTAAAAAATACAATCAAATATTATAGTAAAATTTTTTAATTGCAATTATGAATTAAACATCTAAAATAGTTTACAATTTCTTTCTCTCTATATACACCTTTTAAAGTTGATAAATACATAATCATACAGAAATGTATTGTTTAATTTCATAAAATAGTTAATATTTTATTCAAAGTTAATTTTAAAATAACTACACTTATTATTCTATTTTATTTTGAACTTTTACACAAGAAATTCATGTTTAGAGATTAAAATTCAATAGAAAATCTAATTATTGGGTTATTGGAAAATTATAAGGAAATTTAAACTTTTTTAATTCTAATTTAAGATTAAAAATGTAGTAAAAATTTTTCAATCTAATTTATTTTATTTATTTTTATAAAATTAATATGGGAAACAGAAAATATTGATTAAAATTTAAAAATATAAATCATAAAAGTTCATTAACAAATTTATCTCGTTAACTTAGATAATCTGTTAAAGAAAATTCATCAAAACACAGCATTCCCTAGTTTTAAAATGAAATTTCTGTTATTCCTCTTTATTTTATAATTTTTCTGTTTGCTTTTTTTTCTTTGTCAATCCACTTAGGATTATATTTTTATTAATAATTTCTTTCCTCAATTTCAATAATTCCCAATAATTATGACTTCAATTTATTCTCTAATTCTGGCTTATAAAACTAGGTATTTAAATAATTTACATTTTAATAGTCTGGAATTCTTTAAACAAATTCCTTTAATTTTGATAATAATACTTTTTGAGGATGCTGTGCAGATATTGAATTAGTTATTAGTATAAAATAATTTTCTAAATTATAAATCTAAATAATTTACTTGCTTAAATATCGTACTCAAATAAGAATTGACCCATATCAAAATTCAAAAAGAAATGTTATAAAGGAGCCTTTGATCTTTGTAATAAAAATTCTTATATTTGCATTCTTTACATTTTCCATAGATTATCATTTGCGAATCCTCTTTTAATTAACATATAAAAGCATTATCTTGAGGTATCAAAAATAGTGAATCCTTTAAAAATAATCTCTTAGTTTGAAAAGGATTCAGATGATTATGGATCTTGCATTTCTAAGTCTAAATCATTAGAACTTAGAAGTTTCTTATATTATTAAATTTATGAGAACAGATTAGGGAGAGCATACATTGATTGAAAGTTTTAGTTTAAATAAAATTCTTTTTCTTGTATTTTCTTTTCAACTTAAAAAAAAGCTTATACTTCTAACTCTTCTTTGAAGAACTGTATAATATGAGTGATTTACCTTAATATAATATTCTTAGGCGATTAAAATGGCAAAAATCTCATTTAATAGTTCAGCTAAATAAATATCCTCAACATAATTTTATGCAATAAGAATCAAAAACCTTTCTATAATTCATTAATATCATTACTTTAGAAATAATCAAATTTTCCCCTTACTTTTCCAAAAGCAGATTGCATTTCTAACACTTTCTCCTCTAAAACTTCTTAATCAATAAATTTTTTTCTTATGTCTCTCTGAAAAGAGAACCATTATAAATCCAATTCAATGTCTCTTCTCATTTCAAAGAAAAAAATTTATCTCTTCAAATCAAATATTATAAATCCTCTAAATTATAACATTTATTAATTAATAAAGATCAATTAATAGCCTTAATCACTTTTCAATCATTTGTCAATCATAATATTAACTATCTCTTGTACATAATATAAATACTTGAATAAGATAGAAATATTAATTTAATATTTGATTAATTCATAATCGGAAAAAATAAATTAAATTAATAGTAGAGCTAATATTATATTAATTTCTTAATAAAGGGAAAATAATATTTAAGGATAAAATAATTTCTAAAAATTTATAAATTATTGAAAAAATATAATATTAGAATGTTTAATAAAAATATTTGAGGCTAAGTTCATATGTTAGATATTATTATTATTTTTTTAATTCACTTTTAATAATAATAAATAAAATCAAAAAAAAAAATTGAATTAAATTTTTGATGAATCAGAAAATTTGGCATGCTTGTTGTCCTGGTTTTAATTGACTCTATTATTGAGCCCTATTTGAATATAAAAATATTTTTACACATTTGATTTAGTGGTGCCTTCAATTCTAGGTTGATATTATTAATCATTATATTTGAAATCATATGGAGTAAAACTATATGTTGAAGGTTGGAATTCTCCAGGTTTATAATCACCTGTATTATCATACAAATGATTATAATCTTCTGTATTTCCTAAGTTATTTTTGTAAGGACTTGTTTATAAATAAGGGTTGTTGTTATAGTTATTAGATTTAGATATATAGGATTAGACTGGATAAGGATCATTAATATCATTATATTTATCCCATTAACTAAAGTCATATTTCTTTTTAGGATCATTTGAAATCTGAGGTTAGTAATATGTTTAACTATAATTTAAGTTATTATCAAATTCCTAAATATGTACTGGTTCTTATTAAATTAAATCATTTTTAATTGGATAATTAATTTACTGTTAACTTTGTGGTTGATATGAAATTGTTGGTATATATTATTAAGATGGTTATTGATTTGAGGCTGGTACTTAGGATAACACAGATTAATTTATAGGATTTTAGGAAGGTTAATTAATTAATTTTTAGAAATTTTAATTATTATTGCTGGGTCTGCTAGATTGAGATGTTTAATAGGGTCTGCTATATTTATTACTGTATTTAGGTTAATAATCACTTTTATCATCTATCATGAAATCATCCATGTTTGCTTATATTTCTTAATTAACTTTACTTGAATTTTATAATTTCTATTTAAATTCTTAATTTTCAGATCCCCTCATCGAGTTTGAATCATAAAAAGGAATATCAAAACTTGGCTTATTAGATTTTTAATTATTTTATTAAATTTATTATTATTATTATTACAATTAATTATTATTAAAAGAATTTCCACCAAACTGTGGCTGATTACTCTAGGTATTATCTTATAATAATTGATTACTTCCATTGTTAATTTAAGATAAATATGAATCATTTAAAACACTACCATATTTTCTCTCATATGGTACATAAGTGTCATTCAAATCTTAACTTTTTAAAATTTCTTAAATTTATTATGGTTATTATTGAGATATTGTAGGTTATTAAAGGGGTTGTGATTCTAATAATTTAGGTTTTGATACTAATTATTTAGGTTATGGTGGTTAAGATGCAAGATCGTCTAGATCTCTTGAACACTTAACACAAATACATTTTTTTTTTTTTTCTGTCAAAGGAGGTTAAGAAGGTGATTATTATTAAATAATAGGTTGATAAACTTGATTATTTATAGGAGGAGGTGGAGAGTATATTTCTACTTCTTAGGGAGCTTGATTAAGATATTACATATTATTAGTTGGTTATTAGAAAATGACTTGAGGCTCTTCTTCATAGATTGGCAATTCTTTTTATGATTATTATTATTGTTATGGAATATCATAGATATAATCATTTGGATCAGGAGGCCAGTATGACTATAATATTTTTTAACCTCCTAAAGATTATTCTAAATATTCAGGATTGAATTAATTAGAGAGTATTGATAATTCCTTGTCCTTTAAGTATTTAATCTTATTTAATGTAATTGGATCAATATAATCTAAATTATTTAATTTATTTACCTTCTATTTATTACATTAATAAATTAATTGAAAGTGTACTATTCAATATATAAATTTATTAACATGAATTTGGGAAACATGTCTATAATGTTTTAATAATTTAAAATATTTTGTCTAGAGGCATTTTGAAAGCACTTTAATCTTTAGTTTAAATTACAACAATCCACGATTCCACTTTACCTGAATAAAACATTAATTCTTCAACTATCTTGCATAATATAACAGCCGCCTTTTCAAATAAAACTAAATCATCTATCAATTTTGTTGATACTGCAATGCAAGGAATATGATTTTCAGTTCTGCCCTCTATATATATAGCTCCCTTTTACTAGGTTTATTATTTTATCATATTACATATAAGGCTTCAACTTCATAATTTAAATTAAGATAAGAAGGCTATGATAATATGGCATCTCTTTGTATCAATTGCTATATTTTCTATGATTAAATACATCAAATGAATATTAGATATCAAATTTATTTGCATACAAATATCTTAGTAGTAAACTATCAGAATGTATATTTGGATCATATTTTTAATTCCTTTAAAGCTCTTAAACTAATGAATTAATTTGTTGCCTTTCAAATTAATCATAATCTTAGTTTTTGAAGATATTTCTAATTGCATTTTATCCAACTCCACTCTTGATATTAATCGCTAGATAGAATAAAAGAGTATATTACGATTTAATTTAATATTATCAGCTACTTGATTAGGCAGTTTTAAATAATCAAATCGTTATTGAAACATTAAATAAATAAATAAATTAATCAAAAATTCCTTCTTCTTTTAATAATTCTAATTAGTATATTAACTAAAAAATAGAGTATCATAATGCATTCATATAATACAACAAAGGGATATAAGACTATTCCTCCAATAAAATAAACAAAGAAAGCAATTAATAGAGTTTATACTCCCGTCATCCTAAAGTTTATTATTAAAAATACCTACCAACTGCTGCTTCATTGTCCCAACGATTAAATAAATAAAAAGATCCACCAAAAGGATGAAGTATAAGTAATAAAATTCCCAAAATAATCCAAATAGGTGACATTAATACTAACAAAATAAAAGGCATAAATTTATATAATTTAGGATATCTCCATGGCATAGTATTTGAATATTATTTATTTGGACATCCAAAAAAATAGTTATATTAATTATAATGTTTTGCTTAAATTTTATTATATTATTTTACCTGTATATTTTCTTCTACAAATCCAACAAAATTAATATTAACATCTCTTACATGTCATATGATTGCATCCCCCTTCTTTTTGAACTATAATTTTACATTTTGGACATCTTTAAATCTTTTCTTATCTACTATCCAAAACAAATATTGAATCCATCAATTCATCACAACTGCTCATTCCATGGTATTAATTACCACAATCTATACATATTTCCTATCCACATTAACATCTCTTTGTATCCAATTACACATATAATTCACATTATTTATTAGGACAGTGTCTTACTGTAGGATCCTTTTCTGCAAATGATTATGTTCTAAATTTGGCATATTTATCAAGTTCATTTTGTTAAATATTTTAAACCACTTCTTCATATTAAATTTCATAGTAACAAATAGGACAATTTATCTACATTACTATTCCTTCATCAATCTTTAAATTTAAATATTATTCTAAACATTTTCTAATTTCATTTATAAATAAACCTGCAAAATTTATGTTTACATCCTAATTCAAAATTATCTCCTTTTTATTCTTAACAAATTGGACATTAATTTAAATTCAAATCTTAAGACTCTCCTTCAAAATCATTTCCTTCTTACATTATTTTATAATTAAATTATGTATATTTAATATCAATTTTAAAAACAAAGAAACCTAGACTTAAGTTTTGTCCCTAATACAATAGATAATTATATGGAAAGAAATGGCTAAATTTCAATATTAGATTATTTAAATTTGTGGTAATAATAAAGTCAATATTGATATCGAATAAAATTTATTTTAAGAATTTTGGACGAGCTATTATACTTTGCTCTGAATATGGAAACATTAAATATAAGTGTGTTTTAATTTAATGATCATTACACACCTAATTAAATCAATTTTTCTTATCTTTCTTCATGTTTTTTGACTGCCTCTTCATATTCTTTTTTCATTTTCTCATTCTTTTCTTTCTCCTCCTATATCTTTTATTTTAGTAATTTTATTTCTGAAATATTTTTTTAATATATAGATTTTTAATCCTTTATTATTTATGTCATTTATTTCTTCTTTGGTTCAATTACTTTTTAATTTAATTATTCCAAATATTGTTTTTTTTAATTTTATAGCTCTTATTTCTCATTTTATTTTAAATCATTAACTAATTCTATTATTGCATTACACCAATTAATTAATTATTAAATTTTATCACTAATAAAAGATCTTTCATTATCAAAACTACATATAAAATTATAATATTTACAATTTGTCCATTTCTCTTAATGTATAAACTGGATGCATTAAAGGTTCTTCCAATTTTTCCTATTAAGATCTAGCTAATAAAGTTATCTCTTCTTATGTTTCCTTGAATTAGTCTAGTTTTATTAAAAATGGTTATTTTTCTTTTGTAATATTTTCTACTGGAATCTCTTTCGTATTATTTGGAAAAGGTTAAGCAAGATTTTTGCAAGCTTATAAAGCTATTTGATATAATGCTGATACAATTGTTTTCAAATTTGTTTACATAACTTCATTTATATCTTTAATATTCTTTTATGTTTAAGGAAAACTTAGAGGCAGAAAAAATCTAATCCAAAAATTAATAATTAACATCATATTTTGAATTCCAGGTTTCATACCTTTAAGTGATCCTGATAATCCAAATTATAATCTACTTAATTCAAATTTTGAATGATAATTTTATTATAGAAATTCATAATCTTATGTTAATTTACTAATATATTCCAAAGAGCTTTTTTAAAAATTGTAATTTAAAACTGCTTAAAATACTTCAGAAATATATTATTTTAAATTATTAGAGTTTTAGATCAGTGCTTTAGGAGTAACTTTCTTTTCTTGAGTTTCAACTACTCTTAAATTAATGTTTTATTAAGCCATTTTTTATACTAAAATATCACTAACAGTAACTGAAAATCTCATCATTTCCATTTTATATTCATGTTCTAATTATGGAACTTTATCTTTTGAAATATTTCTTTTTTATGATGCAACTTTGATTAATTCATTCTTTTTGAAAACTAAATAAGAAAACATTATAAAAATTCTTTTTATTTTGTAGTTGTAGCATTATTTGATAAGATCTTTAATTTTTTATTCATCTATAGTTAAATCATAATAAGGTGGAATTGGAATAGGTTTTAATCTTTACTTTCTTGTTTTTTAGACATATTCTACACTAGGTTCACTGGATTATTAACTATCACTTTCAATTATTCCATTATTAATATTTTTAATTGATTACTATTATAATTATTCAATTAAAATACAAGCTCCTTAAGCATATTTATTTAATAATTTAATTTTTTTATTTTCTTCTCTCCCTATCTAAAAGTTTTTATTTTAGGTTATTCAATTGGATAAATAGGAGGAGGTATTTCGAAAATTTTTTATTATTTGAAAGATATTTCACTATGTTCTATTTTTTTATAAGATTTCTTTTTTCTTAATTTCTTTAATTATTATTCTAGTTTTTCTTATCTTTATTAAAATTCATTTTATTTCTTAATCATTTCCTTCAAATATTCTAAAGTTTATTCTGAATTTCTATTTGAATGTATCATTTATTATTGGGGAATATGGGTCTTACTATATTAATATTATAAAGTGTACTATTTAATTCAATGGATTTGTTTAAGGAAAATACTGGAATTACTAATTTCGATTCACTAAAACTTTAATAATAATAATACTATTCATAGGAAATCCTGGAGGTATAGGATAAGGACTTAAATGATGATATTATGGATGCATAGGTACAGGAACTCTAGAAGATTAAATAATTTCAGGTTTAGGAGATCTGTTTTAATTAATATAAGGAAGACTTGTTTATTTTTTAGATATATTGTTAACAAGTAATAAATCCATTAATTCCATTTCTCTTGATTTTGGTCTAAATAATTAGTTATATTTATTTAATATACCTTTATGGAGGAACATCCTAAGTCCAAGTAGCATAATCCTTTTTAGTAGTAAAATTAACATTTTGTATCAATTATCCAGGTTATTAGGGAATAGCTCCTAAAGGTCCATTAAAATCTCCATTCGAGTAATTTGGACTGTACATTTACAAATTTCGATTTAAATATAAATATAAATATAAATTATTTATATAATAAAAGAGAAGAAAAAACTTAATAAAACTACTTAAGTTTTTAATTTACTAAATTTAACTAAAAAATAAATGAAATTAAATACAACTTAATTGCCATAAAAAATTGTTCTTATATTTTTTTATACAAAATAAATCAATGAAGCTATATTATTTAGCTTTAATTGTTAGATTAAACTTCAAATCCTATAGAAAGTGGTCCGTTATAGATAGTTTTTTAATTTATGTCGGCTCTAATAAATTATTGAAGACCATTTATTAGATACTTACGTTTTTATAGTTCTTTTTTTATCATTTTTGTTTTATAGGCTGAATAGATGTTAAAAATTTGTTTTACTACATCTAATAAAATATTTGAACCTATTATAAATGAAAACAATCCAATGTGAATCCAACCTAAAATATTTACTACTTCATCATCAAAACTTAAACAATAAGGAAAAAAAGTTGAAACTATTAATAAAAATGTTATTTCCCTAAGTATGAGTCTTATTAATTCAATTTTCTACATTAAAGGTTGCACAGCAATCAGATAATAGCAGTATATTATACATAACATAATTAATGAAATGGATTGAATAATAGCAGAATTAAATAGAAAACAAATAATTGCCATATAAATGCTTACTTTTATCATTGAAAATGGAATACAGAATCTTGACCAATAATTTGGTTTCACATTTTCATAAAAAATAAAATATTTGTTTAATACTTAAGAAGTAATTTTCTTTTATTATACAGTTATTGATTTGAATAAAAATATGTGAGGTAAAATGATGCAAATCAAAGCATTTATTGAGTTAAAAGTTTCAAATAGGTTTTCTATTTTAAATATGAATTTGTATTCTGGACATTAATTATAAGCACTGTACATTAGTTAATATTAAGAAGATATAAATGCTTTTATTAATCCTGAATAAATAAAATACCTAGAAGTTTTTAAACCAAAATTTTTAATTTATTAATATACCTAATAAAACTTTTTAAGTTGATTAAATTATTTAATTTTACATAATAAACGAATCATGATTGAATTGGTATTAATAATAATTTATGCTAAGAGATAAAAAGAAATAGATAAAAACATAGTAAAATAGAAGCTCTTTGCATTAATTAAGAAAAAGGAGTTATTAAATTCTTAATCTTATTTTTTAATATTTTTGGATTGAATAAATGGGACTTTTCCAAAGTTTAATTTTTTAAAGAGTTAATCAATTTCTAATTAATCATATAAAGGTTAAAAGGAGACAACTTTAAACACTTTTAAATATTAATCTAGATGACTTGGAAATGGAACACTCAAATATCTAACATATGAAAGTTATTAAAGTAAAGCAAGCATATTAAAAAATAAATCAAAATTACCTGTTAAGACAGATAATGAAGATGATCCAATAAAGACATAAATCATAATTTAATTAAAAGCAATAGTATTATTTAATCTAGATTATTAATCTAGTGATAATATTAAGGGTGTACCTAAACTAATAGTCTCAATTAATTTAGTGAGTTCTTATTTTTATGAATTAATAACAATAGATTAATTTAATTAGATTGAAACGAATGGATAATTAACCTTTTGTAATAAAGTGATATATAGATGATATTCAACTTATTTTAATAAGAGCGATGCTTAAACAACAGGTTAGATTATTAATTGAAATTAAACATTTTGAGTAACATTAATTTATAAGAAATCCTCAAACCGAATATCATCTTTGAGTTACACTTATTAATTAAATAACAATTTAATGATTTATTGAGAATCTTTTTTTTAAGAGATATTTTACAAAATGATTTATGGATGTAAGACTTATTTACATTCACTAATTAAGGTTGTTTAAGATTAATAACAAACCCAATCTTACTCCACTCTACATTAAGAATTACAACCATCATTATCATCTGTATTTCCATCATCACATTCTTCAAATTGATGTACTGTTAATGCATTGCCACATACTGAAATACATTAATTATCGTACTATTCCCATCCAAAATCACACTTATCACATATACCAAAAATACAATGTAAACATTATTAATGACATTGAAATCGACATTAATAACATCCATCATTTTCAATATTATTCATATCATCACATTCTTCTTATCCAACAATAAGTCCATCTCCACATATTTCAGAGCAATTTCCTTTTTAATCCAATTCAAATCCTTAATTACACTCTTAACAAATATTTTCAATACAATTATTGCATCCATATTAACATTATATTCTACATCTATAACAACCATCATATGGTATTAGATTACCATCATCACATTCTTCTTAGTTTCCTAATATTCCATCGCCACAAAAAGTATAACATTCTAAATAAATGCATTTTTTATTATTAAAATCCCACATACATTATTCTTTATCTTAATCTTACACACATGCTTCTTAAGATGAAATTGAATAACATGTTGTTATTTTAATACATCCTCCTCCTATTTTATTTGTACATTATATTAAATAATCTTAACATTCTTAATGACTGTTAATATTGATTGATGCTGTATCGCAAGTTTTATTAACACAACGATTTTCAACTTCCAACCAAATACAATTTTTAAAATCAATTGCAAAAGTACAACCAGCTTTATTATTTACATCTTAACATAATGTTCTCTCTACACATTATTTTCCATCTGTTCTACATTTATTATTACTCAGAGCTATTGAACATTAAATATCTAGTTCATATTTATAATCATCACAAAGAGACATTTTACATATCTTTGTTTGACAATTTTAATTAAATTATTCACATTCTATCAATTCTCTAATCTAATCATTTGCTTGATGACATAATACTTCCTTACAATCTCCACTAGATTAATCCCAAAAACATTCAACTTCATCAATATTTCTTTGATTTGGAGTTAAACATTAGAATTTATTGTATTAATTACAAAAATCTAATTTTGTGATACATCCAGATCTATCTTCATTTATTGTACATTTTTTATCATATTATTCTTAACAAATCTATTGAGTGTAAATACCTAATGGACTACTCTTACAAACATCAAAAATACATCTATTTCTAACCCAACTACATGTTTATTAATATTTATTAATATAACATTGATCTTTTTTTATATAATCTTCACACTCTTGCAAATCCATGCAGGAATGCGAATTATCAAAATTTAAAGTACAATTCAATGAAAATTATTGACATTCATTATGAGTTGATAAACTATCCTCTATTATAGAACATTATAAATCTAGACATATTTATAATAGGACGCTCCAATAACACTGTTTTTTTTTAATATCTAATATGCAATTCGATTAATGAATATATTATGAACATAAATCAGCTAAAGCTTGACAACCAGATGTAAAATTCTTTATTTAACAAACCTGATTGTCTTTAATTTCCTAACAAGTGTAATTGTTATAAGTTGTAGCATCTGAACAAAGTTTAATTTCTTCACATTTATTTGACAATTCATTAAAAATACATTTTTTATTTTTCAAATAGCAATTTAAATGTGTAGGATTTCCTACATTAAAACAGCTTGTTTATAAATCCTCACAATTTTATGTGGCCTCATTATAATTACATTTAAATTATCTGTTCTCACAGTGCGATTGACTTTTTGTTGCTAAATCAGAACTATCATTACAAATTTCAGCGTAGCATAGATTACCAGTGGTATTCCAAATACATTTTTCTTATTTGGAATGATATTAGCATTATTAAGAATCAGTAAGTTGATTACATGTTAGTTATCTATTTTAGCAGTTTTGACTAGTATTGAAATATGTACAATTTGGTGAATAAGCTTTACAATAAATCTCGTTTGATTAATTAGGACTACTAGTACAAACAACAATTTAACATTAAGAATTAACCCATTAACATTTATCTCCATCTTCTCCGAATTTACATTATTCTTAAGTTGGATAATTTGAACAGTTTTCAGCAAAACATGCATTTCCATATTTAAGAGTACATTTAGGATTCCATGATTAACATTCTTAATGAGAATCAAAATTATTTGATTTTGGAAATTAACTACATAAAATTTAATTATTTTCACTTTCACAGCTGTTTGGTGATTTAAAAATGCAAGATGACAACCACTATCTGCATGAATAATTTGAACTAACATTTTATGCATTTGCACAAGTTCTATTTTCACATTAATTAGCTGTAATATTCCAGAAACATGGTCCTTACAATGAACCAACATCACATTGAACTTTATCTTTTAAACCTTAACAGTTTGATGATTAATCAATGCATCCTCCAATTTATTTATTGATACATTTAATATTATGATATTGAACCCATTTTTTACATTCAACTAAAGTACTTAAGGTTAGAGGTGCATTCTAACAATTATGAAATTGACACTAATTAAGAGATTAATTCCAAATACAAGGAATACCTTGTAATGTTGTTAGACACTATGATTGNTATCTAATATGCAATTCGATTAATGAATATATTATGAACATAAATCAGCTAAAGCTTGACAACCAGATGTAAAATTCTTTATTTAACAAACCTGATTGTCTTTAATTTCCTAACAAGTGTAATTGTTATAAGTTGTAGCATCTGAACAAAGTTTAATTTCTTCACATTTATTTGACAATTCATTAAAAATACATTTTTTATTTTTCAAATAGCAATTTAAATGTGTAGGATTTCCTACATTAAAACAGCTTGTTTATAAATCCTCACAATTTTATGTGGCCTCATTATAATTACATTTAAATTATCTGTTCTCACAGTGCGATTGACTTTTTGTTGCTAAATCAGAACTATCATTACAAATTTCAGCGTAGCATAGATTACCAGTGGTATTCCAAATACATTTTTCTTATTTGGAATGATATTAGCATTATTAAGAATCAGTAAGTTGATTACATGTTAGTTATCTATTTTAGCAGTTTTGACTAGTATTGAAATATGTACAATTTGGTGAATAAGCTTTACAATAAATCTCGTTTGATTAATTAGGACTACTAGTACAAACAACAATTTAACATTAAGAATTAACCCATTAACATTTATCTCCATCTTCTCCGAATTTACATTATTCTTAAGTTGGATAATTTGAACAGTTTTCAGCAAAACATGCATTTCCATATTTAAGAGTACATTTAGGATTCCATGATTAACATTCTTAATGAGAATCAAAATTATTTGATTTTGGAAATTAACTACATAAAATTTAATTATTTTCACTTTCACAGCTGTTTGGTGATTTAAAAATGCAAGATGACAACCACTATCTGCATGAATAATTTGAACTAACATTTTATGCATTTGCACAAGTTCTATTTTCACATTAATTAGCTGTAATATTCCAGAAACATGGTCCTTACAATGAACCAACATCACATTGAACTTTATCTTTTAAACCTTAACAGTTTGATGATTAATCAATGCATCCTCCAATTTATTTATTGATACATTTAATATTATGATATTGAACCCATTTTTTACATTCAACTAAAGTACTTAAGGTTAGAGGTGCATTCTAACAATTATGAAATTGACACTAATTAAGAGATTAATTCCAAATACAAGGAATACCTTGTAATGTTGTTAGACACTATGATTGATATTTAAAATCTGTGCAATCTAAATATTTGATAATACATCCATTTTTGTAAGATATTCCATTAATCACACCAGCATTTACTGTGCATCTTATATCCCAACCTTCACATTCTTCATTACTGGTATAATATACTGAAGCATATTCACATTTCTTATGAATACAACCAGATAATCGTATACATTTATTCATTTAATAATCAAAATTACATTATCTATCTTCTAATTGTGAACATACCTTATTAATACACGTCTTACTATAAAGACTATATGTGCAACTTTTTAATTTATTCTCACAAGTATAAATATTATTATAAAATGGAAATTTAAAATTTTCACATTTTTCTTCGACACACCTTTAATTTTCAATAACGCACTTTCTATTTAATTTATCTTTGATGCAACTCTTAGGATTTAAAATTTTTGAACAATCATCAAAATTTTCTATACAACCATTTTATAAACCACCAATACATTCATATTCATTTAACCAATATACACATTCTATATGATTATATTATAATGGAGCATCAGAACATTATCTAATTCTACAAAATTTCTATTATTCATCCCATATACATTTCTTACCAGATAATTCTTGAATTTGTTTACATGAATCTTCTGTTTCTAATTCATCACATTATAAAGGAATTATTTTACATCCTCCTAACTATTTAGGAACACAAACAATATTATTTTAATAAAATACTTAACATTCAATCATTTTGTTGATAAAATTTGGAGCACTCATGCAATTCTTTTAATAACATTTCTCTTAATAAAAAACGCATTTATTTCCTTTTTTATCCTCAACACAAGAATTTGGATTTTAATATTAATTACAATCTAATTTTTCAATGCAATTTACACCATTAGTTGTACAAATAGGCTGGATTTTCTAACATTCTTAATAAAGAGATGCTTATTTATTAATACAAATTTTCTCAGAACATTTATTAAAAACTTCATCCCAAAAACACTCAACCATATTCAAATTAAAATAGCATTATTCTTTTTATTAATATAAATTGCAATATTTTTAAGAAATTTAGCATCCCCCTTTTGTTGATATTGTACATTTATCTATCTATTTTCTACAATCACTATCAAATTTCATAGACATAGGAAGGTCTTAACATTCTTCGACATCTTCACAATAATTTAAATTATCATTTTTTTTTATCCATTTACAATATTTTCCTTAAGAATTCTAACTTTGACATGCTATTTAAGTTATGTAATCAGAACAAAATCCTTTTGGTATACATTTTTTTCCATCAGATATACATTAATACGATGATTAATTGCATTTCTCCTTAGTAAATGATTCACAATTAACAAAATCTATGCATTTACCTAAATTAAATGCACATTTCTCCTCTTATACGCATTCTTCCTCTGCAAATTAAGCACAATATGATGTAATTTGATTTTATAATGAAAAATTTGCAGATTAAGAACATCTTTCTTCCATTTCATTCCATCTGCATTTTGCAGACTTCTTGCATTTTTCTGGCTCTGTTAAATGCACACATTCACATTATATTGATTCTGATTATAGAATTATTGCTTAATTCAAAAAGCACAATATTATGAAAAGACTTTTTTTCATTTAAAGGTTTGATTAATAATAGGCATAAATCATTTAAGTTATGACTTATATCTATTTTTTGAAAAGCAAAATATATTCATTCCTAGAAATAAAATTTTAAGAAATACTGCATCTTTTTTGATTTATAAACAAAAAGGGTTCTTATAAAATGATTTTTAAAATTCTTAAGTGAAATTTCATAATTTTCATAGCTATTAATTTTAAATAATAATTAGATCATTCTTATATATATTTTTATTTAATTCTATCTGTGTTTAAATTAATATAATTATTATAGTGCTAGAAAAGCTTTTAAAAAGGCATATGATTAGTTCTAATAAATTTATTCTCAAAGATATGTAGATTAAAACTATAATTTTGTATTTAGTAATTAAAATTATTATAATTTTGAAAAAATCAAATTCATCCATTCACATCAAATATTATGGAAATTGTTTCTTTTCTTATTAAAATTATTATAATTTTTTTTTATTATATAAAATATTATTATAAAAAATGGCATTCTTTATCAATTAAAATTTCAGATTAATAATAAATTTAAAAGGTAGAGATCATTAAAAGCCATAGTATGCCTATCTCCTCCAAAGAGAATCATATGATTATCTAACACTACTACTGAATGTCCATCTCTAGCACAAGGTTTTTTACCATTAATAGTATTTTGTCCATTTTATAAAGGGAGAAGAAATCTATTATAAAAATAAAATAATACTTTGAAATAATTTATTATCCAAATTCAGTTAATGTTCCTTTTGTTAATTTTAAATCTTGTTTTGGATTTCCAATTAAAATTATTGAAGTTTTCAATTTCTCTGTAACATTGCAATCATCTTAAAAGGAAGCCCTTTTATTAATTTCAACTTCAAACAATTTTAACATAGCAGCTTTTTACTTAAGTTTTTCTTATTATTTTCTTTCCTAAACATAATTAAATGAATTATTAATTGATGAATTATTATTTTTTTAATTTTAATTTTAGTTTTGAGGAAGATTCTAATTTTTCGAATGATTAGAATATTAAGATTAAGAAGAAGGTCTAACTTTTTTTGGTGATGAACATGGAGACTTTCTTAAACTTAAAGGTCTAATTATTTATGGTAATTAGACTGATTTTCTTTTTTTTTATGGACTTTAATTGGATTTAGTAGGAGAAGGAAGTTCTAATTCTTTTTTTCTAGAAGTATCTTAGTTAATTAATTTCCATTCTTATTGGTTAATTTGAAAAGTATATAAGTCATCTAATTCCCAAGTAATATCATGGATACCTCCAAAAAGGATTAATTAATTTTAATAAACAATAAGTGAATGTCCAGATCTAGTCATGGGAATATTATATAGATTATTAATATGAATTAGGTTCCATTCTTAAATTGATAAATCAAACGACCATAAATCATTATATCGTAAATCTCCATTCTTGCCTCCAAACATATATAGATTTGAATTATGAATAGCTATAGAACTACCATCTCTAGGTGTAGGTTATCTTCCTTTAGATTTATTTAATTTAATCCAATGGTTTAGAGTGAAACTATAAGAATATAAATCATTAGAATGTTTACAAATATCTGCACTATAAAAGCCACCAAATAAAATTAGTTAATCGTTATAAACAGTTGAACAATAGTTATCCAATGGTTATGGATATGAATCATTTATTTCTAATTTTTTCCAAATTTAATGATTGACGTCATGTACAAATATTTCATTTGTACATATTGAATCAGCTATTTATCCTCCAAATAAGTAAAGATTATTTTTGTAAGCAGAAAGTGAATGACAGCAACGTGGTCCTGGTTCAAATTCACATTTTATATTTTACCACTTGAATGATTCTGCAGTCATATTAAGTTTATAAAAGTCTTACAAAATTCCTTAAGAATACTAATATCCACCATATAAATATAAACTAAATAAAGATATAATAATTACAAGTTAGAATGAATTGTTATTGCACAGTTTGAACGTGGTGTAAGATTTTTACCTTAAATTTTACATTCTTACCATTTAGGGTCTTATTATTCTTATATAGCTTTAGTCATCAAAGGAATATATTTATTTTAAATTTCTTAAACTTATGATTCTGTTGGACTTACTGGGCCAAGATTAATAGAATCATTTCTTCTTTATTATTATGATCTGTTTGAATACATGAATTTTGAGTTATAACAATTATCACTAAATAAATATTATTGATTAGATTGACATATTAAATAATTGCTTAGTGATAATTGTCTAAAATTTCATTGATTTAATCACAATACATATAAATTAAGATATTGAATTTTAAATAAAGATTGTAACTAAATGAGAAATGAATAAATATTTATTGTATTATATTTAATTTATTTTTAATTAGCATTAGAAAATGATATCTCTATATTATATTCTAAACTTTGTATTGATAGGCATATATCCAATTTCTAGAATATTTAGATTACTAAATTTCTTTATTTTGGATATTCCAGATGAATTAGGTACTACTAGAGAAAACTCAATATTTTATACAATCATGGCATTCACAGTAATTAAATATTTGAGAAGTTATTCTACTCTATAATTTTTAAGCTCACTCTTTTTTACAATAAAAGTTGCATTAATAACAAGTTATTTGTTTGTAGATGTTAAAATAAGTTTATTATATGCAGGAGCATGTTTAGTGATATTTGTATTATGTAGTGAACCAAAATTTAATGGGAGAACAAAAATTTAAGATATTGAAGATATAAAAGAATTTGAAGAATTGGTTGGAGTTAAATTTAGAGATAATGATGATGGAGATATTATTGAAGAATTAAATGAGAGATTTAAAAGAAAATAGTAAGTAAAAGAAAAAAGCAAAAAAATATAAAATTACAAAATCACTGAAATGTTTTTCGCTGAATTTTATGTAGATTGGGCAGATACATGTAATTATGTAAAAAATCTAATTTATATTAAGACTAAAGAAATTTGGGCAAATTTTTCATGTAAATATACAACAAAAGGATTGAAATTTATATCTATAAATTTAGCTAAAATACCAAGATTAGCTGAATGTTATAGAATTAATACAAGTGCAATGTCTAGATAACTTCCGACTGTTATTCTTTTTGAAGATGGAGAAGAAGCATAAAGATTTCCTCCAATAGATGAAAAAACTAATAAAATACCTAAAGTATTAAAATATGGAAAGAAAGAATTACAAAGTTATTTTGATCTAGAAAAACGATATTTAGCTACAAGAGATTTATGAGTTTGTTTATTTTAATTTATTAACTATTATATTGTTTTATTAATAATATATGTATTCCCCAGATTCTTCGATTGATGATCGATACTTTTATAATCCAATGAATTCACTTTCAGAATCAGAGTAGGATATGACATTTTAGAATAAGTCATCATTAATTAGTGATTAACCAGCTATTGCTGCTAAAAAAGCAGGCACTATAATTGATAATTAAGTATAATCAATTGAAAAAAAAACAACAAACTTCAAAATAGATAATGTAGAAAACTACAAAGAAGTTAAATTACCTGATCAATCTTTTAATAAATAATCATAATAACCAACATAAAATTTCTAGAAAACATAACCTCAAGTATCCTAAAATGTTAAAATTCAAAAAAGTATTGATCAAAAACCTACTTCTGTTGGAACTTCTAATGTTGAAATAACTAATGCTAGTGCCAGAAAAAAACCACGAATTTTTGAACCTATTAATACTGATGAAAAATTAGAGTAAACATGTAATTAAATCATTTCTATTATTTATTTATAGCATTCTTAAAAGAACTCAATAGAATGGCTGGAGAAGAAGCATAAAAAAAACATGTTGAAATTAAATAAATGTACATTATTATTTTTATTTATTTACTTAGCTAAAATGCTGAAGACTTAATTATTTAAAAACAATTATTTCTATTCACCAATTATAATGAAAAAAATGTTTAATAATATATTGATAAAGCATAAAATTAAGTAGAAAAGTTACAAAACCATTTAGATTTATTACAATAACTCAAAGAATATAATGACAAATTAAACGAAATTGGACCTATGTGTTTAGATAAAGATGTGAGTCTTTTAGATGTTAATATATATTTCTAATTTAGCAAGTTTCAGAAGATAAAAGAAAGCAAAGATCTAGAGAAGAATTTAAAATATTATACACTTAAATTTAAAAATTAGAAATTATAAGCAGAACTGATTATGATTAAGATTGCACTGAAACCATTCAAACTTTGTTAAAAGATATAGAAATTAAATTAAAATTAGAATTTGCTATTGAAAATCTATCAAGACTTAAACCTTAACTTCAGTTGCTTAAAAATAATAGAAACTTTTAAACCGAATTTCAAGCTTATCTAGATTTAATGAAATAATCTTAGAAATTTGAATCAGAAAAATTAAAACCCTAATTAGAAATGATGAAATCAAGTCTTAAAATTAGAGCTTAAAAAATTCATCACTAAATTAGCTGATATTTTTGCATTTAAATTATAAATTTTATATTTAATCACAAATTTATCTCATCATCTCCAATTAAAGTGAATTATTTCAATTCATTGCTATTTATAATTTAGATAAATCTTTTAATTCTTAAAAATTATATTTTAATTGAATTATTCTTAAAAAAAGAATGCTTTTGATCCTTTTTTCAGAAATGAACAAATTTATACATTTATTTATGGGTAGAATATAAAAATATATAATCAGACAATTAGAATCTTAAACTAATAATTAAAATAAATCTCATCACTACTTTTCTTATTAAATTAGTCTAATTATTTCCAATTACAAATTTTTATCCTCCTAATTTTTAGCAGAACTATTTCTAACTTTTTTCTGTAATAAATTCAAATTATCTTTAATATATCCTAAGTTTTATGAATTTTTTTACCTTTTTTTAAAAGTTATTATATCCCTAATAGAGTTTAATGTAAACCAAGATTATATGGATTTAATTGACAGTAATATTTAGACAATACTCCTTTTTTTATTAAATATTTAATTTCAAACTCTAAATCTAATTCTATAAGTCTGTTAAAAAATAAGATAAAATTGACAATAGCTTTCTAATCATAAAAATTCAAAAGATTTTGCATAATTTATTGATTTTTGATAATTTCTTTGATTAGATTAGAATCATGAGATATTAACTAACATAGACTTTTAGAATATATCTCAGTAAAAGTATAATTATGTTTATCTACACTTACATGAAAAAAATCCAATATTTGATCTGAAATGAATTCTTTTGATTATTGTGAATGCTCCTTTAGTATTGATATCAGATTGATACAATAGAAATATATCTATTCATTATTAGATGATAAACTTTTCTTAATTTTTCTTAAAACAACTAAAATTTAATATTCTAAAAATATTTTTGATACTTCTTCCTTAACTGGGGATTTATGAATTAAGTATACTACTTTCTTTAAATAAAATAAAGGATCGATATAATTTGCTTAAAGAATGTATTTGCAAACTAATTGTAAATGCTAATTAATTTAATATAATAAATACGGCTTTTCTCTTAGTATATCTGGCTATTTCAATTATTATGTCAAAAAATTCATGAGAATCAACGCATATCTTTAGAGATATATTGATTAATATGGGTAAGGCATCTATATCATTCAAATAATTTTTAGGAATTATTCCTAGGAGTTTAAATGATTTTTAACAAACCTCTAAGTTTTCATCTTGTATTCTATTAAGCAAATATGGAACACCAAAATTTTATATTAAGACCTTCCCTACATTGTCATAATGTTTAAAAGCCATTAAAATGAATAAATCTATATAAAAAAAAACATTTACCCAAAATTAACATTGTTGTTAATGTTGACAAATTTTAGTTCAATGCATTTATAAGAAAAGGGATCTATTAATTTATTAATAGAAAATCATTTTGTGAAATTTAAGAGGTCTTCCATAAATTAATTGAATGATTTAATTAGTGTTAAAGCAGTGCCAAATCATCAAATGCAAAGTTTAGGCTAGTTAAGTCTTACACTTTAATCTTGTTGTTTTAAATATTCTTTTATAATTGATTATTCATCTAAATCCACACTTCTGTAGAAGGGTATGTTTTATTCATTTTAATCTAAAAATTACATCTGTTTTAATTTCAATAAATAAATAAGTTTGATCCTCAAATTTATAAGATATTAAATTCATAATACTTTATCTAAATTTAAAAATCAATAAGAAACAATTATTAGTGTTGATAGACATTATTCAATTATCTTAAATTCTTAACTTTAATATAAAATAATTTAAAATGCAATCATATTCTCAAAATGAGGATATAAATAATTTTATGAGTATTACAGGATGTTAGGATTATTAGAAAGCATAATCATTCATGTAAATGGCAGAAAATATACTTGAAGTATTTATAATTTTAATTAGAATGCAATTCAACTTTATATGGATTATGAAGGAGGACTTAATTAAAATACATAATAGAATGAGTTATACAATTAATAATAATAATAGAGGCTAATCATTTAAGAATCTCCAAAGAGTAAAATTTATAGCGTATTTCTGAAGGATACGTTTATAATTCTAATTAAGATATTCAACTATTCCCATAGGATGATGCTTTCGTTGAAAAATATAGAAAGTATTTAGAAGAAAAAAGAGCAAAATAGGATGGTATTTTTAAAAAAACTATAAAATATGGTGTAAAATTTATCTCCTATTATTGTAACATATAAGTTTTTACTTAGTCAAAAATCCACCTAATTACGGCAATGACTTTTTATAATATATTTAATAACAAAAGATTTAAACAGAAATAGCTTTTCAAAGTGGAAATTTCTAAGAAAATTGATAAAAGCAAATGAAGAAACAAGACCTTTGTTAGTTTATTTACATGATCACTCAAACATTTTGATATTATAGAAAATGTCTAATTGCAAAGATTTTGTCACAATTCTTAATAGAGATTATCTTATACTTGGATTTTTAACTAATGAGTAAGTCTATGAATAATTACCACATAAACTAGATCCTCCAAAAATTTTAATTTATAAATTGGATATTGTTGATGAAGTTGTTTTAATGGAAGAAATTCCTTTAACAATAGATACAAATTTCGAAGAAGTAGCTCAAAAAATTAAGACATTAGAAGCAACATTTAATAAAGAATATATTTATATAGAAAATATTAAAAAAGAAGTTAATTCTCATAATTAATATAACTAAAATTATCTTAATTATACATGACCTTATTTCTAACAAAATTTGTAATAGTAAAATCAGGTTGACTAAAGAGAAAGAGATTTATAAATTTAATCTTAAAAAGAAGCATATCAGTTTGCAGAATTATAGGGAATGAAAAAGAAAAGATGAAGAATTGAAATAGTAAGAAGAGGCTAAATATTTAGAATTATAGTAAAAAGAAGTAATATATTCTAATTTATATTTAAAGGAGTAAAGATTAATTAGAAGAGCACAATTATTATCAAATATGCCAGAAGAACCAGAATAATATTCAGGTATTTAAATTCTATTCAGGTTTACAAATGCAACAAGAACCAGAAGATTTAATTTTAATGATGAAATTTAAGTAATAAATTTCTATATATAAAAAGATTTTATTTGATTTTGTAGAAAGTCAAGAAGATGATTGTTTTCATGATCCATATGCCTAATTTGATTTAATTAAAAATTTTCCTAGATTATCCTTAAAGAATAAGACTGAATGGATGATAAGTGAAGTTTTTATAGATTCTGAAAAGGAATAATTAATTGTAGATGAACAATAGTGATAATTAAATTAACTTTTAATATTTATACTTAATGAGTGAATCGTTAAATTTTAATCTAAAGTTATACAGAGAAAGATTGGCTGATAAATATTCAAAATCTCCTGTTGAAACAAGATTTGATTCATCCATAAATGGTGTTGAGAGTCAAAGAAAGACTCCAATAAAAAAAGATAAGCCTAAGTATTTATAATTTTTATAATAATAAGTGCTCCTTCATTAAATACTTTAGTAAATAAACTCTAGGAATTTAGTAATAAGAAAACAAAATAAAATGATTCATTTTTATTTAAGTCAGGTAAAAGTAATCAAAATTCTTCTCCAAGTAAAATAAATGGATTACATTAAAAGTAAATATCAAATAAGTTACACTTAGAATATAATCAATATCTTCATTGTCTCCTCCTCCTTAATAAAATAATTTGTAATTACCATCTAGAGGTCACTAATATTCAATTACATAATTTAATGGAATAGTTTCCCCTTAGAAATAAAGTTTTATTAGTCCAACTCATTTTTCTTAAATTACAGATAGATAAGAATAATAAGAGTCTTATACTGATATTTCAAGTCTTATTCCTTTGCATGAGATTGTTAATATGCGCACTAAATTAGAAAATGCACATATTAATGTAGCCAACATTACACCTACATATTTAACAGAATTTATTAAGTTAGCCAATACTATTCATCTACAATTAAAAGTGAATAAAAAATAAGGATGACTTATTGAATTTAAATATTTTCAATATATATCTTATTATTTCTTATTTTTAGAATTTTATAATTTCAAGTAGAATTAGAATTATTTTGTATAATTTTGTTATTTATTTAAAATAGTCTTTAGAATGCTCCCTATAGAGTTATTCAACTTAATTTAAACTAAAAAGTTAAAATAAATGTTTCTTGTGAAATATAAACTTATCTCATATATGTTTGTATAATCTTTGAATAATACGTATTTTAATGAATAAACAAAATCTCTTGGATATTATTCCAATCATCTGGCCTTAAAAAATATCTGCAAGAGAATAAGAAATATAGAGAGTTATATAAGAACTTATGTAACTTAAGGAAAATTAACCAAATCAAAGTGAATCCATTAATTTTACAATCTAATATTTAGCACAACATGCTCCATATATAGATGTAGTTGTTTCTTTTCAAAGTTTGATAAATATCAAACATCCTATTTAAGATCTACTTAAATATTTAAGCACTTTCTCAGAAAATACACTCACATAAGTGGTGCGAAAAGTTAATTTAAATGATCTAAATTCTGATTCTGATGAAACAGATTTTACTTACAGCGATCCTTATGAAGAGAAGAAAAAACAATTTAATCTCAAAATGATGAAAAGAGTGAGTTTTCCAAAGTTATAAAAACTTATAAGTGATATTTATAGATTAGAAATGTTAACAAAAGTTTATTCATGGATGAACCAATTAACATATGTAGATTATATTAAAGTGAGTGTTTCAACTATAAAGAAAGCATTATAAACTGAATACTTAGATGAACTAACTATTAACACTGTTATCTAATGTGCAAAATGTTCATGTTAATGCGCAAATTAATATTTATAAGATACACCTAAATTCTAGAAATTAAAAATTGCACTTCATAAAATAGCTTTATTTCAAGATGTCGATTTATAAGTGCTTCTAAATTTATAAAAAAATGATTTAAAACCAATTAATGAATGCGTTTGGACAAGACAATAGGTAATCTAATGCATTTTATTATTTTGTTTGGTTTAATGTGAACTACTAATTCATGATTTCAAATTTTTAACTTTATAATCTAAACCTTTCTGTTCTTTTGAAATTTCATGGAATGAATCTGGATTAAGTTAAATTCGGGATTATTTCCCAAAGTTAGCTAAGAAATTGAATAAAAGATATAAAATTTTAAAAGATATTCCTTATATTGATGCTAAAACCAATAATTTAATTTTTATTTATGCTTAATCTTTGTTTGGATATTATCATCATCATATTAATTATGATAATTTTTAATTGCAGGACAATCTAAAATAAACTATAAAACAATATTTAGAAAATAAGAATTAAGAAAAAAATTTAGCGCTTCAAATAATAATTTCAAATGCATTTATGTTTGCATAATTACTAAAGGCATTGAAGTGAAATTAATTATACATATTTGATTTCAAATTATTATTATACATTGGTGAAACAAATCATAAATTATTTTAATATTTTAAATATATTATCTTTAACGAATAACAATGTTAAGATTATATATATTGAATCAGTTCATACTGATCTTTTATCTTTGATTAACTTTAAATCTTTTTAAAAATAATTAGAATATTTAACCTAAGATTAAAATTTATTTTTCTTTCTTTATTCAAAAGAATTAAGATATAATTATTGCTCTAGAATAAATTTGACAAAATTAATAGAAAAAGTTCTACTGATACTAATTCAAAATGAGAATTATAAGGGATTTTGAAGTATTCTTCAGTTTTGCTCATTAAATACAAACATTTAATAATGAGAGGATAATTAAAATATTATTCATTAAAATTTAACCAAAATATAAAAAAAATATCATGCAAAATCTTCATATACATAAAAATATCAGTTCTCTTTATAAGAAACTTAATCAAGTGTTTAAATATTCTAATAATTGATCTTCATCAAAGGTTGTTTATGACCATTTATTTACTTTGTCTATCTAAGCTTCTGTATAAAATTTCTCTTATAAATTTTATAATGGTTTTATATTAATTTTTTTATGCATAGTATACTTTTTTGAGACTTAAATAGCAAGTTTTTTACTGCTCATTAAAGCGTATTGTTATTAAAGAGGTTCCTTTTCAATTGGATTAAATGAAAGTCCAATAGCTCCAAGACCTTCAAATTTCTTGAAAATTAAAGGTTATGAAGGTCTTTAAGATAAGCAATTTTCTAATTTTTATGGTTTTTTGTATTATATTCTTTAAGAGGGTGAAGCTTAGATAGGAGGTAAAGATTTAACAATTAAAGGTTTTTTTAAAACTTAGGACAAAGAAATTGGTTTGTATTTTCTTTACAACAGAAAGTTAGGTTTATTCCTTTCAGATAAAATCATTAAAAATAAATAAATATTATTTATATAGATATATTTTACATCTTATTATAAAATTTAAGAAATTGATACTTATCCTATAATAAATAAAAATCTGATTAAGGAATTTGAGATAAATTCTAATTAAAGTTTTTAATAATTTTTCTTTATTATATATAAACTTAAATTCTTAATTATGTTAATAAAAGAAGTTCAAAAATTTTGTGAATATAGAAAAATTATATTGGATGTGAAAAAGATGGCCACAGAGTTTACATTAAAGTAAGGGTTAATTCGTAATAAAAGTAAGAATATTATATGAATAACAATTAAGATGATAATTAACATTAATTTGGANTATTATCTTTAACGAATAACAATGTTAAGATTATATATATTGAATCAGTTCATACTGATCTTTTATCTTTGATTAACTTTAAATCTTTTTAAAAATAATTAGAATATTTAACCTAAGATTAAAATTTATTTTTCTTTCTTTATTCAAAAGAATTAAGATATAATTATTGCTCTAGAATAAATTTGACAAAATTAATAGAAAAAGTTCTACTGATACTAATTCAAAATGAGAATTATAAGGGATTTTGAAGTATTCTTCAGTTTTGCTCATTAAATACAAACATTTAATAATGAGAGGATAATTAAAATATTATTCATTAAAATTTAACCAAAATATAAAAAAAATATCATGCAAAATCTTCATATACATAAAAATATCAGTTCTCTTTATAAGAAACTTAATCAAGTGTTTAAATATTCTAATAATTGATCTTCATCAAAGGTTGTTTATGACCATTTATTTACTTTGTCTATCTAAGCTTCTGTATAAAATTTCTCTTATAAATTTTATAATGGTTTTATATTAATTTTTTTATGCATAGTATACTTTTTTGAGACTTAAATAGCAAGTTTTTTACTGCTCATTAAAGCGTATTGTTATTAAAGAGGTTCCTTTTCAATTGGATTAAATGAAAGTCCAATAGCTCCAAGACCTTCAAATTTCTTGAAAATTAAAGGTTATGAAGGTCTTTAAGATAAGCAATTTTCTAATTTTTATGGTTTTTTGTATTATATTCTTTAAGAGGGTGAAGCTTAGATAGGAGGTAAAGATTTAACAATTAAAGGTTTTTTTAAAACTTAGGACAAAGAAATTGGTTTGTATTTTCTTTACAACAGAAAGTTAGGTTTATTCCTTTCAGATAAAATCATTAAAAATAAATAAATATTATTTATATAGATATATTTTACATCTTATTATAAAATTTAAGAAATTGATACTTATCCTATAATAAATAAAAATCTGATTAAGGAATTTGAGATAAATTCTAATTAAAGTTTTTAATAATTTTTCTTTATTATATATAAACTTAAATTCTTAATTATGTTAATAAAAGAAGTTCAAAAATTTTGTGAATATAGAAAAATTATATTGGATGTGAAAAAGATGGCCACAGAGTTTACATTAAAGTAAGGGTTAATTCGTAATAAAAGTAAGAATATTATATGAATAACAATTAAGATGATAATTAACATTAATTTGGAATAAAATTGAACAAATATATTGAAATGAATGAAGAATATTAAGCGAAAATTGAAAGATAAGAAAACTTTTTATAAGAGTAAGAGAATGATTTGTTATTATTTAAGAATCTAATTAATTCTAGATCGGGGTTATCGACCAGATAAAGAAACAAAAGACTTGAAACGTAGAAATAAGGGTTAAAATAAATCGTAGAAATAAACAAAAAATCTAACTTAATAAATAAAAGAGGCAGAATTAGAATTAATGGTATGTCTTAACTTACCTAGTTATATTGGTTATAATTTAACAATTATATATCTCCAATACATAAAGACTTTGGAGAATTACCAAGCTATAATCCAAAAAAATTACAACCTTTTAGAGTGGGTATACCTTATACAGAAAAAATAGAAATTAAAGGAAATACAATAAATTTAACACCTTAAACTCCAATTGATAAAATTATCATAACAGAAAATTATTAACTTCATGATATTATAGAATTACAATAAAAGAATGATTAAATACTGATAAATGATAAATTATTAATTAGTTTATGTACCTCAAATAATTAAGCTATGGAATAACAATTTATTTAACTTGAATAAATAAGAAAATAATTAAAAAAAAACTCAAAATATGTATTAACTCCAATTTAAGGATTAAAATATTATGAAGCTTCTAAAATTGAATTAATAGGAGAAGATGAAGATGGAGAACTTAAAAGAATAGCTAGCAGTTCTAATTTGATTGATCATGTATAAACTAGATATCAAAATTACAATAATTAATAATATATTGTTGTGACTGAGTTAGAATGATATTTATCAAAATTTATTAATAATAAAAGTTATATAATTAAAATGATGATGGAAATGTATGTGTATTGGACAGCCAAATGTGAGTTCATATTTGAAAGGTAACATATAGAATCAATTTTTAAAGCTGGAGAATTTATGATGATTAACCATTCTTGTTATTTTGTGGTTGTTTCTTATCTTGCTTATATGCAATTATTCATATCATGTATATGCTTTAAGGGGATAAAGTATAAATCTTTTTGAAACAATATATGTATTAATTATGATTTATCCTATTAGGTCAAGAAGACTAGGGTTTTCTATATACTAATTCTTTTTAACTTTATCAAGTATGGTTACTATGATGCTATTAATGACAATGAATGGATGGGTTAATTTATCAGTTGGTATAGGATACACTATTGGTTATGGAATTACATAAATCACTAAATCAAAGTCTTAGTATACTCAAGTTGATACAATATGATTTAAACTTAAGTAATTGATAAAAACATTTTAATTTATTTTAAGAAAATCGAATATTGATAAGTTTAATTTATTTATTTTAATATGGTGAATTTCTCTTACATTTCCATTTTATTCATCACTATTTATATAAATTTCATTGATTTATAAAAAAATTAATCATTTATATATTAATAGAGAATTAAGTATATAGATATCTCAATTTTATGGGAAAAACCGTATTTTTCAATTAAATTAAAAAGAAATTGAGATAATTTAGTTAATCAAAGTTATTCAAAAAGAAGACAATGTAAAAATTACCTATTCTAATTATTTATTTGATTTTTAAATATGATTTGAAAAGTCAAAAAAAAACAATATAAATAAAATTAGTTAATTTGGTTAATAAATCTAACAAAATCTATAAAAGAAAAAGGAAGTAAAGAAGTAAACTTAAAAAATTTAGAAAATTAGATCATTATCTTTAAAATATTATTAATTTATAATAAGCATCCATTTAAAATATATTGTAAAATTAAAATTAATAAATATATAAGGACATCATCATACTTAATTATACATTAAAATGTATGTAGGATAAATAGTAGTGTATTTTATTATGCATATGGAACAAAATATATGAGAATTAATAAATTTAGAGTTGAATTAAATCAATTTCAAGATTTTTTTCAATAAATTTTAGTATCAGATCATGTTTAATAATAACTTGAAAAATGAAGTTTTATGTCTAAGTGGAAAAACTAAAAAATTTTGTAAAATAATTTGGTTAAATTTGAAAATAAATCCTAGTTCTTTAAAATTAAGGGAATAGTAAGAATAGATATATTAATCTATCTCTGATTTGTAGGTTATAATTTTAAAAGACATGACTAAGCAGAAGAAAGCATGTCATAATAAATGAGAAGGATAATTAATAGTTGAAGATAAAGAAAAATAAATAAATTAAAAATAAAAAGAGAATTAGATTAAAATTTTTTAAATTAAGTTGCTAGATATAAGTTTTTTTACTAAATAATTAAAAAAAATTAGTAATATAAATGAATATGCTTATCAATTTATTTATTTTAATAAAATAATTTATAATAACAGTTTAATCAGAAAACATCTTCATATAGAAGAACCATTTAAGTTTAATGTTCTTATTCGCAATGATCTATCTTATTTAATATTCTTTTTAATTTATTTTCATTATTACGAATCTTGGATCTAAAATTAAGATTATTAAATAATAATTACAATTTATCATTTGCTTCTTCTAAGCTCAATTTAACTAGTAAATCTAATCTTTCTAAATTTGATAGTTAACTTTTTAATTTAGAAGCTAATGTTTAATTTTTTACTTCTTTTTTTTCTAAGTTATTTAGGAATTATTAAACTTTTTCACAATTTTTGCCTTCATTTTCACCTTCTTTGAGTACCATTTTAGGTACAATTAATCCAGGCCTTTATAAGATGGTATTCCAATCTATTCCATTAAAAAATGGATGTTATTTGATTTCATTAATATCTGAATGTCCAATTCTTTTTTAATAATCAGGTTCCATTAAACGACACATTAAATCATAAGCATTATGTGTAATACTTTCTTCCTCTTCATCACTAACATTTGGCCATTCAATTCTATAATTTAAAATGTTATCAAATATTTTTTCAACAGAATCATCATTAAAAGGAGGAATTCCACAAAGCATTTCATACATAATAACTCCTAGACTCCAATAATCTAAACTACTATTAGTTAAGGATTCTCCTTTTAAAACTTCTGGAGCAATATAATCTGGAGTTCCAACAATTCTTTTACTTTTACTGCTATGATTTTAAATACTTGTTTTAATAACTTATTATATTTGAGGTAGTTTTAAATCAAAAACTGTATTGAATTAAGGATCATTATGATCAGCAAATTCTGGTATAGTATTTCTAAATTATAATAATATAATACGATTCAATATCTTATTATCTTAATTTTAATTTTAATCTATTATTGAATCCAACTTCTGAGAGTCCAAAATCAGCTAATTTAGCATGTCCTTATTTATCTAATAAAATATTATCAGGTTTTAAATCTCTATGTACAATTTTCTTAGATCGAAGATATTCTAAGGCTAAAACTACTTCAGCAATATAATGTCTAACATATTCTTCATCTAAGGCCTTTTATTAATATATTTAAATTACTGTATACATCTTTAGAATATGTGAAAAATCTCCTCCTACCATATATTCTTAGACAAAACATAAATATTATTCATGACTAAAAGAATAGTAAGCTTTGACAACAAAATCACCAGATAATATTTCAAATATATTTCTTTCAGCTTTTAAAGTGTCTAATTATGTTTCTAATTACTAATGAAAATAATTAAATAAATTCGTACTTTTTAAGAACAATCTATAATCTTCATAGCATATAAATCTCCAGATGTTTTCTTTTTTACTAAAAATACCCATCCAAAAGCACCTTATCCTAAAGGTTTGATAAATTCAAAATCTTTTAAACCAATTTCTTAAGATTATATAGTTTTTTCTGCATTAATACTTACTAATTCTGAATCTGAATTATATCCTCTATCTACTGTTATTACTTCAAAATCAAAAGATTATTTTGATTTCTAAGGTTATACAGCAACACTCTATTTCATATTATTTTTTGATAAAATAGTTTTAGAATTTTCTGGATGAAATAGACTTTTTTTAGGTTTTCTGACAATTCTATCAAAATCTGCTTCCTAATTGATTTCATCTTGTTTTATTATTTCTTCATTATCACTTGATGATGAACTACTAGGACTTAATTCATTTTTATCTTTTTTTGGTGGTGATGCTGTATTAGGAGATTCTTCTATTATTTATTCAGATTATGAAAAACCTAAATCTATATGTAAAGGTCTTTAAATTTCTAATTATTATGGAGGAGGTATAGGTAATTTTCTACTTCCTTTCATCATCATATTCATCATAATATTTCTTCCACTATTTTTCATACTATTCTATTAAGAGTTTTTCATAGATTAATTTGAATTTTAGTTAGAGTTAGGTGTAGAATTTTTAGCTTAATTTGATTTGTTTTCTTAATCAGATTCACATTAATTAATATTTTCAAAGGAATTAATGATATTTTAGTCTTTATCTTTTTGAATTTCTTCAATTGAATCAACTTATCTTCCAAGTCCTATAGAAGGTAATTATTATTATTTTTTTAATGTAATTTCTTAATCAGAATCACATTAAGCAATATCAGGAAAAGAACAAATCTTTTAATTTTATGGAGATTCATCTTAGTATGATGAAGCCATTCTTCCTAATGGAGTTTATACAGGAGATTCTATTACTGAATCTACAGCTGTTGGAGATTAAGCTTTTCTAAATAAAGATGGCTTATTTGATGTTGGACTCATTAAAGCATCAGATGAATTTGAAAGATTACCTATTCTATCTAAAATCTTAGATCCTGGATTTGATGGAAACTATACTTATTCTTCATTATTTCCCTTATTTATTTATGTTCTCTTCATTTAATTACTACCCAATACTTATGATCTTGTCATTGTCATCATAGTTAAACTATCTCTTCTTTTTATTTCATTTGCGCTTCCTGTATTATTTGCATTCAATTTATCTTTACTAATAATCATTATTAATATTTACTTTATTAATGACATAATCATTACATTTTTCTTTTTGTTACTACCTATCTTTGGAGTCTAACAAGTAATATTATTATCATCATCTTCTTCATATATTGTTTCATTTCTTTTTAATTTTTATTAACTTGTTGTTGTTACATTATTAAATTTTGAAAATCTAAATGAACTAGAATTAGAGTTCTTATATTTTTATTTCAAATCTATTTCAATATTTGGTTTTATTTTTTAACTCTCCTAAATTTATTAAGTTTCTAAATTTTATAAAATCTTAAAATATTCCATTCTATCATAAATACAAGTTCTAGCTTTATCTATAATTTCTAAAACTTCATCATTAATTTCATCACTCTCTATATTACATTTAGCATCAGTTAACTCATCAAAAGTTATTCGATTTACTTATTTTAAAGATTATATATTTTACATTTATTATCTTCATTATTTGCATTACTATTTAATACTTTCTCAGTATAATTTACTATTATTGTCATGACTGAATTTATTAATGCTAATTATTTCTTTGCCTTATTCTTTTCTTCTTCCTCTTATTAGATTTTATTATCTTCTAAATGAATTGTATGTGTTCTTCTTAAAGATCTTAATGGTTTTTTCTCTTCCTCTTACTTTTTCTTCTTTAAACGATTTTATTTTTATTCTTATAAACTTATTTTACCTAATCTTATTTAAACATCATGTTTCAATTTATATGCTAGTTAAGATGCATCAGCTAATTAAAGATTTAATTATAATAATTTTTTGCTTTATTCAGCCTTCTTTTCACAAGTTATACAATGTGCTGCCATTATTTCTACTTCAATAAATTATTCACAAATTCTACACACTATTTTATTATGCTTTTCTAAATCTAATTCTTTTAATTTACTTTGTAATAATCTATTTTAATTAATTAATGATTATTTTAATTTACGTTTTAGTTTCAACAAACACGCGCTTACTTTTCAAGGCAGTACTCTAATCAGGTTAATGTTCATCCAACCAAAATAAGAATAATTAAGCATACACTATTCGAATGACTGAAAGTAGTCTTTTCTAGATTCTTATTATATATTAACTAATTCTTTTACTTTTATAATTGATTTGCTATTTTAAGGTTTCTAGAACTTCCTTTCTTAAAGCCCTTCAAATAATCTTAATTAGTCTATTTTTTTAATGTTTCCATATTGGCTATCACATATCCTAATTAATCTTGTTTAAATGAATTGAATGTTGTAACTAAAGTTTTATGCAATTCATTTAAATAAGCTATTGAAGGCACACCAAACTATTATCTTAAATTAAGAAATACTTAACCAGCAATCAACAATTCGACTATAAAAATTATTTAATCTATTAAGAGTTCAATATCTGTTCTGCTCAGCATTACACATTTTAAACGATGAACTTATTTTACAATATAATTCAATTGTGGCTTGAATACAATGAATTCATTTTTTGTGGGTATTACCTGCAAAGAGTGGAATTATATTTTATTCATTAATTTAAAATGTATAAATCCAAACGGACCCAATATGCAGGATCAACTGCCAGTACTTTAGATCTATTAAAGGCATAGGATTGTCTCTTCTGTCAATAATGTCAAAAATTTTGCTGTCTCATTACTAGAGCTCTTTATATTAAATACTCAGCAAGCCAGAATTATTACTATCAAAAGGATATTAATATAATACTTTTACAATAACGATCTAAACAATATACTGCATATAAAGAATGGACTTTTTATGATACAAATGAATGTTTAAAAAGATTCTATTCTTTACCTGATACAAAACAAAAAACTATTGTATTAACTGAATATTATAAAGTAATTACTTTCAAAACTATACTGAATAGTTTCACCGTGATATACCACGTCTTTTCATGTTACCTATAGCAACAACATTATCTAAATATCATGATAAACGTCGCAGAATAGAATATATTAGAATATCTAGGATGCTTGGTGGACATATTGAATAACCAACAGCAACATAAAATTCTATTTAAACAGTATTAATTGAATATTCACATTAACTTAGTCATTACAAAATCTATTAGGTTAGTTAAATTTCAGTAAACAAGAATAATCTAATACATTGATTGAAATATAAAAGAATTTAAAAGAAGCCATAAATACATCCAAAACTAAATAAAGAGATTATGATTCTCTTAAATACAATCTGCCTTTATAATTAAAAAATTCTGATTATTACAATAAATCAAAATTGGAACATAAATCTGATACAAATTCAAGATTAGAATATAAAGAGAACTTTAATGAACTATTTTTAAAAAAAAAACCTTTAAGAAATTCAGCCATTTAAACCTAAAGAGAAGTTTCACAACCTAAAATTTATATCACTGAAAAAAATTGTAAATTATAAGTGCAATAAATTCCACTTACTTAAAGGAATGTGAATAATACAAAATAATCAATATCACCAAGACCCACAACTTAAAGATCGATAAAACCATAAATCATGCAATTATTAAAGCCTAATCATAATAATAATAATAAGTTAAAAGCTACTAATATTATATTAGAATGTCTAATGAGAAAATTAAACTTAGATTAAAAATCTCTAAAATAAAAATCAAAATCTCCTAATAATCCTTCTAATTAATAAGCAAAAAGAAAGAGAAGAGTAATGAGCACAAATTAAGAAACAACAAAAATAGATTTATCTTAATTAAAATAAAAATAATCATAATTACTGTAGAGTAAATTTGATTAAAACGTTATAAATAAAGGATATAAAACAGGAAGAGCCTCAGCAATGGCTTGATTAATTTATTTATATTTTATTTATTTATTACTATTTAAAAAATTACAAAATAAATAACAAAAAAAAATCAATAAAATACACCTTAAGCAAAGTATTAAAATTTATCATACCTAAATTGATTTTAGATAAATACCATCTAGCTCTCCAATTATCAAGTGATTTATTTATTAAACTTTAAACATGTACATAAAGCTCTGCATCAGATTTTACTTTTGGATTAAATCTTGCATACAACTCCTTTATTGCTTAATCTCCTTTTTAAAAACAAGGTAATGTTGTACCATGACCAGTATACATCATTTCTACAAGTAGTAAGATTTCTTTTTAGTATTATTAACAGGCTTTAAATCCTCTAAAAATATATTGTTTAAATACTTATAAAATAATTTCCTAAAATTTTCTTTAAATAGGGTTCCTTTAGCTCCCCCTAAAACTTAAATATAATCAGATAATAATTTAAATGGCACTTTTCCTTCAAACTCCATTCCTTTTCCAGGAGCATTAGATAAAAAGAATCCAAAATCAATATGTATTAAATGTCCTTCACTATCTAATAAAATATTTCCATTATGTCTATCCTTTACTTATAAAAAATAACAAACCAATCCATATGCAGTTAAAGATTAAACATAATTTTGTAATGCTTAATCTATATTATCTCTGAAAAAACTTCGAAAGAAATCTGAAAAATTTATAAAATTCTTATATCTTTTTCTCAAATTCTTTTATAAACTATCAATAGTTGTTGCATTTTTAATCATTTCTATTATTCCACAATCTGGTCCCAAAGATAATACTTCATAATATCTCAATTTTAATGGTAGACCTGATTTTTTAAATATCTAGTCAAATTAAGATATCAATTATAAAGCAAATTATTCTTATTTTAAGTTATCTCCTGTTTTTATAATTAAATGTACTAATTTCCAGGATTTTAAATTTTAAAAAATTGACTAAGATTTTATTCTTTCTGCCTATTATGTTGAACTTTCACCAAATATTGTTTTTTTTAATTCATTATATTCTTCACTGTTCAATTTAATACCTTTTTCTGCTTAAAGATAACTATTCCTATGCATTTTACTTATAAATAAATCTTCTTTTTCTTTTTTGTCAAGTTAATGGGTACTTGAAGGTCCTTCTAAACTAAATGCTTATACATTCTCTTATAATGAATATGATGTTGAATATTTTGGTATATCATTTTAATCAGATTATTCAACATCACTATTAATAGAGTCATCATTTAAGCAATAAAATTTAGAAGTTCCATCAAGTTTATTCTAATTAATTGTAAGATTCGATTAATGAAATTTCAATTATAAAAATTCATTTTAAATTGATTTTTATATATCTGCAGATGAAAATCTTCTTTCTATATCATCATATTTTAATTCTTATTTCTAAATTTTTGATTTTACATTAGTCTATTTTAAATAATTTATATTTACATTTGCAGTTATAGGAAAAGATATTTATTCTTCAACAATCTAAGAATTATTTTTCTCTTCTATTTCTGGTCTAAATAATTCTAAAATTAGACTAAAAGGACTTCTCATTTTTGTAGAAAATACTCTGCTTTCTTTGTATACTATTTTTAGAACAGCATGATTTCGAATTTAATTTCCAACGAATGGTACATAAACAGCAGCAGGTAAGTTTTCATTCATTTTTTATAAATAAGAATGCAAGACTTCTGTTTTTTTCTTTGCCTTTGATAATTCTTCACATATTTTCATAATATCATCCCAAAAACAAATATTGGAATAAAATGCTGTATCTAAATTATTTGATCTTTTTCCAAAAATTGAATTATAATCTTGTAAATGTATTTCTTTATAGTTATTTAGAATTAAATTTGGAATACATTATTAATATTCATTTTTGTTCCATTCGAAAGTTCCATAGAAAGTTATATTTTCATTGACTTTTAAAGATTCTATTCTAGGTGTTCCTTAATAAACTTATTAAAGAGTTGATTTTGTTGGAGAAATCGCTTCATTTGATGTATTTAAATTATTTTTATTGAAATTTATTTCTTCTAAATTAATTTTTAAAAGATGTGATGCTATTAATAAGTTTCCAGCATAATTATGAGACATTTTTATAAAAAAATTATCTGTAAATTTTTTTACTATATTAAATGTAACTGGTTCATTTGGTGTAATAATTTAAGAAAGACTTTTTAATTAGAAAAAAACTTAATGAGCAAAAAAGAAATCTATTGAGGAGGCTTATAGTACAAATTAGATTAAATTCTCATCACTTAGTTATTGATGAAAAATCATAAAGTTCACAATTTAAGGAATAAAATATTCAAGATCCTTTCTTTGAAGATTAATTTCAAAGTTAGGATTTATACGACATCTTTGAAGCATTGATATAGCATTCGCTTTGTTTTCAGCCACATATAATCTAATAATTACATATAAAATATCATCATCTTAAATCTAAAAATATTTCAACTCATTTACATTTAAATTGTTATGCTTATATTTACTTAATATTTTATTTGCTTTCTTAAATGATTTAGGAATTTCTCCCTTATTCTTCTTTGTATAACATAAACAACCTCTGGGAATATCGTCATTCATTTAATTTAATAATTAAATTGTAAAATAAATTAAATAAATTAGGTTTAAAAATTAAATTATAATGTTGTTTCTTTATTGAAAGAGAATAGCTAGTTTTTTTAAGAAATTAGAGTATATGAAGTAATTATATGATTGAGATTCTTTGTTCCATATTAAATTAGAAATAAAATATAAATTTCCATAATAATTAAATTATCAAAAACATGCTTTTTATCTAGAAATTAATTAAATTAAGATAAAATGTGTTTCTTTTGAATAATAAAAATTAATTTAAATTATTTTTATAATTGATTAGTATTCAACATTTCTTGATTTTTTTAATAATTTCTTCATCATCATCAGCATTGCTAATTAAACTATCAAAATCAGAAATATTTTATTCAATCTTAGAAACATCAGATAAATCATCATTATCATCATCATCATCATCATCATCTTCATCTTCATCTTCTTCCTCATTATTATTATTATTATTATTTTTATTATTATCATTATCATTTTCTTCATCGTCTGATTTTTATCTTAATTTCTTCCTTTATTAATTATTATCCTAACCCTTTTCTTTTTTAGAATTTATTTCATTTAAGGAGTCAGAACTGTATTACGCTTTATTATCTTTTTCTTCATGTTCCTTTAAAATACCTTTTAAAAATAAATAAAAAAGTCTACCTTCCACATCTTTTCTAGAATCCTCATCATTACTTGAGTTATCTTCAAATCTTTATTCATTTGTATCTTTAGTCAACTTTTATTTTTTTAATTCAGCAATCCATTTATGGAAAACATCTATTGCTTCATCTAATCCTTTTATCTTTGTTTTAAATTGCACTTAACATTTGTCACAATTTAACTCAGCCATCTTAATTATTTTTTTTCTGATCATTTTTTTTATTTTTACATTTTAACAATGACACAATTTTTGTATCCACATAATGCACAATCAAAAATGGTTCTTATAGTCTACATTTTTTCCCTTTTTTGAATTTTGTTTGATTTTCTGCGTCCACCCATTATTATGAATTAATTATATATAATATTTAATTCTGTATCTATTAGGTAAATATAATCATAATCATTTTTTTTGATTAATTAAATATAAGATATTTTTTATCATTTTCAATTATACTCTAAGTCTTTTTAAAATTTTAATATAAAAAATGACCTAAAAATAAATTTATATCATTAAGAATATATTATTTAATATTTCATTAATTTAATAGTCAAAAAAAATAATTTAAAACTATCTATCAATTTATGATTATTATGATTGGATATATAACTAGAATTTAATATGGATTTGAAAATTTAGTTATAAATATTGAATGTAAATTTAAGTAGAAATATTGTTAATTTAGAAGAATTATATAATTATGAAAATATATATTTCTGAAATACTGTTATTTAATTTACTTTATGCAAATGAAAATAATGAAAGTTTTAAGTATGGAAACTGATAAAAGTGACAAAAGTCCATAGATAATGAGAAAGAATAATGAACACTTTGTTTCTTATAGTGTTGACGAAAAGTACACTTGTTAATGCAATTTATGCATATCATCGTTGAAGAAAAAGTAATTAGATACAATAATTCAGAATACCAAAACCTTTGGAAGAACTACAGTAACTTAAAGCAAAGTCAAATACAAATGATAGAGACTTTATTTTTATTGTGACTCGTTTAGTTTAAGAATCATTTGGAAGAACTCTAAACATTTAGATATAGGACACTGTTTATTTCGAGAAAGGGGAGCCTTAATCTATTTTATAGAGTATCAAAGATGGTATAGATAGGCCATTCTAATTGAGAGTTTAGTAATGGAAAGGATCATTATAAAAATTAATGCAATACATGAATAACAGAAGAAAGAAAATAGCTAATACAAATATGTAATTAGATTTAATTCAATTAAGTGAAAAATAATACTCAGCTTTAAGTATTTAGTAATTAAATTATAAAAGGTAATGTCAATAAGGAATAAATAAACAATATTAGTGAAAAAAGTAAGGAAGCAGTCTTGGTTAAATTTGATGATGATACAGCATAAATAATGACCGAATCTGAGTTTTTTATGTTAATGTCTAAAAGAAAGGGGGATAAATTCTGGCACAGAATATTTTATATTTAAAATTACATTAAGCAAAGAGCTTTTTTGACACATAGGATTTAATTTAATAGAAGAAGAGATTCTACTCATAAATTATTTGAAAGAAGTGCAATGGAAACACGTATTATTAGAGGTGAAGTTATTTCAGCATCAACAGAATATATTAGTTAAGCAATTGAAGATGATTTTTTAAGATAATTAAAAGAAAAAAGTACTTTTGAATACTTAAGATATATTACATTTAAAATAATTTAGTTTCTAGATGTAAATGTCTAATATTTATATAGATACTTGATGACACTATCATAAATGAAGGTGTTTTTGAATGGAATTAAGATGATAGAGGAGATTTTCAATTTTTCAATTCTTTTTAATTATCTTATGAAAAAAGAGCAAAAGATGATAGATTTATTTCTCCAAAATAACAGAATTAAAATAATAAAAGTAATGGAATTGATAGTGAAAGTGCAGAAGATGATAGAGATATAGATCCTAAAAAAATGTTTAATAGGAAATATTAATTACAATAGATGGCTAGAAATGCATAAATAAAATTGAAATTAAAATAATAACATTTAACATATAAAGATACACCAAAAGTAAGTTAATGGTAAACCTATATGTAAGATGACTATCATGCCTTATTAAAATCAGTTGGTATTGATAAAAATTAATTTAATTTAAAGGAGGATAATTAATCAGAATTGACTTTCAAATAATTACATCCTGAAATCTAAATAGATTTTCAAAAAATAATGAAAGATCAATCTTTATTCAACAAACTAAAGAGTAAAGTTTATATTAAATAAACATTTTAGAATAACTCTTTACAGATAATAACAAATCTAAGCCTATTTCACAATCAAAAATGTTAAACAGTTTCTTTTTAACCCCAGAAAAAAAACAGAGATCCAGAACTGTTTCAAAATAACCGAGATAGGATCTAATTTCAACCCTTAATTAATCTTCAATTAAGAAAACCATAAGGTCAGTTGATCGAACTGTGAGTGAATTTAGGTATGATATAAGCAGAAATGGAAAAAGATCAGCAAAGACTCTTAATAAAATACTTGGTTTAGCTAATAGTTGATTCTATATTAAATGAATCCCTGATGATTTTTATATTTAAAGAATTCGAATTATATTAATTAAAGAAAGAAGAAGTCCACCAAATTCTTCTATTCTTTTTTCATATAATCTAGTAATAAACCATTCTTTTTCTATAATCTGATTTTAATTTAGAATAAATAAAATTAAGCTTATATTCAAAATTAGAATTTCTATAATAATAATAATAAATGAAATGAAATGAATTATATTTAGAAGTAGAAAAGTTTCGTAAAATTAAAGAGAATTAATAAATCATTATTAATAAGAAGATTTAACTTAAATGGTTCTTTTATATAAATATATTTTTTTATTAAACTATTACTTTACATTATTTTATTAGAATAAATTATATAAAATAATAGATATATTTTAATAGTTTATAATTTTACATTTCATTTGTTTCATAAATCTAAATCATCGTCAATCTATCAAAATTTTGAGAAATATTTAAAATTTAAGATTAATTAAGCTGCTCTATTTTCAATAACTGTTAAACTCAGCAATTTGGTATTTTATAAATTGAATAAAAATTAATAAAAATGACTAAATATATAATTTAATTAGATGACTATTCATTTTTTATTAAGGAAATAGATCATATAAAATTGTTAAAGATATTATTAAATAATATTAACTTAGTAATTCTATATATCAAAGAAGTATAATCTATGTTCAAAAGGATAAAAAACAATTTAAAAAAAACTAAAATTTAAGATATGCAAGTTAAATTCGAATAATTTAAAAAAGCTTATCAAAAAGGATGAATGGATATTAGAATTTAGTCACTTAAGTAGAATAGTTATAAAAAAAGTAATTAATTGATGTAAAATTGAAATTAGATAAAGAATTTTATTTAATTAATAAATATATAGATATATAATTAAAAAATGAAAAAAGAATAGAAATCTGAAAAGCCATTACCTAAATCAGAAATGGAGGTGTTAAAATAATATCATCAATTCGTAAGAGATGATGATGAAGATATTGATCCAAAACTAAGTACAAACGATGATTATGGAAGAATGATAGCTAGAAAATATTACGATAAACTATATAAAGAATTTGCTATAATAGATTTATCTTAATATAAAACAGGAAAGTATTTCTAATTAATAATTTTAAGAATTGGTATGAGATGGAGAACTGAACCAGAAGTAATGAGTGGGAAAGGAGAAACTGTTTGTGGGAATAAAGTGTGTACTAAAGATAAAGAATTGAGTACTTGGGAATTGAATTTTAAATATAAGGAAAATTAGGAAATTAAGAATACATTAGTAAAAGTGAAGTGTTGTAATATTTGCAGTGAGTAATTAAATTACAAAGTATTAAATTATTTGTGTGCTTTTCAAATAGAAACTTCATAAAAAGGTAAAAGACTATACAGAAGAGGAGATAAGACATATGTTAGCTAAATTAGAAGAGAGAAAGAAGAAACTTAAGTAAGAAGATTCTTGAGTAATTAAAATTATTAATTATATTAAAATGTAATAAGATAATCATGTTTAAGGTCAATTAAGTCCAAAATCAATCGTTAGTTTGAGAATGGAATTCTTAGACAACTTTAAGAATAAAATACAAGGTAAACAAATGATTCCTGACATTATATCTCGTCCCTTATTAGAAGATATAATCCCATGTAGTATAAAAATGAATTTCAGTTAGTGAAATTTTGAATGAGAAAAGATTGTAACATCCTATTGCTTAAAATCTATACTATAATACATAATTATACAAAAATTATAAGACACCAAACAAATAACTTTAATATCATACATCTAGATCAAACTATTTAAAATTAAATGACCCAGATATAAAATATAAAAAATCAAAAAATAAATAAAAAAGATAATGTTCTTGTTCTTGTTATGGTTGTAGTAGAAAAAATTCAACAAAGATTAAAAAACCAATTACACCATAATTAAAAGAACAATAATATATTCTTAATACTAATAAAACTAATGAATCAAATTAGGCCATAAGTATCACTAAATCATTATTTAGAATAATATTCTATTGTAAATTCTAAATCTAAATGTGTATATACATAGCCACTTTTATCTAAAATACATAAATAAAAGTAATGTTGTAACACAAATTAAACTGATAATCCAAAAATTACTAAACCAAATTTATATGATCCAAAATCTTTGGATTATAAACTTAAGAAATAAATTCATAGACAAAATAAAAAGCAATAAATTTTAATATCCCAGTAACATCATTCTACAACCAAAGATTAATAGGCAAAAGTAGTATAGAGAGCCAATATGTAAAAAGTATTTATCTAAATAATCAACAAAGATAGAAGAAGGAGAGTAAAAAAAGATAAATGTTGAACAAATATCATAAATTGAAAAAGAAAAAACTTTAAAATCTAAATTACATTAAAGAAGTTTCTCTAATTAAAATAAAACATCAAATTAAGTAGAATAAAATAAAAGTAATATAAGATATGTTGAATAAAAAAAATTATAAATAAAAGCCAATAAAGGTGTGAAAGATAATTATAATAAGTTTTTTGATTTATTGAAAAATAAAAAATAATAGAAAAATAATATTAAAAAGAATAAAAATAAGATTGTAACTAAGTTGGAAGATTAAGAGATTGAAAATAAAGTTAAATACTAAATAGATTAAACTTTCTAAATCGAATAAAATAGCAAATGATCATAAGAATAATTATTTATCAATATAATAAAAAGGTTTTTTTTTTAAAATATTGTACATAAATATATTAAATAAAATAAATGTTATTATTAATTGTGAGTGTGGCTGGAATTATTTTAAATAATGTCCTTGCATTACATTAATAACAAGCAGGAGTACATGATTGGAATAAGAGACTCTTTGGTGAACTTAGAAATATTCAAGTTTAAGATTAAACAATATTTTATTAAAACAAGAACAATCAAAATGGAGTTATTGATAAATCAACAGGTTTTATGAATTGTTAAATATTTAGGTTAAGTAAAATATAGAAATTCTTATACTATGTGTGATTCTTATAATTATGTCACTTATGAACCAAATTAATAGATTATTTAGTTATTTAATGATGGATATTCAGTTTTAGCAGAATAAGAAATAGTTGGCAATATTGACCATTGTTTAATAGGATTGAATGGAAAATACATACTAATTTATGGATAAAATATACTCTCTCCTACAAGCAGTAAAATAATTGAAAAGTATCTATATAGATAATTTTAGAGTTGATTATAAGATTTTACATGCAGGATACATATTTGATGATCCAATAATTGTATTGCAATAATAAAATGAAATTTGTGTATATTAGATTAGAGAATCAGTATCATAAAACTATTGTGTAGAAAGTTTGTATGATGGTTAAATTCATGAATTTGGTAATACACTTATATATTATGATGATAAATTTGCTTATCATCTTAAAGATAAATCTGCCAAAACTTTGGATATTGAACTTATAAAGAAAGTAGATAAATTTATTGGATTAACATAAGCATTAGTAATCAAAGACAAATCAAAAAAGCAAATAGTTAATTTGGATGGGTAAGTTGAATATGAATTAAGTTCAGATGAATTTGTTATTTAAAATTTAGAGACTTAAAAATATTATTATATTGTTACATAAAAAAATAATGAATTAAAAATAGTAACATTTGATAGAGATACAAAATAAATTCATTCTGATATAATTGAATTATAATCAAAGTCATCAATATTAAATGCTTTTTTAATTGATTAAAATAAAAGATAATTCTTGATTTAGTATTCTGATTTATAAACAGTTTTAGTTGACAATAAAGGTATTAAATGGACAACTGAATAATCTTTAATAAGCATAGACACAATTTTTTATGAAAAATATTAGAATTAAGAATAGACTCATAAAAATTCATATTATGAATCACTTGAGAAACATGGATCTAACAATCCTTTATTTTTAGTTTAAAATGTTATTTCTAGAGTTTTGAATGAAATTAGAGATTTATAAGAATTAGCTATTCATTTTATTGATAATTTGGGTAAAGAGAAAGTCTAAACAAGAGAAATGGAATAGACCTATGGATTAAAATAAAAAGTATACTTTTTAACAACATATGGAACTTTATTATGTTACGATTCTTAAGAGTTATCTTTGTTAGTAAAGTTACAAATAAATAATTAAGATAAAACATTTAAATTAGTCGCACATCATTAGATAGAGTATAATAATATATAAATATATTTAGTTCTAATTTAATAAGACATTTTGATAATAATGATGCCTAACCAACTCATGTTTTGTTTTATTATTCAAAAGAGAAATAAAGATTAAATACTTTTATATTAGACTTGTAACATGGAATAATTTAATAAGTTGCATCATAATCTTCTAAAAATATCTTATGGACAATACCTTATAGAGTAGAAGGAGGACCTGGATAGCATCATAATATTATTATTCTAATTGATGAAGAAAACAATGTATTTACATATCCTAAACATGATTCCTTAAATACTAAAGAAATTATTTTATATAGAAACGATAATGGTGTATTAAGAGGATATAAATTATTTAATAATTAATTAGTCAATATATGGACTATCAATGTAAAAGATGAAATCTTAATTATCAGATCATCTTATCATGTAGGAGAGGAAAATCCAAGAGTTGCCATTTGGGATGATAGAAAAGTTATATATAAATTAATTGATCAATCTAATTTTGCAGTATTAACATCAGATGGAGATAAACTTAAATTATTTATTATTAATGCTAAAACAGGCAAGATCATATTTTAAAGTGTCTAAAGTGAAGCTGATTTTAATTAACCAATCAATTTAGTTTTTGATGAACATTAAGTTTTTGTTACTTATTACAATAAAGCATAAATGATGTTTGAAATTTGGACTGTTGAAATCTATCATGCTAAAGTTGAAGTTTCTTTTATTAAAATGTTAGAAAACTATTATTTTACAAAAACACCAATAATCACTAATTATTATAAAGCTGATTTTGAAGCATTTTTCTTATAATAGGTTTATGGATATCCTTTAGGAATTAAATATCTTGGAATGTCTAAAACTCTAAAATCATTGACTAAAAAAAATTTATTGGTAATAACTACATCAGGATAATTACATTCCTTAGACAGAAATTTAGTATCAACTAGAAGAAGAGAAAAAGCAGATTAACCTATTTTAGAATATTCCCTATAATCAGCGGAACTTCCTCCATATCAATATTAATTACCAGTTAATTTTTAAAATATGCTTACATATCATTAAACTGTATTACTATTATTAATTTATTAGTTTGATATTGAAAAATTTTCAATAGAATCCACAAATTTAGAATCATCAGCATTATTACTAGTATATGGTTCTGATATCTTTTTTACAAGAATAGCTCCTGATAAAGTATATTATAAATATTATATTTAGACTTACGATATGTTATTGGATAATTTCAACTATAATGCCCTTATAGCCACAACTATTTTGATAGCAATTGCAACAAAAGTGTTATCAAAATTGGTCAAATCAAGTAAATAGGTTAAATAATTTTATCTAAATTGAAATATTGTATAATATTATCATAAGTAAATATAAATTAAAGTTATCTTATAACTATATTTTTGATTTAAAGTTTTTTATCCATAATAATAATGTAGAAAATTGTATAAAAGTTAGAGTAAATATTTAAATGAAAAAGATTAATAAAAGAGAAACATTATATATGATTATCTTAATAAAGGTTTATCATAATATACAAAACATTAATTATTTTATTTTTAATTATAATGGGAAGAAAGAAGATTTCAATTACTAAAATTGAAGATAAGCAATAGAGGAATGTATGTTGTTGGATATATGATAGATTACATTTCATAAAAGGAAGATAGGATTACTAAAGAAAGCATATGAGTTAGCTTCTTTATGTGGTGTTTAAGTTTATATGGTATTCAATGATCTATGTATGAAATGGTTTATATTTTAATATTTTAGAAGGAAATGCAATTCATTTTAGAACAGAAGAAATAAATTAAATAGAAAATAATGATAAAAAGAAATATTTATTGACTCCAAAAGATGTAAAATATTTAATTCTAACATCAGTACCCAAAATTTGTTACTAGATCAAAGAATAAAGTAAATGCTCAATTAAGAGATTTACCTATAACACCGTTAAAATTAGTCACAGATATTATGATAACTGATGAGCCATTAATTTCTCGTTATTCAGTTCTTAGTAGACAGTTTTTCCCAATACCTTAGCCAAAGACTAATAGAACTATAATTGAGAATAATACATGAATTATAACTAATTAATTTGAATTATAATCATGAAAAGAACATAATGTAATTGTGATGAGAATATCAAGAAAGACTTTGATAACTGTTCTTAATCTCTTGAATGGCTTGTGATACATTATGACATAAAATAATTAGATAACATGAGAAAAGATTATTAATTACTATGTAATATAGAAATTGCAGATTAATAGTAATGGATAACAAAATAACGTAAACAAATTGAAAGAGATTTAATGAGAACATTTCCAAATGAACCATTTTTTTAATCAAAACATGGAAAAGAAGCTTTGTAAAGATTACTATTTACTATTGCAATTTATGATATTGGTGTTGGATTTGTGTAAGGAATGAATTTTTTAGCTGGTGCTCTTCTCTTTCATAGTGAAGAATGTGTAGCCTTCTGGAATTATGTTACATTATATGAACGATTATAATTGAGAGATATTTATTTGGAAAGTAGTCTATAATCTTAAGATAGACCTTCCTGGATTATCAAAACACATTTAAATAATACAATTATTATGTATGAGCCAACAAAGAAAACTTTATGATATGTTTCTTAAAAACAATGTTTAATTTGAAAATTTTTGCATTCCTTGGTTTTTATCAATGTTAGCTATGGTAATACCAATTAGATCTTTTGTAAGAATTTTATCTAACTAGAATTTAGTTATAAAACCTATGATTTTAAGTAGATGGATATTTGTTTATAAATTAATTCTATCTTTTTTATAAAATTTAGAATTAATTTGTGAAGGACCTGAATTATTGATGGAATTAACTAGTAAAACATATAAATGGAACCATTGTATACCTTTAGCTAATAATTTGAATTTAGACAAAAAATTTATCGATTTAATGTTAGAATCATTTGATTAAGATAAATAAACATTTTTAATTAAATTATATAATGGAAATTGAATATTATAAACCTTTCTTTATTCATTTATTCTTAATCACAATATTAATTATTACTGTAAAATAATGCTATTATTATACTTATTCAAAATAGGTTAGTTCTAAGTTTTTCAATATTAAGTCTATCTTTAATCTAATCCTATAATTAATTGATAATAATTAAAATAAATGAAAGTTTTATTTTATATATCCATAATGTAGAAGTTAAATGTTTGAAGTCATAAAAAAATTTAAGTTTTCAGTGCTTTTTGATATTGATTTAAATTTATTTAATATAAAAAATAGTTTAAATATTGATGTAAAGTGAATAATTTAGTGTGCAAAAACTTTATGCTTGGGGTAGTTCAGAATGTGATTAATTTTTGGCAAAAGATGAAGATGATGATGAAATATATGAAATAAAGAGACCTTATTTGATTAAAGAATTAAGCGGTTTATCTGTTGTATAAATAGCATGTGGAGGAATGCATGCTTTAATTTTAACTTAATAAGGAAAAGTATTTGTAAAGTTAGCTAAATAAGGTTTATTCTTTTGGTTGCGATGATAAAGGAGTATTAGGAAGGCCTGAAATAGAAGGATAGGATTCAAGATTACCAGAATTGATTACAGATTTACCTCCTGTAAATATGATAGCTTGTGGAAGTTCTCATTCAATAGCAGCAAATTCTAATGGTTTAGTATATTTTTGGGGGTTTTATGCGAATACTCATGGTCCAATAGGTGAAGCAGTATCAAAACCAAAAAAATTGAATGATATAACAAATGGAATCAAAAAAATCTTATGTGGTTAAAACCATTCTATGGTGTTATTAGATAATTTTAAAGTAAACAGCTTAAATCAAAAAACTAGTTACTGACTTGGGGAGATGCAGAAACATTAGTAATAGGAAGAAAAAGTGAAACAAGAAGATCAATAAAATAAAATTTAAACCCATAACCTATTAAAATGAAAAGACCAATTTTAGATATATTTACAGGGGCTTCACATGCCTTTGTAAAAGTTTTATTAAAAGATAATAAATAAGGAATATATGCATGGGGTCTAAATAATTATGGTTAATTGGGAATTGGAAATCAAGAAAATTAGTAACTTCCAATTTAAGTTGAGTTTTTTGAGAATATAGATATTATAGATATGGTTGGAGGAGAACATCATACAATAGCTTTAGATATTGAAGGAAATGTATATTGTTTTGGAAGAAATGATGATGGCTAATTAGGTTTAGGAGAAGAATTAAATGAAAAGTTGAGAATTGAGGCAGAAAAATAAAGAATTTTAGAAGAGGAACTATATTAATAGTAATTAAATAAAAAAAAAACAAGTAAAAAAAATAAATAAGGAGATTTATTTGAAGTTTAAAAATCCTAAAAAGCTATTGGATATGAATTCATAACTACTCCTTAAATAATTAATAATATACCAAAAATGTAATCAATTTATGCTTCTATGCATTTTAATTTTGCTATTTCTGAAAAGAAATAAATATTTTCTTGGGGAAATGGATAAAGTTATGTCTTAGGAACAAAAAATGAAAATTCTCAATTTTAACCTAAAGAAGTAATAGCTATTTTATTTATATTATTTAGGTTACACAAATATTTAAAAATGAAAAATTATTATAAATTTCTCTTGGTGCAAGTCATGTAATAGCTTTAACTTCTTCTGATCACTCTTTTTAACTTCCATAAGTAGATGAATGGCTTTTAAAAATAAGTGATCCAAAATCAAAATTAAAAAAAGGTCGAAAAAGCAATAGTAGAGAAATGAGTAAAGAGAAAAGTCTCTCAATGAAAAGAAGTGTTTAAAAATTTGATGATAGCTTAATTCCTGTAAAAGATTTAAGAATTGATTGATATATATATATTAGTATCATTTATTCATTACTGCAATTCTTGTTTTCTTCTACTAAGATGACCTTAAGATATTGGATCATTTCTAATGTCTAGATGATGATGGTCAATAAATTTATTAGCAATATCACCAATTTTTTTTGTTTTAACTCTTTATAAAAAGTTCTATTTTTATTATTCTTATAACATGATTCTCTATATAAATTCCTTTTATTTCACTTCTCTTTCTAATCTTTATTTATTTTAGTAAAGTTCGTAATTCACAAGTTCCTCTTATAAACCTTCATGCATTTATTTATTATTTACAAATTATTATGATCTATGAATCATTTCTTAAACTTCATGTTCAAATCTTAAAAATGATTGTAAATCATCACTTTGAATTTGAATATTTAAATATCCCTCTTCATAAAATTCTTAGATATTTTTACAATCCATATTATGTTCTAAAGATTTCACAAAATTAATATTGATCTTATCTAAATCTTAATTATTTTCTATTCCTTACTGAGACTCATTTTTTTATGATTCATTCTTCCCTTATTAATATAAGGGAGAATTAGTTTAGAAAGAAGTGTTCTTATTTTGATTTGTTTACCTACTTAACTTTTTTAGATTTTCTTTGGCAACAAAGAATTCACTTTTTATATCTTTATCAAAAGATTCATCTGTAATTGAAGAACTTGTATCTGAAACTTCCAGTTAATAATGAGCTTTTTATTATTTAAATTTCTTTCCTTTTTTATCAGTTCTTTTTGGTTGCTATACTTGATTAGATTCATTTGGAGCTGGAATAGGGGATGCTGCTTAATGAATTACTTTAAGTTTTTATCTGAGGTGTTAAAAATGTTCTTTAGCTTTTCCTGTGTGATCTTATTCTATTGGCTCTGGCTATTATAATATCAGGCTTTTTGAAATTGATTTTTTTGGCCTTAGTGTTCTTTCAACTTATAACATTAATTTAATGAATAGAATAAACTCTTAAGAAAGAAATCTATAATCAGCTAAATCAAACAGAAACAAGGGAAAATAGTTAAATATAATTGATTTCATAATGAAATAAAACTTTTAGGATAAAGATCCTTCAACAATAGCATTTTCAGAAGAATTAAATGAATAAAAATCTTGTGAAATGTGTTTAAAATTATAGGAGCAATTAAGCAAATAGGTGAATTCAGAACAATTTTAATAAGTAGTCGAAAAGTTGTGGTAGAAAATGAGAAAAATTGATGATGACAATTAAAAGTTGTTAGTGAAGATTGTGAATGTCGAAAAATCTCTTATTGATCAATAAGGTTTATTGGATGAATTGAATGATCAATAGTACAGCAAATAATAATCATAATAAGATTAAACTCAGATTATCTAATAAGTGACTTTAGATAAAGGCCAACTTGAGAAATTAGAAAAAAAAATATAAAAAGACAGTTTAGCAGGAATAAAAAACATAGAAGATAATTTATATAAGACTTTAAACAAAGATATTTAATAAAAGTTTATAATTATGCAAGAAAAATTAGAATCAATAGGTTAATAATTTAGAGGAGTAAATGAATAAATTGAACTTTTTAATCATAAACTTGGTATAACTAGAGAAGAATGTGAAGAAAGAATTAATCAAATGGCATTAATTGTAAATGAAAATAATTAAATCTAAAGAGTTAATAATAATGGAGTGGCTGAAATGTAATAACATGTAATTATTATATATTTTTACAAAGTATAGTGATTTGGATGCAGATATGATGAGAATGTTTTCACATATTAAAGCATTACTATAAAATGATTATAAAATAACAGAAATGGATTAAGATCTAAAGGATTTAAAATCTTAGTTGATTTAATTGAGAAATGCTGTTAATGAAATTGGTGATTTTGTTTCAAAAATATGAAAAATATATAATCACTTTAATTTCAATAAATCATCGATGAAGGTGTCATCATTCACTCAAAATAAGCCCAATTACTTAGAATAACCCTGAAAAAAAGTATTATGGAGAGATAATCTTAATAAATACATTCATTACCTGCTGTCTAAACCAAATCAAAGAAATTTAAGGTTTAAACAAGATAATAATCTGAAACTTCTATTGCACCGAAAAAATAAGAAAAGAGAATATAAAGATAATTGAGTAATATTGAAAAGGGCAATTTCTTATATTTTTTATATGCTTAAAAAAATGGTTAGGTAGAACTATAATTAATTTTAGAAAAATGAAAAATAATTTGAGGAGTTTTTAAGAAAAACTTATAATTTTGAGCCTCCTTAAAAGAATGAAGGACCAAGTAAAAAAGGTCTTCTTTATCTATCTAAAAGAGAGGAAAATGAAGATCACATTAGAAAATTAACAAATTCGGTATTGTCACCTGGAAGCAAAACCTTTATGGGAGGAAAAGATATTCCTCTAGATTAAGTTATAAGTCAAATGTTTGAGAAATAATTAGAACGATTCCCAAAAGTTAAGTAGAAGATAGAAGGAACTCAATGACTTTATTAAAATAAATGTTAAAATACAAGAATTCATTCTATTTATTTGCTATTTTCTATTTATTGTATAATTCTTTGATTCTTCTCTGTTACTTCCTAAATTTATAGAAAATGATACTCTAATTTAATATCTGAGAGATTTGAGTCGCTTATCAAATTCAAATTATTCATCTTCCAAGTCTGCTCTTTCTTACATGTATTAAAACAACTCTTGATTGAGATTCTCTAACATATTTTTGTATGAAATTTGTATATGGCTTGAAATCTCGGTTTATGTAAAGAATAATTTTATTTAATTCTTACCCTATTGTAATTATCTCAATTATTCAATTTTGCCTTGTTTTTCTCCTTTTATTTCTTACCTTTAAGACTCTAAATCAAATAATTGTTATTCTCCTAGCTCTTAAAGATATTCCTTTAAATAAGGATCAACCATAGGACTTTCTTCACTGTATTCTATTTATTATTGACTTTGTGATACACTTTAATTAGATATTTTAAATTTTGTTCATGATTTCTTTCAATTCTAATCTTAATTCTTTATGCTCGACTTCCTTCTACTTCAAAACTTCCAACAATTCCTATTAATATTATTTTTCCTTATTGACTATAACTTCCACATCTTCTAGTCTATCATCTGAAGGTGTTTATTCATTATATTCTCCATCACCTTCATCATACATTAATTGTTAATTATATTTTTAAATGTCTTGGATAAACCAAAACTAGGTTACCCTTAATAAACCTAATAATCTACTTGGGCTATTTACTTAATCAAGAGATTCTTTACACCATGATCCTAGTGATTAATTTACTAAACTTCCACCTCACCTTTATAATAAACATAAAGGAAAGAAACCTTCTCAAATTCTATATGATGAGGTTTATTCATATTATTATTAATCTTTAGATCTATAAGGATATTATTGAAACTCCAAATATTAATAGATTTGTATAACCTCCTCCATAATATGAATTGAAAGATTAGAATTTCAAATGTTGGTAATGTTAAAAGCCTATATCTAATGGATTCCTTACTATTGGTGCTAATTGTGATTAATGCTTTTTCCATGGTCGCTACTTTTGTAATGATTGTATGTCAGTTGTTCGTATGCCTATTCCATGGAAAGCTTTAGATAGTTTTGATTTAAGACATTATAAGGTTTCTAAACTTGCTTAATCTGAAATAGATAAATTATATGACTTACCTATTCTAGAAATAACACCAACATCTAAATTATTGTAGCTTAATAAAACACTTTTTGAATTTATGGTTCTCAAAAGATAAATCCATTTATTATATGATATGATTTGTGATCCTAAATTAGTATAAACCTTATTAGAAAAAAGAATGAACCTGTGTTTAAAAAGAAATTGTTTTAGTTTAAAGGATTTATATGAAATTTATAATGGAAGTCTTACAAAAGTTATTTAAGGGTATTATGTTATACTTTTTAAACATATTGATCTTTGCAAGAGTTGTCAAAAAAGAGGTCATATATGTATTATTTGTAAACATGTTGTACCTATCCATGCATTTGATATCAAAAATGTAACATACTGTGACACATGTTTAAAAGTTTTTCATAGAGATTGTGCAGAATCATAATCATGTCCTAATTGTTTACAATAGAGATGATTTTATATATATTAGAAAGAAAAATTACTAATTTTTTTTTATTGTAATTCTTTTTTTAAAATTTAAATTAAAAAATAATTATTTTTCCACAATCATATTTCTCCATTTTCCTCAACTTTTTCAACAATTTAACTATTTTCAGCATATTCAATATTTTCAATTAAGGAATTGCTTAGATTTATAATTAATTAAGATTTAAAATTTTGTTAATTTGGATTTTATAAAATTTTACTTCCTAGCCAACCTCCTTCAATTACTTATTAATAAGAAATTTGAAATCTGCAAGAAGGACAATTAATAATTTTCATTAACCATTTCTTTAAACATAAATGATGAAATATATGTCCACAAGGGGTTATACCAATTTCTTTTTGATTTAAATTTTCCAGACAAACTACACATTAAGTGTTTGAGTTAAATTGAGGATATATTTAAATGAAATCTTCATAATCATAGATCTCAAAATGTTTGTTGAAAAATGAACCTGAAAAATGTTTTGGGTTTTCGTCTATTTAAGGAGATATAACTTTGATTTTTCTCCTTTTTTTTATTGTAATAGTTTTCTGTTTACATACATTAGTGATTCCAAAACAAAATATCATAATAATAATATTACAAGATGCAATGGCAACAAACATAGAATTTCCACTCCAAAATGAAGAAGTTTCTTCTTATTTTAGAGTAATACTTATAGTCTAATCAGTCCTACATTATAATCCTATGATCAAAATTTAAGCATCTTTAAATTGTAATTTTAAATTCTAAATTAATTTAGTGAGGCTTAACTGACTATGGAGTATAGCTGTATAAGATGTTTGGTCAGGTATCTCGAAACCTTTATACCCTAGAGATCCAAAGTTAACAGCTAAAAAATTTAATGATTTTTTACTTATTGGGTCAGTGACATCATTTGCAATTAGAATAACTTCTTCTTAAAATTTTAATGATAAATAAACAACTTAATGAGGTATTAAATGAATCTTATAATTTATATCTATCTCTATATTTATCAATTCAAACTGGCAAAATGATCCAAAGTATCCATTATCACATTCACATTTCGAATTGCATGTAGAATTTTGTTTTATCTTACTAATTTAAAATCCTTAGCAATCGTTAATGCATGTAGAATAAGGTTTTGAATATGCTTATATTTTTAGTTTAAATGGTCCATACCTATTTCTAGCATAATAATATATGCTCTCCGTATATGATAATTCGATCATATGTGTATGATAATGAGTTTATATTGATTCATAATCAAATAAAACAACTTTTTTACTTTCAATAAAAATTGGCTTTATTGTTGTATTAAAGTCTGTATCAAGAATTTCTTCCCTAGAAACAAATGCTATAGGGAAATAAGCATTATCAAAATAAAAAACTACTAATAAATTCTCATCATTCTTTTCTACATTGATTATTCCTGAAATGTTATTATTTACATTGAGTTCTAAAGATTTAAGTAATTTTTATGTTTTCACTACAATAATGTAGAATAGTAAAATTTGTATCATACTAATATATAATCAAAAATAATAAATTCTAAATTTTTTCTCTGACACAGCTTAAAAAGCAATTTATTTGTTTTTTACTATTTATTATTATTTACTATTCTTAAAAACATAAAGCGCAACCGTGCTCAATAATTTTTTACATTTCTTTTTTCAAAATAAAACAAATATCAAACAAACTCTTTCAAGTTCAATTATTTTTCCATAATAAAATTTGTTTCTAAAAGTTTTATTAAATTTTATGCTTTAATTTTAAAGTTGTGTGAATAATATAATTTTAAAGTAAGCCTATGAAGAGATTAAAGAGACTACAGATTTACCTCAGGTTTTGAAACATTCTTCACTAACTCCTATGCCAATAGAGATGACAGCATCTTTATTAAGAATTAAGTAATTATTGCTAAAAGAAAATGAGAATGAATAATAGAAATAAATCTTATTAAAAGCAGGTTCATTAGAAATCATTAGATTTATAAGCTAATTAGCAGATATGTATACAACATAATCAAAAGATAAAAATAAATCTGTAAATCAGATTTTGAAACAAGAAAATTTAAGCCTTGATTTGTATTTTCCATATTTAATCTTAGCCCTGATATCTTATCTGAAATGAGACATGCTCTTACTCACAAAGATATTCCAGATAAAAAATTAATTATTTCCACAATCAATTATATATTAAATTATTTAGAAAAGAATTATTGGAATATAAAATTAAAAGAGTAGTCACCTATATTGCAAATACGAGCAAATATTAAACATCTTTTAGACTCTTTAAATGAGGATGATTATACTGTTTAATTTGAAATATACGATCAATATTCTTAGTAATAACAATAGATCATTGTTATATTTTGTTTTGATTATTTAATAGGATTATCAGATTTTCATATTGTTCAGAAGGTATTTATTTTTAATTTTCAGAGCACTGAATAAAGACTTAAGGATAGAAGAGTTGGTGACTAGAGAATAAAAATGATTTCAAAATTTACAATATCTCTTATTTAATTTTTGTATAATAACAAAAATACTAATCATGTAAAGAGGTAACTTGCCAGAAAATAATATATCTGTAATGATGATTCCTTCATAAAATTATATAATAAACTTAATGTGATTGGATTTATCAAAACCAATATAAGAGATTTTATTATTGATTTAGAACAAGAATTACCAGAACTAAAATAAAAAAAAAATCATTCATCACTAGAATTAAACCAAAAAATTGATAAATTAGATGAATCAATTGAACAAAAATTGGAATAGATAGTGAAAAAGCCAAAATTGATTGGGTCTTTATATTGTGATTATGTAAACAATATAAATAACTCAGATGAAATATGATATCTAATTTTTATAATAAAGATAAAAAAAGTATCATATAATTTAAAAAAATTTAAGAATTAATTCATTAATAATTTTAAATATTACTTTTTTATGAATAATAAGAATATATAAACTAGCCTTGATCTAAAATAAAGTAACTTTGCTTTCTGCTTGTCTAATGATGAAAAACAATTAATCATTATTTAATAAGATCGACTCGTTGCTTACGATTTATCTAAAGGTTAATTTAACATTATTACTCTATTTGAAGAAATTTAGCTAAATCAAACTAAAATTTGTATATCATCGGATAATTTATTTTGTTGTGTGAGCACATAATTACTAATTAATGGTTAGCTCATTTTTGTTCTACTTAAATTTGACTTATAAAAGAAAGTTTTATCTAACAAATATTTAAATTATCATTTAATGTCATTAGATATGTTAGAGTTTATTCCCAATTCTCATATATTAATAAGCTTAAGTATTGATGCCACTATTAAAATTTTTGATTTAGCTGATTAAAAACCAAAAACTTTAATTACAAGATGTTCGCAAAAACCATTATATTGTAGATTAATACATAAAAAAAATAGAGTCGTAATTTTTGATAATCTCTTTAATATAAAATTAATGGATACTTTGAATGAAAAATAATTAAAATTAATAAAATTAAGATTAGGAAGATGCTATAAAGCCTTAGCTGAGGAAAATGGTATTGTTGCTTTTTTAGCTAAATCTGATAAATGTTATTTGTATGATTTACCTAAGCAAAAATTAATTAGAAAGTATAAATCACCTGATAATTTTAACTTATTTAAAGTTCATACTAATTATTTGCTTTTTTAAGAACACAATCAAATAATGATTCTAAATACGATAACTTGTAAACAATAGTTTTTATACCTATAAAATATCTAATACATTTATAGCATGATGTTTAATTAAAATTTAGATAAATTATTCCTATGTGATTAGGAATAAATACATATTTTTGATAATATAGAATTTTTAGAATAATGAGTTACTTATTTATTTATATATATTTATTTTATATATTATATTTTTAATTAGTTAAAAAACTTAAATGATAAAAAATAATACCATTCTATTTTTTTAACAAAAGTTGAAAAATATTCTACTAACCAATAATCAGCTCAAATGAAAAAAATTACATAATTTAAATGATAGAATGTCTGAAAAAAATATTACACAATGAATAAGAATATGAATTTGATAATTTATTTATGTTAAATTTTTTATATTATCTAATCACCTTTAAAAATACTTCATTATCTTTTTTTTCTTCTAAAAATCTATTGATTATGTCTAAAATAGAGATCGATATCAGTTTTATTTTGTTCTATAAACAAGGAACACCACATAAAATTTCCAAAGAAATTTTTTGCAATTTTTGTGGCCATTTTGGAATTTAATAGTTCTTTAAAGTGATTTCTATTATAGTTTTAGCCATCAATTTTCAGAAATTTCATGATAACTTAGTCTTATTTCACTAAAGTCTAGTCAAAATTATTAATAATGTAGGATGATAGTTTCTTTCCAATATTCTTATAATAGTTTTTTGTTTCACCAGGATAGATATAAGGAGTGAATTTTTATATATTTTTCTTACAAACTTTTTGTATAGATTCTGATTCATACTCTTCTTTAATTTCTTGCTTTACTTTTATATCATCTTTGTTTTCTAACATATATTAGCTAGCGATTAGGCTACGTAGATAAGCTTAAATGTCAATTATTCCAAACGGGCAGTAAAAGAACCCTTATAATGGGAAAATTGAATTTGATTATTATGAATTGCCTTTCATATAGTTTTATTTCAGTGGATAAAATGTCACAATATGTAATCAAGATTTTGAAAAGAAGTATTATTCTTTATTACTTTGAATAAATGATTATATAAAATTTCTCCTTTCTTGACTTAAATTTGTAAAACCATGTATCAGATCAATTTACTGTTGAAAATAATAATTCTATTTTTGAAAATCATAAAGGATTAGTATCAATAATTAACTGATTCACTCTATTTCTTTAGATAAAATGCCTATTATTAAATCAAATAAGATCATGATTTTAAGTAAATCTCTGGTCATAAAATGTAATAATCCAAACCAAAACGTGAAATTGATTCTGTTGATAAATTCATTAGGTTATCATTTTGTGTTACTTTCTAATAGATATTCATCTCGAAAATGTAGGATTTATTTTGAAATAAGAATTAATTAAGACTAGCAAATTCTTTTTTGAATCAAAAAAAATTAAATTGTATTATTGAAATTGTAAATCAGGATATAAGTTTTTATTTCCTAAAATTTCCTAAAATTATACCTTCATTAAATGGTTACGCAACATTAGGGTAGAATTAATTTTGAAAATTGCCTTAAAAAGATTGGAAAATGAAATAGAATTATTAAATAATCTATTTATTGATTTTAATTATTTATTAATCATCTTTATATTTTTATAAGAGATTATTATAAATTTTAATAAAATATTGAAGGCGATTTCTGATTAGAAAATAGCTTTCTATGAAAGAAAATATTGGGCTAATATTTATAATATATAATCTTTTCTTTATTATAATAGTGATAAAAAGTTAAATGAGATAGGGAGATTAGTTAGTTTGTGTGATATTAATTTTTTTAAGTGTAAAATTTATTTGTTCAAAGTATATTGAAAAAGTTTAATGATAATATTAAATACTTGAATGGATTTTTAAATTTGTTAAAATACTTAAAGTCCAGAGAAATTCTTGTGCTTAAATTAGGAATGCTCTATGGCTGAAAAAAAACATATTTAATGTTATTAGTGCTTAACAAAATATCATTTAAGCAAGAACAAGGTAGTAAGACATGCTGATGATTTCATTGAGTTAGAATAATTTATGAATGAAATCAAAAAGAAATATAATAAAAGACATATTTTTATTTAACAAATATTATAATAGGCATTAGACTTTTAGAAGAGTAAAATTTAGGAAATATAATTAACTAAAAATGGTGATTTAATAAAATCTGCAACTGAGAAAATAGAAGGAGATACTACAAAATTTTCAAAATCTTTAAGCTCTTTATATTTAGAGCAAAAATTTACATTTCCTTATCAGAACTCATTTCATGTGTAGTATGTAAAATTTTATTTTGAAGATGAAAATAAATATTAGGATGACTGTAAATAAAAATTAGGAATACTAATTTCGTAAATAGAAAAATATATGTAGACTCTTGATTTAGATATTCTAACAACTATGAAAAGGTTAAAATTAAATTTTTAATATTTTTTAGGTCTTATAAGAAAGTAGAAATGTTAGAAAAACAAATCACTTATTTTAGTAAATAAACAATGTACAATAAATTATAATTCTTAATTTTGTTGTTGATATTGCCATATTTAGTTTATTTATAATATAATTAATTTGAGATAATACAATACTAGAAACAATAAGAATAAAGAGTTCAAATACAAGATTATTTAATAGAGGAAATTTAAAATTAAAAAGATAAATTTAATATTTTTGAGAATAAGTAATAAAGATTATAACTGGATGAAACAAATAACATTTAGACATTAAATAACACTATTTTAGAAGTAATGGATGCTTTATAAAAATTAAAAATACGATTTGAGACTTTTAAATAAAGTTCAACATTAAATTTAGAGAAATCTAGAATCGATATTTCGAGTATTCATGAAGTATTATAAAAAAATATAAGTGATTTGAATAATTAGGAAGTTATTTTAAAAAATTAGATTGAATAAATTAAATCAAGATTTGATTTAGTATATGTTAAGGAAATAGAGTGGAGATCAAATATGGAAGATTATAAGAGATTATAATTGGCAGAAAAAAGAAAAACCAAAGTTTAGATAGAGATAATGAAGGAAAAAAATGTGATGAGAAAGATAGTTTAATTAAAGAATTATATTTATGCTTTAACGAATTATAGACATATGATATAAATTCATAGAAATTTAAAAAAAACAAATCTTAAAGACTTTGAATTAATTTATGATGAATTATTTGATAAACCTGTATTAATTTACACAATGATGTCTATATAATAAAAGGTTTTTAAAAATGAGGGTGATAATCCTTTACTTTGTTTGGGAGGATTATATATAAAAAATAAAGAAAAAATAGATTTAATAGCATGTGATTTTGCAAATGATATTTTGAGTCCTACTTTTGAAACTGATAAGGCTATAAAAAGTAGTCATGGAAATATCTATTGGTATTAAGTGTAAGAATCATCATTTGGATTTGCACCAAATGAAAATATAAAATTAATACATTGTGACGATTATGATGAAAAAGATGAATATCGATTAAGTTATTGGTATAATATAGGTGTTTTATCAGGAGGACGCAGATTGGGAAGTTAATTATCATTAGATAATTCTACTTAACATAGATTATAGATATATTTATTGAAACCTATATTTGAGTGATATATTGAATGATTTATTTAATAAATTATTACTGTAAATATTGTCTCATTGATTTGGTCTAATCAAGATTTTCTTTTATGTCTAATTTTATGAATAAATTTGTATTCCCTAATTGATTTATTCTAGAGGATATTGATTAGAATATTCTGTCTTTAATGTAGTTTTTAGTAATTCATTAAGTTTCTTTGAGACATTCAAATCAGCAAAAGGATTATACTTGTGCACTGATGTGGCTAACCAAAATCCTTTAACAATTTTGCTTTTGAAAAGTAAATCATTAGCAGTAACATCACTAATAGGTTATCCTGATAGTAATCCATATACTAAAGCAGTAGATTTATTAGGTAATTGACTTAGTATTTAACCAGTTAAACTTCCACCTATTGCATCAAAGAATACAGTGGCACTAATGAAATTAGAAAATAATAATACTTTAATTAAGTAGCTAAAGCATTTAAATCTTTAAGGAAGGTTTCTGAAGTTTAATTTAAAACATATTTAGCACCTTCTTTTTAAAGTAGCTCAACTTATTCTTATCTTCTGACAACATTAATGACATCAATTCCAGAATCTTAAAAATATCTAACTAACATTCTTCCTAATGCTGAACCAGCAGCTGTATGAACTATAGCTTTAGCTCCTAATTCTTATGTTTCTACTAACATAAGCATTACTGTAACAGGGTTTACTATAGATGATGCTCCCATTTCAAAAGAGATATCATCATCTAATGGAATAACTTACTGACTGAATGTAACACAATACTAACCATAACTACCATAATTCGAATTAGCTGTGAAAGCCACTTTTGTACCTACCTTAACATTTTGAACATTTGGTCTATTTGATAGTTTTATAATATATACCCTAATTGAACAACAATTCCTGAACCTTCTAATCCTAAGACTGCTGGTAATACTTTTTCAGCTGGATATTATCCTGCTTTCAATAATAAATCTGATGGATTAACAGGAGCTGCTTCAACTTTAATTAAAACTTATCCTTCTTATAATTATGGTGTTTCTATCTCTACAATCTAGAAATCTTTTCCGTATTCAACTAATTAAGCTGCCTTAAAAGTTTTTGGAATTACGAATTGTTCCATTTTAATTAATATTTAATTTTACTCAGAATTCTTGAATTTAAATTGTTTATTAAAATTCGGAATTCCAAAATTTAGAATAATTATTTTAATCAGAATAAATTAATAATAGCATAATAAAATTAGATGTCATTCAAGTTTGAATACATCAAATTATGAATATGCATTAAAGAAATAAAATTATATTATACATTTGAATAATGAATATATTCATAATATAATAATTATATGACCATATAAGATAATATTACATAGTAGAATAGAAATTAAAATAAATTATATAAATGCTCACAGGAAAATAAATAGGAGATTATAAGCTTCTTGAAGAATTAGGCAGGGGATCTTTTGGTTGTGTAAATATTTATTAATATTAAATGATTATAGGTTTATAAATGCTAAAACATGGTGGATTAATCTTATCATGCTATAAAGATTATATAATTTCAATCTTTAAGCAATAGTGAAGGAATAGTAGGAGAATTATTAAAAGATGAGATAAGTGTTCTTGCAAAAATAGAATCACCTAATGTTTTAAGATTAGAACATTATTTTCAATCAAAATCAAATTGCTATATTTTAATGGAGTATTGTAATGGTAATTTAATAATATTAAAAAATGAATAGGAGGTGATTTGGAAAACTATTGGGAGAAATAAGGAAAAAAAATAGAAGAACAAAAAGTTATTGATATTATAGTATAAATACTGAATGGATTAAGTGAATTACATAAATTAAATGTAATTCATAGAGATATTAAATTGGCAAATATTTTAATGCATAATGACTTAATTAAAATAGCTGATCTTGGATTCTGTAAACAATTGTAATACTAAGTTATATTTAATTTTTTAATTTATAGTGTATGGAAGTAAGTTTATGTTTAGGTACACCAGGTACTATGGCACCTGAAGTAGCTAGATTTGATAGTTATGGTTTATAATCAGATATATTTTCTATTGGATGTATTTTTTATTAGCTTTTATTTGGTGAGTTACCTTTTGAATACATAAACACATAATAATATTTAGAAGCAATTCAATAATGTAATGTTTTTTAATGATTATTTCATAGAAAATATAAATTTTAATAAAAATGGGGTTGTCATCTAAGAAGAAATCAAAGATATCATTATCAAAATGTTGAAAGAAAATCCAAAAGAAAGATTAACATTTCCATAATTATATTAATATCCACTATTTAAAAGAATTTAAAAAATGTCTTAAGCCAGTCAAATTGCTTTGAAAAGTGTGAGCAAATAAGAAACTGCTATATTTTATAAAGATATTTATGAAAATAATCGAGATGTTCAAATACAATAAAAAGGAATGAATACTTTAAAATAAAATGGAGATATATTCAAAACTTAAACAGAAAATCAAGGGGAATAAGTTCAATATGTAGATAATCTACAAAAAGTCAATACTGTCATTCATAATTAATAAGAATAAGAAAATGTTTCAAAATTAGCATATGAAATGAGAGCTACCCATTATTTATCTCCAAATTAATAACCATATAATAGTACTTTACAATAACTTTAAGAAAGTGAATAGATCTTTAAAACAGTTAGAAATTAAAATGATTCTCATTAACTTCTTAATAATTAATAGAATACATATTTAGTTTAATCATTTCGTTTTATTTATGATGCATTGCAATATTGTGATAGAACTTATTTAGAAATTGATCAAATTCAATTTAAAAATCAAAGTTAAGTAATATTAATATAATAACATAGTCATGGATTGGCAAATTTATGATATAAAAAAGATTAAGAGTTGAAAGCAAAAATTATTTTTAGACATTATAATAATATCCATATTTAAATGAATTGAGTCAAATGTAATAAGACTTTGAAACTTATATATAAAATCAAACTTTTAATAAGTTACTTGAATAGATGTATATATTTTTATAAATAATAGAAAAAGTGATCCATAACTTCAAACTAGTTTAAGACAAGAATATATTTAAGAATTGAAGGAAGAACCAACAGGAACATTTTAACTTTACTATTGTTAAGCATTAATGGAATTATATGCATAAATTAAAACTGAAATAAATAAAGAGACTGAAAATAAAAAAAAGAAGGTTCTAGTAATTTGTTTGCTTCATATACAAAGATGCATGCATTTTCAAGATTTATCAACATATAAAATTGATTTTTAAGAAGAGTTTATTAATGTGAAAACGATAAATTTAATAGACATCATAAAAAAAGTTTAATATTGATGCAAAATTGATATTTTTATTCAAATTTTACATTTATTTTATCATTCTTTTATCCTATTATTATAATATCAAGTTTTTTTTATTGGAAAATTAGATCACATGGACCAAAAACATTAACAATCTAATTTAAATTTTAATTGGTATATTGTATTGATCAAATATATTTAGTTTATCAGAATATAATTTTACAATGATATTTGATACAGCTTTATCATCAAAAGTACTATAGTGATTAAGGTTCGAGAAGCTAATTATCCTGATTGATTAGGATTGTGTACAGATGCAGTTTTTAATTACAATAATTTTTGTTTAAAATGATGGATTATTGGGAATTCAATTAAGAGAATTTGTTATCAGAAATCATTAATTCATAAAAATAAGGAGGTATAGGAAATTTCAAGGTATATATCATATTGGTCTATTAGGAGTAATTAATCCTAACAGACTCAATAACTAAAAATGAAGTTAAAATTAATTACATTAAAAAACTGGCATAAACTAGTGAAATTACTAAAGTGGTATTATTAAAAGGGATAACATAGTGCAAATAAACTACCTTAGATAATTATTCTTTCAATTCTTCTTTGTTTTGGAACTTAATAATTTTAATAGGAAAATTCTATGTTTTTCTTTATTTTATGTCAAAGAAACAATTATTAACTGAGTTAGATCCTTCAAATATGAATAAATATCTGAAACATCTTATTTTTTCTTAAACTTTAAACTTAAGAAGATCAGAAATATAAAAATTTATCATTTTTTATTAAGAACTTAAAAGTGTGCAATTTCCATCAGCTTAATTAGTTAAAAAGGTTCTGAATAAATCTAATCAACCAATCAATTAAACATCAGTTAGTTTTTAAAAAATAGTAATTTTTCTTCATACAATTATTGATTTGGATAAAATTGCATAAATTTTCATTGAATAAAAAATGTGTATGATAAATATATTTCACTTTGAAATGATTTAATTGGCAATTCTGAACTATTAGGTAATGATTTTGTAGAGAGAACTACTGAGAAAATGTAAAAATATTAATTTTTCATTATTTTTACTTAAATTTTAGTTCCCATTAATATATACAGGTTGGTAAAAGATTTTCTTTTGTTTATAAAGTTTATTAAGATTTGCTTCAGCTATTCATGATAATTATTTTATTATTAGTAAGATGATTAATTTTAATACTATAGTAATTTTCTCTAAATATTAATTTTTATATTATTTTATATCATTTCTTAAGAATCATGAGTCAAACAAAGATTTTTTAAGCAATTAGAATTTTTTTGAATTAATAAATATTTTCAATAAAGATTGATTAATGAATAACTTTTTATCATAGGGTTAAATCATTGAGAAATATCAAATACTATCATTGTTAGGACAAGGTGCATTTGGACAGGTTTTATAATAAACAATTTTAGGTTTATAAAGGACTCAAGCTCTAAAATTCTGATTATGTTGCCATAAAGGTTATAGAATTATCAAGATTTTCAGAAAATGATGGCCTATTGGGAGAATTAGTGCAATCAGAAATAAGAGCTTTGGAGATTGTAAAAAGTGATCATGTTGTAGGATTTTTTGAATCATTTTCTGACAATAAATATTGTTATATCGTGATGGAATTTTGTGATTGTAATTTTAGTGTGTATTATTAATTTAGCTGGAGATTTAGAATAATAATTAAAGAATCCTAAATATAAATTAACTGAATAGGATGCTTTAGGGATAATTAAATAAATTTTGAAGGGTCTAAGAGATTTACATTCTCATTATATTATCCATAGAGATCTTAAATTACAAAACATTATGGTCCATAAGAACTCAAGTTACAAAATAGCCGATTTAGGATTTTGCAAAGTCTTATAAAACCCCGTATTAAATTTAGAATATCAAAGGATCAACAATCCAAATTGTAACTAGGGACTTTATTTACTATGGCTCCAGAAATTTTCAATTAATAACAGTATGGATTATCATCCGATATGTTTTCTGTGGGAGTTATCCTTTACTAGATTCTTTACAATAGATATCCATTCACTTAAAGGGATTATTTATCAGTTTAACAACGTAAAATTAATTTTATTTTAGCAAATATTAATTTCTAAAAAAATAAAATAGAAGTTTCGTATCAGACAATAGATCTCTTGAATTAAATGCTCTAATTTGATCCTTTAAAAAGAATCACATTTTAGTAATTAATTAATCATTAAGCTTTTGAGAAACCTATATTTAGTATTAAATTCCTTTATTTTTTAGGTTTAATAAGTAAAATATAGTTGTAAGCTAATATGATCTTATTTGATGATTATGAAAAGTTTTATTTAATGAAAGGAAAGGATATTGAATAAAATAATTAAAACTATCCTTTTAATAAAGTTAATGTAGGACAATAATAATAATAGTAGTAATAGAAATCTTAAAAAAAAATAAAAATTATCGAAATATTAGATATTAAAGAAAATGAATTAAGTTTAGAGATAGATAAAATTAATTTAAAAATAAATGAGATGTTTTTCTTTACAAACACTATTCAAGAAATTTTCATTTATTTTAATTAACCTAATCTAATTGCTTTGCTTTGTATAAAATTATAAAAATTATGCGAAGTTATTCTTTAATTGATTAATTAAAATTAGGAAAAATTTTAAAATCTAAAAAGTCATGAACAAGACTTTTAAATTCTTGAATAATAGTATAGGGAAATGGCTACCTTATATGAAGGAATTTAATATTAATTTTATGATGTAAAAGACAACTTACCCCTTTTTGAATAAGATCATTTGGCTTATTTTATGTAATAAAATATTTCAGATAATGAATTTAATAATGAATTTCTCAGATAGTTATAGGAATAGTTGTATAATCATAATCATAAAATTACGGTAGCATTTGCTCATGTTATTTTATGTTATCTATTTTGTTAAACCAAAAATCCAGTAACTATATAATTTGATGAAACCACTTTTAACCTTAAGAAATCTGGAGAACAATATCAAAATTCATAATACCTTTTATAACAACTTGAGGAATTGTCCTAAAATTTTTATAATTAGCAAATATGAAATTCAATTTTTATTAAAAATAATTTATTATACTTATATAGAAATATATTTATTCAATTATAATTTTATATTTAAACAAAAAGAGAAAGTATATTTTAAAGATTTTCGTTTCTAATATAGAATAGTGAATGTTTAATATATATATAATACATAAAAAACTTTTATCTTTAGAGTGACAAAAATAGATTTCTTGAATTTTTATAATAATAAACATCCAAAATGTTCTTATTATAATAATTTTTAAAGAAACTTAGAAAATTTTAAATCAATTTAATTAAGTAGATAATAATTTTAGGAACTAAAGCTATTTTAGAAATTGATTATTGTAAAACTTAAAGAAAGAGAGAAATGTTTCACATTTTTATATTAATTTATCATAAAAAGAGTTCGATGTTTAGTATTTATAAAATATATCTCTTGAAATTAAGTAATAATTTAGAAATAAAGGATTGTTAAACTAATTTTTCAAAATTTGGAAAGACTAAGAGATTAAATTGAATTGAATAGGTTTGCTCTTTTAACAGTATTGATGAGTCTAGAAATATTTTTAGAGGTATGAGAATGGTTTATATCTTATTAAATGATAATTTTATGTGAGTTTTAATTTGATAATGCTTATTCTAATCATTCATAAAAATATAGATATAAAGAGATAATGAGTTTCATGGATGATATAATGGAAGTTGAATAAAATGATGGAAAGCTTCAAGAAGTTCATCAACAGAATAGATTCTTGCATTCTAAGAGAATGATAATAGTGGATGAGAAATGCTAAGCAATTGTTCCTGATAAACCAGAAAAGACTTTGGATAAATTTATTAAGCATGTAAATATGAATTATTATGATAAGAGGCAAAGTTTGACATTTCAAACAGAAAAAATTGAAAAGCTTGAGAACATAGATGATTATCTACTTTTTGCATAATCCTTAATTTTGAACTAAGTAGATGAATCGACAATAGAGGATCCAAAAAAGAAAAGTAAGGGATTTAGTGGTGATGGATTGATTTTAAGTGGTTTATCTATCACTTAAGAATAAGTAAATGAAAGAGCATTAATGTTTTTAAAGACAATGGATTATAATGTAATAAAAGCAAAGTTTTATTTATTATTTCCAAGTTTATTAGTTTATAATCAATATAAACATAGACATGCATTATAATTCACAGATGAATATATGAATGAAAAAATTGAATTGTATATTAGCAAATTGAATGAAGATAAAATGATGTAACAAAATAAATGGAAATAGGATCTTATGGATATGATAAATAGCAAATAAAAAGTTCATTTGGCTTAATTGTAAAACTTATTAGAATAAGGATAATAATTTAAATATGAAGTTCCTGAATCAATAAAAACAATTCATGCAACATCGATATAAATATAAAGATAAATATATAAATTATTAAAAGAAAAATAAACTTTAGAAAAATTAAGGTAAAGCTTAGAAAAATTTGAAGAATAAATACCTATTATTACACCTGAAATATAATATTTAAAAGATTAAGTTTAAAAATCAGAAATTTTTTATTAAAAATTATTGAAACTTCCTATTTCACTTGAGGATAATGATAATTATGATGAAATTTTTGAAAGTCTTATCTGTGATTCTCAATCTCACAAAATTCAATTAAAAATTCTTGCAAATTATAATCAAGAATATAAATAACTTCCAATTGAAATAAAAGCATTTGAATCATTACACAAAAGATTATATGAATTTGTTTTAGATCTAGTTGAAAAGATTAGTAAATTTACAAAAATTCAATATACTAAAACAAGGCTAGGATAATATATATCAAATTAAGGAGAAAAAACAGAAAAGATGACATTATCCTAAGCAGGAATTTTTAATCAATAGATATTAAAATTAATCGTGACTTGTGATGATTTTGATTATTTTAATGAATTATATTAATAAGCCTTGGAATTGAATGAAAAAGCAAAATAATAAATAGATGACCCTGAAATGTAATAAAAATTACTAGGTGAAGTGTTAGATTGTCCTTTCTATTTAGATGTCCAAGAAAGGTTATAAAGTATGATAGATTACACATAAATATTGGATTCTATTAAATAAAAAATGTCTGAAAGATAACATCAAATTGCAAATTAATAAATACTAATGCTATTAAGTAGAGGTATTATTAATGATGAATTGAAAATTCTTTAAACTTAAACATTAAGAGTATTAGAATGGAACTAATTAGCAGAAGAAATAATAAACTATCATTAAAATATATCACTTATTGATGTATATGATGAAAATTTTGAATTATAATAATATCCAAATACTCTTTTTAATCCTGAACAAGATATTATTAATTAGTTGGATCAAGAAAAAGTTTAGGAAATCATATAGATATCAGAAAGAATGTAAATTTGGAAAGATTAATTGATTTCTTTAATTGATTGTAAATAAGTCTAATCAACAAGAAAAAATAATTAAAATAAAACATTTAATAAATTATGGGAACTATTTAAAGAAGGATTAAGATACAGATAAGAATTTACTCTAATGACAAAAGTTAGAGATATAATAATTTAGATTTTAGATTGGCATGCACAAGTTTATATGATAAAATAGACTTTAAGGGTAAATGATGATTAATGTTAGTAAATTGATGGAATTGAAACTATTTGTAAATTATATATATAAAGAAATGGAACATAACATACTTAAGATTAAATTGAAAAATTGTAAAAGTTCCAATCTCCCTTTTTAAGTGGATCTAAAGATTTATAAATAATTTAAGCATTAATTTTACATACAGAAAAATGGAATAAAGATGCAAAAGAAGTTATTTAAACACAAAATTAAGAATAAATTAAAAGTCTACTGGATGAATCTTTGAAATTACCAGTTGATGAATTATTAGTTAAGGAATTATAGAGTTTACATGCATCAAATTAAAAAGTAAATTGGATATTATCAACAATTGCTACATCAGATCCACTATTTGATTAAATCTTATAAGCATTATAAAATGATGAATCAATAAAATAATTGAAAGAAGAAATGATGGCAATTTATGCTGAAAATTCTTAGAATAAAAAAAAGAAGGAAGGTATGAAAGTATCTAAAATGGCTTAAAATTTCTTTTTGAATTTTCAAAATACCATTAATAGTTATTTAGGATAGTTGTCTCAATTAGATGAAAACAAATTAAAGAAATTATAGCCTATAAGAATTCAAAGATTAAAAGAATATCAAAAAGAAGTTTAAAATGAGGATATTAATAAATAGATTGAAGATTGGATATAATAATATTAATGTTGGTAGACTTAAATAACCAATTTAAATGATTAATAATAATAAAAAAAAAAGAAAAAGGGAAAAGACTAAGAATCTTAGCAGGAATTTTATTCTTTAACAGGAGATTTGTTATATTATTTTAAAGTTCCTGAATTACTTTGTCTGGTACTTTAAGGAATTGAAAAGAATTATATTAGCCAAGAATTAATATGTTCAATTGAAAAATTAGTTACAATAAATAAATAATCATAAATAGCTTTATCTGTTTAAAGTGTAAAAGAAGTATCTTATTATTCTGAGGTATTTATGCCATAATTTTATGTGATGGCAAAGAAATTTAGAGTAATAAATAATTGGATGCAAATGGCATCTGATATGATTAATGATATTCCAAGACTAAAAAATATAATCATGATATAAAAATTGAAGCCTTTCCTTGAATATCTTGAATAATTGCAACCTTAAGAATTTAAGATGTCAAAATCTGCTTAATAATAATAACAATAATAACAATAATAATAACAATAACAATAATATTAATAACAATAATAATAATAATAATAGTAATAATAGTAATAACCTTCTTAATTATTTAATTAGTCTTAAAATTCAATCATATAAACTTAATCTAACATTAAAAAGAAAATATAAAAACCTATAATTAAATTAAAAAATAAATCTCAAGAAGAATCATAACCAATCTATGATTAGGAAAGTTAATCAAAGCATTCTAAAAGAGTGAAATAAATTTCAAGATTAATGAGAGATGATAATATAGCATTTTATGATGCGAATGTTCCTTTAGGAAAAGCCTTTAGATCATCTCCTAATGATTGTATTTCTTCTGACCCTGTTATGCAAGCATTAAAAAAACCTATTACATAAAAAAGAAGTTATAAGAAAGGATTTAATAGAAAAGCATCTCCCAATTTAATAGTGGAATATAATAGTTCTAATTTTTTGGATTAAGTTAAAAATTCATCTTAAGAATTATTGAATCTATATAGTTAAGATGAAATTTATTGTACATGTCGACAAGGAGGAGAATCAGCCATAACAGAATTTTAGATCTTAAAAAGTTTACATGAAAAAAATGTGGAATAATTCTACAATTATCATACTAAATTATAGTAATAAGTTAAATTTATGATATATTGTGACAATTGTGAAGAATGGTATCATTATGAATGTATGGGTATTAAAAAATAAAGAGAATAACAATAAGATAAATACAATTGCAGAAGTATATAAAATATATAATATTAGTTTGTCTGTAGAAAAATAATATTCCATTTTTAATACTTAATGAAAATTTATGGGATCAATATATTGATTAAGAAAGTGATTTATATGAAGAGTATTAAAAACATAAAATGTAATTTGAAAAAAATATTCTTCCAAATTCAGGTGATTATATTTATAGTCAATTTTTATTGCCAACCATTGAAGAATTCAAAGAATTTATTAAAATTGGTTAAAAATTGCCTGTTTAATTGGTTGAACTTGAAGTACTTGAACTATTAGAATAACGAGTTGATGGATGGATATTAAGATATGAAGACCATAAAAATCTTAATCTTCCATAATTAATTGCTCTTTATTCAGAAAGCTAATGGTTGCCAATTTAATTACCATAATCAAAACATTTATTATCTCTCATTAGTTAAAAAGAATTTTTAAATACTGCTAATGAATTATTATAAAGCAAAGCTACATTTAAAACAAAATAATTAAAAAAATTATAATAGGAAAAAACAGAATAATTATATTTCCTAATCAAAGAATAATATCCAGAATAACTATCAGAAATAGATCATTAAACTGTAAAGACTATCTAAATGTTAAGAATTTAAGCTGAACTCAATAATTAATTATAATAACAATTAAAATAGTAACTAACTTTTGAATAATATGAATAGTTGGCAAATTAGTTTGAAAAAGAACTTAAAAATCATATACTTTCAAATGATATTAAATTTTCCCTTCCAAAATTAACTGAATTAAGGTAGCAAATAACTAAACTTTAATAATGGAATGCTGAAATTTTGGCTATTTTTAAAGATATAGATGATATTTATACTACAAATGTAAAATTTATTATAAATTTTTAAGTTAAGTTAATCGCATTATGATAGCAAACCTAATTTATCAGAAATTTAAGTCAAATTAAAAGAGTATGAAATGATTTCAATTAAAGTTCCTAATTAATGTTATGAATTTGTCAAAGCACTTTAATCTAAAGCAGAAGAATTAATTTATAATGTAGATTAAAATTTGTCTGAATTATCATAAGATGAATAATTTGAATTAGTTAAAACTGTTTATTTATTGAAGTGTAAAATTCCTTAATTTAAAGAACTCCTCTTAAGCAAGTAATTACTTTTTTTTATTTTTGTAGGCTTCATAAGGATGTATAAATTAGAGTAGTTTAATGGTTGCCTTAATAAAAATCTGGATTTTATTGATTATTAGTTATTATTTATCATCTGAATTTCATAATTATCAATCAAAAAATATCTTAATTAGATTTCTAAAATAAAAAATCCATTTTATATTATGTATTATAAGATTTTCTAAATTTTTACTCTTCTACATTTTTATTTTTTCCTTTGTTATATAAATAAAAACTTTTTGAATAAACAAATTTAAAATATTTGAATCACTATTAGTAAACCTTAATTTAAATATACTATTATTTTATCAACTAAATAATTTCCTTGTAAAATATCCAAAAATTGAAATTAAGGATCACTTAAAAAATTTGATAAAATTGGGTATGTCTAAAAATAGATATTCATTTAAAATAGAAATATATAAATTAAATTAATAATTTTAAGATCTTTTCAAATTTTTCAAAAAATTAATATAATTTTAGATATCTCCGATTACAAAAAAATCTTGTTAATCATTAAAAAAAAACTATGGGTTTGAATTTGAAAATAATCAAAAGAAGTGTATCATCATTTTTTTTCATAAATCAATTTTATTATTGGGTAGTCTTTTGAAACTTAAACAAGTGACTAATACATGAAATCGTTAATAAAACATAGAATAGATTAAGAAAATCTTAAAAAAAAATTTACATTCCTTTTTAGATATTATTCGAAATTAAGAAAGTGAGAATTGGAAAGAATTTCTCAAAGATTATGTGCTAATCAGTGTTACAACATCAAAAGATTAAATATATTAAAACAAAATAAAACTACTAATTATATTCTTATCTTTACTAGATAATATTTTGCTAATTTTAAAATTATTGTATTTAATTTTCAGATACTAACTTTAATAGATTAAAGTTAAATTAATTTAAAGCTTTTTACTCGATTCTTTGTTTAAAAAATTAATCATATAATTATAATTCAATTATTCAATATATAAAATTTTAATTAATTTTTTTATATATATTTTTTTTATAAAATAATTTCCTAATGTGGAATTCATTTAAAGCACTATGTAGTGATAATAAAAAAAAAAATAAATCCAGATCACCAATTTAAAATTAAAGAAATAAAAAAGAATCATAGATTTTCAAATAAGATCATAATTAATAAGTTCAAAATGCATATAAAATGATAGAATAAGGTATGAAGTACTTTTAGAATCAATAATATTCAATGGCTAAAGTTGTTTTGGTTAATAGTTCTCAGATATTATTACCTGTAGTTAAATNTATTATAAGATTTTCTAAATTTTTACTCTTCTACATTTTTATTTTTTCCTTTGTTATATAAATAAAAACTTTTTGAATAAACAAATTTAAAATATTTGAATCACTATTAGTAAACCTTAATTTAAATATACTATTATTTTATCAACTAAATAATTTCCTTGTAAAATATCCAAAAATTGAAATTAAGGATCACTTAAAAAATTTGATAAAATTGGGTATGTCTAAAAATAGATATTCATTTAAAATAGAAATATATAAATTAAATTAATAATTTTAAGATCTTTTCAAATTTTTCAAAAAATTAATATAATTTTAGATATCTCCGATTACAAAAAAATCTTGTTAATCATTAAAAAAAAACTATGGGTTTGAATTTGAAAATAATCAAAAGAAGTGTATCATCATTTTTTTTCATAAATCAATTTTATTATTGGGTAGTCTTTTGAAACTTAAACAAGTGACTAATACATGAAATCGTTAATAAAACATAGAATAGATTAAGAAAATCTTAAAAAAAAATTTACATTCCTTTTTAGATATTATTCGAAATTAAGAAAGTGAGAATTGGAAAGAATTTCTCAAAGATTATGTGCTAATCAGTGTTACAACATCAAAAGATTAAATATATTAAAACAAAATAAAACTACTAATTATATTCTTATCTTTACTAGATAATATTTTGCTAATTTTAAAATTATTGTATTTAATTTTCAGATACTAACTTTAATAGATTAAAGTTAAATTAATTTAAAGCTTTTTACTCGATTCTTTGTTTAAAAAATTAATCATATAATTATAATTCAATTATTCAATATATAAAATTTTAATTAATTTTTTTATATATATTTTTTTTATAAAATAATTTCCTAATGTGGAATTCATTTAAAGCACTATGTAGTGATAATAAAAAAAAAAATAAATCCAGATCACCAATTTAAAATTAAAGAAATAAAAAAGAATCATAGATTTTCAAATAAGATCATAATTAATAAGTTCAAAATGCATATAAAATGATAGAATAAGGTATGAAGTACTTTTAGAATCAATAATATTCAATGGCTAAAGTTGTTTTGGTTAATAGTTCTCAGATATTATTACCTGTAGTTAAATAAAAAAGTAATTTATAATAAATAATCAGAGTAAAACTAAGAAGAACATGCAAGTGAATACTAAGAACTAATAAAAGCTATAAATACAGCAGAAATTTGTACTCAAAAAATTGATTAACTTTTATAAAATATAGTAAAGAAATATGTATAAAATAAGGCTTCACAAGATCCTTATAGTAAATAAATAATTGAAACAGCTATGATCAGGAAATGTGATGTTTCATTTGATTAGATTATAGGATTAGAAAGCATAAAAAATTAATTAGATGAAGTTATAGTATTACCAAATTTAAGACCTGATATATTTACAGGAATTCGTGCACCTCCAAAAGGTAATAAAATCTAAAAAAATTAGGTATATTATTTTATGGACCCCCTGGAAATGGTAAGACACTTTTGGCAAAAGCTGTTGCTAATTAAATAAAATGTTGTTTTTTTAATGTTAGTGCTTCAACATTAGTTTAAAAACATCTTGGGGAAGGAGAAAAATTAATGAAAACTCTATTTAAAGTAGCATTTTAATTTTAACCATCTGTATTATTATAAAATAATTTAGGTAATATTTATTGATGAAATTGATTCTATATTATCGAGCAGATCAAGTGAAGAACATGAAGCTAGTNACTAGATAATATTTTGCTAATTTTAAAATTATTGTATTTAATTTTCAGATACTAACTTTAATAGATTAAAGTTAAATTAATTTAAAGCTTTTTACTCGATTCTTTGTTTAAAAAATTAATCATATAATTATAATTCAATTATTCAATATATAAAATTTTAATTAATTTTTTTATATATATTTTTTTTATAAAATAATTTCCTAATGTGGAATTCATTTAAAGCACTATGTAGTGATAATAAAAAAAAAAATAAATCCAGATCACCAATTTAAAATTAAAGAAATAAAAAAGAATCATAGATTTTCAAATAAGATCATAATTAATAAGTTCAAAATGCATATAAAATGATAGAATAAGGTATGAAGTACTTTTAGAATCAATAATATTCAATGGCTAAAGTTGTTTTGGTTAATAGTTCTCAGATATTATTACCTGTAGTTAAATAAAAAAGTAATTTATAATAAATAATCAGAGTAAAACTAAGAAGAACATGCAAGTGAATACTAAGAACTAATAAAAGCTATAAATACAGCAGAAATTTGTACTCAAAAAATTGATTAACTTTTATAAAATATAGTAAAGAAATATGTATAAAATAAGGCTTCACAAGATCCTTATAGTAAATAAATAATTGAAACAGCTATGATCAGGAAATGTGATGTTTCATTTGATTAGATTATAGGATTAGAAAGCATAAAAAATTAATTAGATGAAGTTATAGTATTACCAAATTTAAGACCTGATATATTTACAGGAATTCGTGCACCTCCAAAAGGTAATAAAATCTAAAAAAATTAGGTATATTATTTTATGGACCCCCTGGAAATGGTAAGACACTTTTGGCAAAAGCTGTTGCTAATTAAATAAAATGTTGTTTTTTTAATGTTAGTGCTTCAACATTAGTTTAAAAACATCTTGGGGAAGGAGAAAAATTAATGAAAACTCTATTTAAAGTAGCATTTTAATTTTAACCATCTGTATTATTATAAAATAATTTAGGTAATATTTATTGATGAAATTGATTCTATATTATCGAGCAGATCAAGTGAAGAACATGAAGCTAGTCGTAGACTAAAAACAGAATTCTTAGTTTCATTTGATGGAATGTAAACTACCGATTAAGATCGAATATTTTTAATCGGAGCTACAAACAGACCTTAAGATATTGATGGAGCTGTCTTAAGAAGATTTGTATAGAATATAAATTAAATTAGACTGTTAAAATATTAATTGATCAGCCTGATTAAAAAGCTAGATTGGCTTTAGTTAAATAACTTATGTCTAATGTAAATTGTTCTATTTTAGACCCAAGTTTTAATAAAATATGTGAAAAATTGGCTGGTATCTTTATTTATTAATAATAATTAGGTTATTCTGCAAGTGACATTAAAGCTGTAGTAAAGGAAGCTTGTATGTAACCTTTAAGAGAAGATAAAAGTACTATAGTTGCTATATCTGCTTAAAATATCAGGCCTGTTAGAAAAGAAGATTTTGAATTTGCTATCAATAAAGTTAAACCTTCACTAACTTAAAAGCAATATTAAGAATATATTAGTTTTAGTCAATCTTGATCATGATTTATTTTATTAATCCAACTTATCAAGAAGAAAATATTAAATCCAAATGAAATTTACTAAAGTTAAATTCTTTGTTCTTTTTAGTTCAATATTGTGTTAAAATTATTTCAAATACCTTTTTTTAAGTTTATACAAGTTTTTATATATGATCGATTGATTTATTGAATAAATATCCATCCATAAAAGATTGAATACTATAAAATTCAAAAAAAAATGATGATATTATTTTCAAACTCTTGAAATCTAAATTATATATAAATCACAATTCTACAATGAATTAATTAATTAATGGGAAATCTTTCAGCTCTATGTTTTGCAGAAGAAACAGAAGATAAGAATGATATATAGATTAAATTCAACTAGTAAAAGAGTGACTAATCTCAAAATGTTTCTGTGTAGAACATCAAAAAAGATCAACTTTTTAACTTGTTTTAATAAGATTAAAAAGAGATTGAAGAATTTAAGTAATCAATCTAAGAATGTTCTTTTTGCTTAAATCATTTCAAATAATTGATAAAATAATAGAGTTTTGAGCAAATACTTTATCCTTAAAATAGATAATAGTAAATTAATCATTCTTGCCAAATTTAACAATTGAAAGAATCAAATTAATTTAATGAGCCTTTGGCAATACTTCAAAATGATCCAATATCTTAGTATACATCTGAATGGTTCTAATTAGCATTATCATTACCAAAATATATAAGATCTATAGAATATTTTGAAGGTCTTCCAGAATAAGAATAATTTAATTTCCTTAATTCTACATTAGATGAGTAAGACTTTTATTCTCTTATATGCTTGAAATGGTGTGTGATTGATTTTTTTAGATAGAAACATTCATTATTTCCAAAAAATCATTTTTTGGAAAATTGCTGCACAGTTTTTTATAATATTGCTCATTTGTGTTAATTCTACAATGAATTGTTTTTGGAAAATTATAAAGATAATGAATTTTCTCATAACATCAGACTCTACATTTAATTATATTTGTAATATTAAAAGTTGATGAACTCATTCTAAAATTAGTACGATTTATAATTTGATTTATTATAATTAAAGTATGAGAAACAATTTAATTTTAAAAAGGATGATTCTAATTTCTACCCTCATTTTAAATTAATAGGATTCATGATACGATTCTGGTGTTAAATTACTCTAACAACAGAAGTTTAGAATATTTTAAGAAAAAGTTATAGAAACTTGAATATTTAGGATGATAAAGATTTAATTTAGAAATATGTAATTGCTGCTTTAGATGTAGATATTGATGAGTACAATGTTCATTGGATAGGTCATAGAGAAAATTTTAGGATTGAAAAAACATTATTAGACTTTAATATTATAGAAGAAATAGTACAACAAATAGAATAACAATAAATTACTAATGAAGAATTCTATTAATAAATAGATGATAAATTGTAAGAATTAAGATTGTTATATCCATAATGGTTTTTTGAAGTAGAATTTGAATGTTTAGGAATATAATATAAAATTGCAAGATTGGTTTAAGATGTTAAATCTTAGAATTCATCTGAAATAGCAAAACTTAAAAAAGTTGATGATACAGAAATTTCAGAGAATTAAAGAAATAGTTAATTTGAAATAATATTCAATTCTTTTAACACATTAAAATAAGATAATTTTGAAGATAAAGAAGTTGAGTTAATGGCATTATATTTATAGGAATCTAATTTAATGCCTAGATCTAAATTTAGGTAATCTTGTTCAAATTAATCAACAGTTACATCATTTGGTTTTAGATAAAAAGGATTTAATTATTCAACTTAGAGTATTTTAAAAGTTAGTTAAGAAGCTTTATAAATAAGTAAAGAAATTAGAATAGAATATAAATAAAAATTAGCTGAATTTAATGATAGATTATAGAGAGTTGAAGAAAATATCAGTTTAAGAGAACTAATCTTAGAGGAAAGAGCTCATAGATTAAAAATTCCAATTGATATTAATATTAATGTAGAATGGCTCAATTTTTTTAAAAAAACAGATTTAAGTAAGATTCCTGTATCTGAGAAAGAGTTGATTTAAAAAATACTGCAAACTTTGTAAAGTTTTGATTCAAATTAGAAATAGCAAGCTATTTAAATGTAATGATTAATCACTATAAATTTATATGAATTAAGTTTTATATTATTTAATTCTATATAATAAAAAAAACAATTAGAATGAAGATGAGACATACAAAAAAATAATTGATATTAAATTTATTATATATTAAATAAATAGTCTATGTTTGGTTGGTTCAAAAAGAAGAAGCCTGAATCTAACTCGGCTTAGCAAGAAGAAAAAGATGATAGTGATAATATTGATGTATTTTAATATAATAAAATATAAAAGGATGAGACTTAAGTTGTTACAAATGAAGATAAAGAGTTAGAGGCAAAAGGATTTGATCCAATAGCCTAAGTATAAGAATAAGATAAAGAAAATGAAGGTATTGCTGATCCAGATAAATTGGAATATATTGGATATCATGATATTCCAGGAGATGACATTCTATAATTGGTGCTTAATTTTAAATATTTTCCAAATGATGAAGAAATACGTCATATAGAAGGATATGAAAAGGGAGGCAGAATTTGTGCAGATAAGAAAGTGGTAACTAAAGCAAGAAGTGTAGGAAAAGAGATGGTTAAATAAATAGGAAAGAAAATATTATCAGGATCATTAAATCTTACTAAAGTTAGTTTCCCTATTAGAGTAATGATCCCTAAGACGGCTTTAGAAACATCTGTTCATGGAAGTAATATTAATTATAATATAATCAGCTTCTGTTTTTCCATTGTATATTACTAAAGCAACAATGACACCAGATTTCTTAGAAAGATTCAAACTTGTTATTACTGCTACCTTATCTTCATTCTTTTGGACTAATACATTTTTAAAACCTGTATTTATATATTTTAATAAGCTTAATCCAATACTTGGAGAAACGCTTTAAGCTAATTATAATGATGGAACTTAAGTCTATTGTGAATAAATTATGCATCATCCTCCTGTTAGTTATTTTTTAGTTTATGGTCCTAATAAAAAATATAAATATTATGGATATTATTTAGTTGAAGGCAGAGCAGGATTAAATTCTGTTACTGTATATTTATTTTATTTCTATTTAGATTATTAACAAAGGTAAAAGAACTATTGAATTCAGCGATGGATAAAAAATTGATTTTGATTTTCCTAATGAATTGTATAGTGGCACATTCTTTGGTTAATTAAGATAAGAATCCATTAACAAAATTACATTCTCTGACAAAGCCAATGGCCTTTCATGTGTAATTGATATTGGCAAAGTTAAAAAAAAGTAAACCCTTTTTCCTATTAAAGAACATCTGATTTCTTTTAAGCTGATATCAACTTTAAAGGTTAAAAAGTATCAACATTATATGGAACTTATATTGGTTTCATTAATTTTGATAATGTTAGGTATTGGGATTACAGATATGTTGTTCCTTATAAAATTAAAATGGATAAATAACCACTTCAAAGTGATCATAAAAATCGTTCAGATTTATAAGCTTTGAAATCTGGAGATATTCCATTAGCATAAAAAAATAAGGAGATATTAGAAAATATTCAGAGAAATGATAGAAAATTAAGAGAAACATTTGAGAAACAAAAAAAATCTAAGAAATGATTCTTAAATTGATGTTTAAAAATATTATATAATTATATTTAAAACAATATATAATTTAGTAGAGCCATAGAGTTTCAATGAATTTTAATTATATAATCTATTAAAAATAAAATTTTAAAGTCAAAAGAATTGAAGTATAAGAAAGTAACTATTCTTATATTATGTTTATTTGATTACCATTTTTAACCTTAAGTTTGACTTTTCAATAGAAGCAAAATATTATATGATTTTTAAAAATATTTGAAATGCAATACTGAGATAGAAACTATATTTTATTGATGCTTAAAATATAAAATTGATTATAAATCTTGTAAATCAAAATATAAAATTGATTATAAATCTTGTAAATTAAAATAACCCAGATTTTGAAGCATGTGGGAATATCAAATACAAAATTGGATCTTCTAAGTATTAAGAGTAAAGAGATGGATTCTCTTTAAGAGTTTTCTATTAGAAGAAAATAATATTATGTATGTTTTAATTTTTATAAATTGTATTGATAAGTGAATATAAGTAGAAGAATTATAATATTTAAAAAAATTAATTATTTAATTAGAATTTATAGATTATAAATATGTAATGATTAATTGTAAGTTTAATCTATTTGCATTCTTTTATTAGAAATATTTTATTAGAATGAAACCTAATATTTTATTTTAAATAGAATTGAAGGATGCATTTTAGAATTAAATTAAAAACTTAAATATATAATTGTATCTATTTAGTATGATTAAATGAAGAAATTATGTTGTTAATAGTTCTAATGATTTTTAATATATAATTATCAAAATGGAAAACGAACTGAAGTGAAATTTTAGAATATTTGAGGTTCAGAAAATTAAATGATAAGTTCTTAATATTCTAACATTAAATAAGATTATTTTCTTGAAATAATTTGAAAAGGATGTAAAAATATTTGTCCAGAGTAAATATTAATTATAATTTATATTTGAAGGAAGATAGAAAATGATGAATTAAGCCTCAGATGATTAATCATATAAAACAATAAAATCGGGAAAGTCAATGGCTTAAATAGGTTAAACAATTTCAGGGGAATATTCATCAGAGAAGAAGAAGTAAATTTAATAAAAAATTTACTTAATATTAAATGATTATGAATGTAATAAGTTAGTAAGTGAATAAATATGATAGGCATTTGTTTTATCAATTTTATCTATTTTCATAATCTCACTTGATATATTATTATTAATATTGGAGACAGAGAAAGAATTAGGAATAATAGATATTTGGATAAGTGCAAATTCAGGAGTGAGTAGTTATTTTTTAATAGAATATATATTTAGAGTGGCATCTTATAATGCATTTGAAGAAACCTTGGTTGAATTTATAAAAAGTAAGAATTTAATAAATGAAGAGCCATATAATCTAGTTGATATTTTTGCATTATTATATTCAATAATAGAATAAATATTATATCTGATAGATTTATAGGTTGATCCTAGAATAAAAGTATTAAGAATGTTAATAGTTTTACGGTTGATAAGAATATTCAAATTTTAAACATTTGCTTTAGGAGTGAAAGTAATTAATTGATTTATTTGATAGATCTTAATAAGAGGATTATCAGAAAGTATGCAAGCACTATCTTTATTATTATTTTTTACAATGATATGTATAAATATAAATTCTAAATACTGAGGTGTAATATTGATATCTAGTTTTATGTACTTTGCAGAGAAAGAGTTTGTTGATGATAGTTAAATATAAAATATACCATAAGCAATTTGGTGGGCAATTATTACAATAACAACTGTTGGATATGGAGATTATGTTCCAAAATCTCTATTAGGAAAGTTTATTGGAGTTTTGAGTCTGATTTTTGGAGTTTTATTACTTTCACTTCCTGTAGCAATTATTGGAAATAAATTTCAGGAGATTTATTTATAGAATAAGAAAGAGGAAACAAAAAGAGCAAGAAAGAATGCAAAAGTAAATTACAAAATACTATTGAAATTAGACTCATTATAATTAAATTTAAAATCAAAATGAAAAAGAAATCTATAGAATAATATTAAAATTAAATGAATTAGAATAAGTAAATGAAAGGATTGAATAATGTTTGAAAGATAATCAATTTTTATATAGAAGTCATATCAATTAATAAATTAATTAGGTATTTCAAGAGATGCATAAAGTATGATTGATAAGATTGAAATAAATAGAGAAAATGGTAAGAGTAAGAATAAGTAAAAAGAGAGATTGAGTACTTAGGAAAGAATTATAAAAATAAGAGAAGAGATTTTAAATAGTAGAAAAAATAAATGAATTTTTTTGATTATATTATTTTTTAAATTTGTTTATTGATAAATTTATGATTGATTATTTTAATGTAATATCATGCATATTCTTAATTTTATTTCTTTTTATTTGGTACTGAAATAAATGCTTCATTATAGAGTGTCTATAATTTTTCTTATCTAGAATTTGCTTATAATTAAGCTTCTTATTCATTTTGATCAGCATCATATTCCGAATCATCATCACAAGTGAAAATCTTGGTATATCTAGTATCTGTTCTAGTATCACCAGGTTTGATAAAATGACCTCTAAATTTTCTATATTCTTTTTGATTTTTATTATTAGCTTTTGCAGAATTGATTTTAGCATAAACTTTATTACAATGTTTTGGAATGAAATCAAATTATAGATTATTAATTTCTATTTTTTTATTAGATCTTAAATCATCAACTTCAGATGGATCAATACTACATAAAGAACTTTTAGGTCTTGATTTCTTTGTATTAGATTTTAATAATAAAGAATAATCTTCTTCTTAAATTTATGTAAGTGTACATTCATTAAACCATTAATATTTTTAACTCCAATCATTTTCTAATATTAGATTCTTATAAACTAAAGTTTCTTTATTCTTTTTAATATTTCTAAGTACTAAAGGATGAGATACCATAGTATCATTAGTACATTATTCAACACTTATTTTTCTAAGAATATCTAAATATTCTATATAAAACATTAATTTTCTGTATTAGTTTCTATTAATTACTTTCATATATGATTAATATCTATCAACTCTATCTGCTTAAAATACTCGAGCATGCATTAAAAATAATCTTTCACATAATTCTGACATTTCTATTAATTATTAACATAGATATTATTCAAATTGATCTAATCCTTTATTCTTTTATTTAAATCCATCAGATGTCAATGTATCTTTAGCTCTTAATAAAATATAAATGCTTAAATGCGATAATTTTAATCTAAATTCTGCATCTTTTTTTCCACATCTTCTATGTTTTCTTTCTTTTGCAAATACTTCATCAATTGATTATATTGCTTATTTTATATGTTATGAGGATATTCTACAAAATCTTCCTTTATATAATCTAAAATCTATTTTATTTTAATTACTTAATTCCTGTTAATTAATAGAAATCATTTAATCCTTATCTTTTAACACCTCTAGATTTTATATCACTTTCTATTAGTTATATTTATTATTCTTTTGTAAAATTCTCTGAATATCCTGTTAATTATTCCCAACGATATCGAAGTGTATTAGCTTTCTATACTTTCTCTCCTGTTTATAATTCAAATTTTCTAGCTACTTAAGTCCAGCTAGTACAATTCTTCCCTCCAAATGCATCTACTATTGCTAAGAACTCCTTGTCAAATTTCTAATCTTATTTGTGATACCTTGAACTCATTTACTATTTTAATTCTAATTAAACTAAGCCATTTTTGCCCAATTTAAAAAATCATATA